ATCTTCCATCTCACGGTCTACAATCGCTGGTGATTGCGTTGATGGCGCACGCGCAGTAGCGTCATCCGCATTAGTGTGGATTTTCAAGTCATCCATTGGTTTTGTCGGCGCACCAGAAGACTCGGCAAGGGTGGACTCGGGTGCGTCGGCAGAAGTGTCCATGCTTTCTAGAGCAGGCTCCTCTTGCTTGGGCGAAATCTGCGTCTCGGGTACTTGTTGCGTGCTGTCGCTTGTTGCCTGGGTGTCTGTAGGCAGTTGTGGAGCTGGTGCTGGCTCGTCGCGCACGTCTGATGTAGGCGCCTCAACGGCGTTTGTCACAGTCGCACCAATGTCTGAGTCGCCAAACAGCGAGTTGATATCTTGCTGGCTGTCTGGCAGATACTGTGCAATACCATCAATTCCAGATGAGACGTTGGTCGTGGGTTCGATGGTAGGCTCAATGGCAGGCTCATCAGCAGGCGCTGACGTGTCGAGGGCTGCATGATTGCCGTTTAGAGTTGGTTTCGGTTGGGCCGGGTCGTCGGCGACTTTGCCATTGGTTTGCGGTTCGTCAAAGAGGACGTCGTGCACGCTGCCAGGCATTAATGGACATTGCGCAAGGTGAGGGAGGCAGGCGCAAGGAGGCGCAAAGGGCGACTTACCCGTTTGTTTCGGTGTCGACTGCCATGGCGTCTGCCGGCGCAAAAGCGCTCACCTTCAGGTCCAAGGAAGTTTTGTCGACAGCAGGCGAGGTCATTACTGCCATAGGGCCATGAAAGGGAAAGTCGGATTTGCGCGCGGCTGACAGGGAAGCAGGGCTGCTTGGAGGCGTTGCCAATCTGGGGCTGTTAGCGACAGCCATTACATGCGCGTGCGCGACTACGCACTAGACGCGTAATAAGGGAGCGAGAGGGTAGCAGGATGATGGTAGGATGGTAGAGTAAAGTGTATGCGACGGATGTAGTGGGTGCAATGTGATGTGCAATGTCGGCGCGTGTGCAGCAGAGGTGGGGCGGGGATGTGAGACTAGCGTGGGGAGCAACGCGAGCAACAACAGAGGGGCAGCACGACAAGCATATATGTTGGGGAGGCTGAAACGCACGTGACTACGTACCAAGTGGCGGCGGCGAGATGGTGAAGAGCCGTGGCGGTCGGGGCTAAGCCGGACGTTATGCAGCGGCCAATGAGCCTCTGCGAAGGCCGACGCGTCTGGGGTGGGGCGCGAGGCGGATGGGTCGAGGTGAAGGCGAGCGGCGGCGGACTTTGGTTCTGAGGCAAAGACGAGCGTGGGAGCGGAGCAGCAGGCGCAGGCACAAGCACAACCAAGTCCAACACCACAATGGCTGGCGATGGTAGATGCGCAGGGATGGTGACGGCGGGCTGGGTGCTCGGACGGCCGGTGAGGACTAGCGCGGTGCAGGTGCAGGTGGAGGTGCAGGCCGGCCGGGGGTGGAGGGAGGAATTATTAAAAGTCGCAAGTATTACAGAGTGTGCGTGGTGGTGGTGGTCAAGTGTGAGCGGGAAGCGTGGGCGAGCCTGGGCGAGGGGTTGTTTGTGTGGCGGGGTGCGAGTAAGGTTAGGGTGATGGGGAGCAGGCGCGTAGTGATTGGAGGCAGATCAGGACAATGGACGCAAGAACGTCGAAGACAGACGCGAGAGGAGAGGCATTGGGGTTAAGTAGCCCGGCCCTTCCATCTCCGAGCCAAGCCCTGCTGGAGCCCCTGACCTGCCACTAACCTGGACGGGGTACGTGTCCTTGCCGGCCATTGCACCACCACTCTCTGCCTCTGCCTCAAAGCCTCAAAGCCTCTGCCTACAGCCTGCCACCAAGCCGCCCCGCACTCACTGCATTGACTGCTGCGTGTGCGCACTGCTGCATCACGTCTCTGCCCGCCCTCTGCTGCTGCTTCTGTTGCCATTGCCGGGGCGGCGACTGTTGCTGCGACACTTGGTGCTGCTGCTGTCCGCGCCGTGGAGCGTTGCCATCAAGCATCCGTGGGCCAGCTCTTCACCGTACCATGATCCCTGTCACCGTGGTCCGTGCGTGCAGGGGTGGCTAATCCGCTCTTTCCAAATTTTTTGCGACCACTTGCATCTCTGCGCGTGCTGCTACAGCCTGACAGCACCACGGCCTTGTCGACCTCTCGTCTTCCTCGCTGCCATTCCCCAATCACGCCGGCTGCCTGCCCCTCAAGATCCCCTCCACCATGCCCGCTGCTCTCTCAGCCCCTCGCTCGCGCGACCGCGCCCCGCCCGCGAAGAAGGCAAAGTTAGCCCAGCCGCATGCCTCTGCCACAGCCCGCCAGAATGGTCTCAAGGCGCTAGCTGGCGGCAGCATGGCCAAGCCCATGGCCAAAACTATCGGCCTCAAGAATTCGCGCGCTGAAAAGGTCGACGACGCCACGGCTGCCATCCAAGGACCTGCCGATGCCCACATAGCAGATGCGGACGTCATTGAAATCAGCAGCGCCGACGAGCAGAGCGATGACGATTCCGATGATGCGCACGGCCACTCCGCACACACCAGCGTCGACCAAGACACTCCCGCCCCCAATGCCACCGCAGATGAAGACAATGAAGACGTTACCTTCGGCGACCGCTTGCGTGCAGAGGCTCCCGAGCCCGTACAAGAGTCGCGCATCATCAGCGTCGAGGATACTTTCGAACCAAACCCAGAGCGCACCGTAGCTACGACAAAAGACCGCCCGCTTGCGCCACCCAATGCAAACTCTCTCGGCACCGTCCTGACCCAGGCGTTGCGCACAAACGATAAGGAGCTTCTTGATTCCTGTCTGCAAGTCGTCGATGTAGAATCCGTATATGCCACCGTAGAACGGCTGCCATCGCCCCTCGTAGGAACACTGTTGCAGAGATTGGCCGAGCGCCTGCATCGGAGCCCTGGCCGTGCAGGCATGTTGATGGCCTGGGTGCAATGGTCACTGTAAGTTTTCACATGTCTACTGCACATAAGACACGCACACTGACTCTAATCTTACACAGCGCCGCCCACGGTGGATATCTGGCATCGCAGCCGCAAATCGTCAAGCAACTCACTGCACTCAACAAAGTACTCAAGGAGCGCTCGAGCGGACTGATGCCTCTCATGTCGCTAAAAGGCCGTCTGGACATGCTTCAGGCCCAACTCGACCTAAGGAAACGGAACCAAGCCGCCAATGACGATGCTGACGAGGCCCTCATCTACGTCGAAGGCCAGGATGACTATGTCTCCGACGACGAGTCGGTCGAGGGAGCCACTGCGACAACAAAAAGATTGCGCGCAGAGATGGATGACGACGAGGACACTTCTTCGGACGAAATGGGCTTGAATATCGAAATGGATGACGTTTCAGACGAGGATAGCGAAGGCTCGGATGACGATCTCATTGATGACGAGGCCGAAGAGACGGACGACGACGAGGGCGAGGACATGTCAGACCCCATGAGCGACGGTATGGATGATGGTGGTGCCTCTGAAAGCGAGGACGAGTCCAAACCAGAGCGACGGTCTACAGCCGCAAGGGCTGGGCTCAAAAGCCGGCGTTGATCTCTCGGACCCGAGCTCCGATTTTCTGATGTAATTCACCGCAGTCCACGCATCACTGCGTGATGCTTCTGCCTACCCAAAATGGAGTTTGACATACACGGCGTTATTTACAGAGGCGTGGTTTCTTGCCTATGCCATTTCAATCGAGTTTCCAATGTCTACATCTATAGACACGATTCTTTTGCACAGCGCTAAATAGACGGCTTTGCATATTGGTTATACTATATTCCGAACCGCAGTCTCAAGTCTTTGTCATAGTCTTGACGCTTATCAATTGATAGTACCATGAATCAACGGTATTACTAGAGAGGGGTCATGTGATGCCAAATTTCTGTCTAATAGGCCGATTCAAGAGTAGACAGTACTTGTACTTGACAGAGAATTATGTAAATCCCTGGCACCTGGCACATGGGACGTACCCTAGGACAAGACGGTTCCACACTTCAGACGTATGGAAAATTCAGTACGCAACCAAGCAAAGTTATAGCATGCGCCATGTTTTATTCTCTGGTTTGCGGAGCTGCTAGAGCAATTACTTCTTTAGTCAAGGCAGTGACGCCAAGGAACACACTTCAGCTGTGCGTAGAGACATTGTCCAATCAGCGGCCTCAACTGCAGCTTCGCTCGCTCACCACAGCGCGTTTTCGCCTATCTTTAAGACTAATCACCACGTTGCGGTTCCCTGACGCCCATTCTAATCCAGACTTTTCGGCCGCCCGTGAATTGACCGCTTTGATAAGCCCGAATGCTCTCACCGCATTCTGCGGCATTTTTTTGGCTTACTAGCCGCCCATACTTTCGATATCACGTGATATTGTCTGTTGTCAGATCTAGCTTGCAACTCTCGAATTGAGCTGGTTCCGTTGCTCACTTTTTTTTCCCTTCGCAGTGGTTAGGACAATTCGTACGTTCGGTCAAAATTCAGTGTGTTAGCAAAGAAGAAGGTTGTTCCACACAACATCAACATAGTTGGCACTATTCGCCAGCATGTCTAGTCATTCCACATAGGGTCAATATCCTATACTACAAGACCTAGTCTCTTGCCATATACACTACATTATTCGTTTTCAGTAGTGACTCTCAAGTGCAATATGTGTCGACTTGTGTGCTCTGACATGTGGTTTTCTTTTGTAGAGCACGGAGTATCTCTTTGTTGCTATACTGCACAGTTTGCGTATCTTGTTTAAACCTTTGTTCCAACAACATGTACGTGTTAACAGTGTCTTTGAACAGTTACATTTTTTCGCTCTTATTAGGTGGGTAGTAAATACAATCGGGAAAATTCTCGAGCGCAAAATCACTGATTACGCATTATTTATGTTGGGTGATGTTTATCCAGCAACACAATCGAGATTGAATTTGTTTATGATTATAAGATTTGACACAACACCTATTCCGCAAACAATTTCAGTGCTGTATTTTCACCTTAATTATCATATCCATTTCTTCCAGCAATATCTCTAGGGACAGACTCAAAATGACGTCGAACATTGATCGTCGGGAATTTCCATCCAATCTCCTGCGTCTTTCCAAACAAGTCCTCGTTAGCATCACAGGAACCCAATCTCCAGTCAAGCAAACATTCCTACTTAGTCCTACCCCTTCAGAAGAAAGCTTCCGCCCAGACTCTCCCATACTTCAACTTTTTTACGGTAGAGATGCCTTAACAACTACCAACACATCAGATACCTCTATAAATTCACTATCTACTTCGACAGGCGATACCCAAGAAAACGGTCGAGTAACTTGGCGATCTGCAGATGCAAGAATGAGCGATATACTACCAGATGATATGGATCTCTATGCTGAGGCTGAGCCGCATATTCAAAGGGAAAGTACTGAGACACATGGCAGACAACATCAGTCCGTAACAGCGCAAGAACCAATCTTTGGCCCAGAGGTCAGAAATGGGCTACAAACTATCAACAAGGACGATTTTCCATACTATCCTTTGCCTTCGCACTCTTCGCTACCCACAGCCCCTGTGCATGAGGAAGCGAAGACAGATCTAAATGATGATGCGCGACCACTGCTAAGGAGGGGAGCAAGGGCAATGAGGCTGAAAAACTATCTGAAATGCGTGTTTCGAAAGTATGGAATCAAGAAGGCGTAATGAGTTTGTTTGAATTCTTTGCATGCATTTTTAGATAACGTCTATCCCTAAGTCACGGGACGCATCCCGTCGCGAGACGCATAGCAAGTACTTTGAGATTAAGCAATTATAGTCTTCTGAGCGCATGTGATTAATCTACAATCTTCTGTTAATAGTTTTTTTTTGTAGCCTATTCTAAAATGCTTCTATACTTTAGGATACAAAAATTACAACGTCGTTAACGCCTGCATCCCGTATACAATAGAGTCTTCTGTTATGCCTAAATCCATACCTATGCTATACAGCACTATACTTGTCTCCTTAGACCCTGTTAAGTTAATAAACTTACTTATCTAGGCTTCCAAGTGCTATTATAGGAATAGAAGGCCGCCACCAGCCTTGTAGTGATTGTCGCGCGTTCATTCATACGTGATTACCACCCTAGTCGGTACTTGAGATCGAAGTGGCTTCCCAATACGGTTAATAGAGAACCAATTCCGCACTTATAATATAAGTAGTTAACTAGCGTGTGATTTATTTTGTATAGCTACAAGTGCCACCTGCTTAGCAGCTCAGACTGTGCTACTTTCGCTAGCCACTATCCTAGGCTTAATACCATGCATTGCGAGTCAGTCACTCCTAAATACCCGTCTGTAGGACGCAAAAAAAAAAATGCTATTCGCATACTAGTATGTATATTATTGTAGAGTAGTATTCTACTCTAAGTGATATGCATTATCTCCAGCATTACACCGTCGTACAGCGAGCCCAGCAGTGCCACTTCAGCTCCGTGCATGCGTGTTACAGGCGCTCTCGAGAGCGACACTACTAGCATATTACGTACTCGTTCTTGCGCTGTTGCGCTCTAGTATTAGCCGTACTGCATCTTCTTCTTCCACCACCACGCCCTTACGTTTGCAACCGCGTCTCTTTTTCTCTACTGCTGCTCTATTTTTTGCCGCGCGCCTTGACCGTGTTTCTTCGAGCTCATCGAAACTCATCACCTTGGCCCCACCCAGTACGGCTGACTTGGCCGACCATCGAGCCTTGGTGGCGTTGATCTTGAAGAAGAACTGGTTCTGGTTCTGCGGCAGCGATAGAGGGTGGCGGCAAGCACAATTGGGCGTTCTAAAATTAAGAACAAGCTGGGGAGGTAAGTAGCTATGCGTGTTCTAGGAATTTCTTCCCGGCTGCGTGGGTGCCTGCGCTCGAACTACCCACACATGTTACAGAACCTACGTGGAGCACCTTTTGACCCAGCCTAATATAAGCAGTCAAGGTCAATTGTGTGTTGTATTGAATTACTGAGAGCTGGTTTAGCTAGCTAAATACAGTATAATTAGTCAGTAGACGACCACGTGGCGTTACATGGTATTCTGGGCTGACACCTAAGCTGAACCAACAGCATACTTTATGGTGTATACGTTAAGGGACAGTTATCAAAAATTCATTTTCTAGCTGCGCTGAAGCTCACTACAAGAAATGGCCCTACACAATCACTGCCCATACTCAAGAGTGCATGCTGTTGACATGCGCCGCTAGCTTGTCTTTTCTGTGGAAAGCCTCGCCACCTCTTTCCACGCTGCGAGGACAAGTTGGGTCGTGACACCAGAAGTTGGGCTTGTTGGTGGCATGAAGCGTGGTGTGATGCCGCCTCAGCTCAGACGGGCGACCAAAGGTCTGGCCTGTGCAGCTCTCATCGTTACACATGAACTTTCCGTTGCTGAGTACGGAGCCGATACGCGCGATAGTTTCCTGATTGTCGTCAATCATACCGACTTTAGGCCAGAACCTCTGACATTGTTGTTCCGTGTAAACAGTATTATTCAAAGAAGGACGTTGCAAGAAGTGTAGGTCTAACGGATGAACACCGAGGTCGAGAGGTGGGACGCTCTGATTCGTCACTGCACTGTTCCAAATGTTGTTTTGGAAGAGCTGAGGAGCTGGGCTGCTTGAAGATGATTGACTGGGCAATACATAAGTCAAAAATTATTACCACAACTATTGTCTACACTCACTCGGTTGTGTACGCAACTGGAATCCAGTGGAGTATGTCTATGGCTCTGTGCGCCTCGTACGACGACGACTGGCAATCGAAGGCCATGTTCGACCTAGAGTCTCGATCATGATCAGTCTGGACGGGTCGTTTGTCTGCATTCGAGGCAGTATGTGTCAGTAGACTGCCAAGACCGTTCGATAGAAGTGCTGCGCATCTGTTACCTTGAATACAGCAGCATCGGACGACAATAAACGTACCTTGACCGTGATCTTCGCTGACTTGATTAGTACTCGTACCACGCAGACCGAAGGTGTTTGGGTAAGTCCACCCTTCGGCTAAGACCAAACTATTAGTATGTTGCTATCTCGTCAAGATATCAGCGGGTGGAGTTCAAACGTACGTCCAGCTTCATTGCTAGGACCCAGTTCATTCTTGGCTTGGCTTGGCCAAGGACTGGAGTTGCGACCATAGTAAGACAGGTAAGAATGGTCCATTGTCTGGTTCTTTGACAGAAAACTGAGAGGTTTACAACGAGTGATGGAAGAACGACCACGGCTGTGTCGAAGACTTGGACTCTCGGTGTTCTAAGTGTGTGGACGTTTGACAGTGCCGGACAAAGCACCCGCTCGATATAAGTACATAGCTGGACGACCTTTCGCAGTCACAAAAACAGAGAGACAAGTTGCCCTTGTCGCCCCCTTGTATGCGTGTTTACACACCATGCAGCTGTGAGCTCCTTGCGCAAAAGAGCACGTAGTAGGTAACTGATAGTCATACACCGTGACCGTTTCCTGGCTGATTCGCTGTATTGCAAAATAACAATCTGACACAGATTGTCATAATGTTCACCAGCCAATCAGGACGCCCATGTGCCGTGTGCTCCTGCAATTGTACTTTTGCAAGCGTGGGCGAGATGCGGGCGGAGGCTTGCGCACAGGCACCCATGCAGCGCCACGCTACGTGCGAGCTGCAGTAGCGCTTGCCTGTACCCCAGCGACGATTGTAGTTTTGGCCTGTGCCCAATCGCCGCTCTTCTGTCTACGCCTCGCTGCTGGCTTGACGTGGGACAGCACTCCAGAGCCTCGTGCTGCAGACCGCAACATGGGGCATGGTGCGCCTTCATATTCTGTCCTTGCCCTGCGCGGGCGCTTTCTGCTCTTATGTCCTCCATCCCTCGCAACATCTGGCGATAAGACACATCTGTCTCAGTGGACGACCGACGCTGATGCTGGACGAAGCGCTAGCAATGGACTTTCCGCCGCACTACCAGCCTGGGCTTTCGCATGCTGGATACTACCATCCTTCTATCCAGCAAACACATAGACTGTACAGTATCGGCGACACCCCCACTCTTGACCATGAGGCACAGTATCAAGCCGGCCAAGCTGCAGATCTGCAGCTTCATGTGCAACAACCATTTAATAGTGGCGATAGTGAAGATGCGTCTGCATCTGCGCCTGCGCCTACTTCTTCGTTCACAAAACTCGCGGGCCCTTCATCGCGTATGGGCCCACCCACTCAATCGCGAAAGCGCAAGGCCCTGACTCTTCGCGAGGCTGACTGGGAGCCGTACAAAGCTCGTATCCTGGAATTGTTCACTACACAAGAGCTGCCGCTGCCGAAAGTGAAGCAGATTATAGAGGAAGAGTATGGGTTCAAAGCTGAGTACGTTCTCCTTGTACGGAATAGAGTAGATTGTCAGCATGCCACTAACACGGGCGCGTTCACAGACTCCGGCAGTACCGATCACGTATCAATCAGTGGGGAAAAGACAAGAACGTGAAGACGCATGAGATGCAGGCGATCGTGCGGAAGCGCCAGAAGAGAATGCTTGTCGAGACAGGCAAAGGCCAGCTCAAGTTCGACGTGCGAGGGAAGCCGGTAGAGCGGCAGAAGATCGAGCGGTGGATGAAGAGAAACAGTGTGGTAGAGAGCGCTCTGTACGCGCCTATTCCAGCAGCACGTAGGTCGAGCACAAGCCTGACAGAAGCCTTTCTGCTCTTGCTGATACGACATAGCCACACCATCTGACATAGGATGCTACACTATCTCTGACCGGGGCTCTCCTGCGGTGCTGTCTGCGTACTCACCGGCAACTGGGGTGCCGTCACCTGGAGGGATGTATGTGACGGCACAGAGCCCGCAGATGCCATCTCCTGCTTTGTCGACAGTGTCAAACATTTTTCGAGCACAAAACAGCATGTTCGCTGGGAAAAGCCCGGCGCTCACATACCGGCCACTTGCGCAGCCGCATCATGCCTTCGGCTATGCGTCGATCGGCATGAGCAGTCAAATGGAGATGGATATAGATGCACGACCACGATACAAAGGTGTCGAAGAAGAACGCTTGCGAGACCAGATCGCACAAGAAGAGCTATCTGTCGAGAGCAACCCTTGGAAGAGATCGCGAATGCTACGCGAGCTTGTGCAAGTGCTGATCGACCAGGGAAGGTATAGGTCTGCAGAGGAGGTGGCTCGCAGGCTAGTAGGGAGTTATGAGGGCCAAAACGAGACTGGTGAAGACGATGATGAGGGTGAGCTTGGGGCTTTAAGTCTTCTTGGCCAGGTTCTCCGACGTCAAGGCTTGAATAAGAAGGCCGAAAGGCTCTATTGGCGTGTACTACGAAGGAGAGAGATCTTGCTTGGAGCTGAGCACCCAGACACGCTCACCAGCGCCAGCAACCTTGGGTTGGTGCTAGAGAGCCAGGGTATGTACGACGAAGCAGAAGCGATGCATCGGCGAGCGCTAGAAGGATCAGAGAAGGTGCTTGGAGCTGAGCACCCAGACACGCTCACCAGCGCCAGCAACCTTGGGTCGGTGCTAGAGAGACAGGGTATGTACGACGAAGCAGAAGCGATGCATCGACGAGTGCTAGAAGTACGAGAGAAGGTGCTTGGAGCTGAGCACCCAGACACGCTCACCAGCTTATATCACCTCGCATTCCTTTTACATCGACAGCAACGCTACTCTGCTTCTCTCGGGCCGTACCAGCGAGCGTACGAGGGGCGGGTGAAAGTGCTTGGAGTACAGCATCCTAAAACAAAAGCATGTCTTAAGCACTACGAGTCTGCTAGGAGGCAGGCGAGAGTATAGCAGATGCGCCTTATGCACTATAAGATAGTTTAGAGCATAATACCCTGTTTGGCTTTGCTATTATGTGTGTATGCCTTGTTTTCCCTGGCTAAGCTTCCTTCGCACTGAGACTGGTATGTAGATATCTGCGCTAGCGCGGGAATAGGGCTGCCTCAATCGGCACGAACGTATGGCTAAAGCGTGATTGTTACGCACGATGTGACCCGATAGTCTAACTACTATTAGATACGCTAAGTAACAGTACTTATAATAGGTAAGATACACAGGGATAAGCGACGCTAGCTGCTCTAGTAGATTAGCATCTTCTAGTGAAGTACCTATCATCGCAGCGATTCTACGCAGACAGCTATGCGATGTAAAGGGGCTGCGCTCCAGGGAGCAATCGCGAGGTATACAAGAGGCTGTATTCGATAAGGAGCTATCTATTCTACTTACGTGATGTTTATTTACTTATTAGAGAAAGGTTATGCCGAAGTATCTGAGCGCGATGTCTGAGCGGGTGCTCAGGGTGACACCCGGATTCTACGCTCGTCATCTGAACGTAGTTCGAATGGCGCGCGCAGCTTGAACCGAGATCCCATCGAGGAGCTATCTAAAGGGCGTTTAGCCCGTTACATGCGATAGCAGCCACAATACTAGTAGACAGTATTTCATAATCTAGCGAAGGCTGGAAGAATATAGAGAGCCTTTCTGCTAGGCTGAATTGTAGCACTAGTCGCTTGGAAGCTGTGTATAGATAGTGATCAATTCTATCCTGTGGAGCAGTCGTTAGCAGATCTAGCGACAGCGCACTAACACACGAATAATCTTCATATCAACATAGTTTTGTGTACTCTGGTTAGGATAGCTATAGTAAGTTACAGACAGAAAAGAATAATCAGTAGCAACACGTCTGACCTATTCTCGTAGTTAGAAGGGCAAGTATCTCGCTTATTTTTCGAAGCAGGGGGTTTTACGAAGCAGGGGATTTTTCGATCTTCAGGGAGGACGTTAAGTAGACCAAGTAACTTACTTAGTGTCACGATACTCTAATATCAGGCCCAAGAAAGGCTAACCCTCCAGGATCTATCGGGCACCCCTTGGACTAGAGGAGTCATAGTCACGTGTATAGAGTATATAGCCTCAATCTGAACCCTTGAAAGATCTCCAAGGATTCGTCTTGATTCATATCTGATGATGTACTTGCTCCTACCTGTCAAACCCCTCACAGTTCGGTGATCGGGTAAAGAACTTATCATAAAGAAACCGCTATGTAGAGCTAATACCATTATAGTAAGCGCGCTACAAGAGAACCATGCGGTAAGAATAAGCGAACTGTGTGATTCGGAAACTGATTTTGGTCAACACTGTATCTCCAGATTTGAGGCAGAAAAGACGGCCGTTATCCACTTTACTTGCAAGGCGTATAAGAGTGTCACCGAGCCCTTCGTCATCAAGGGGCAGAGTGTACCGTCCAAGGACCACGTCAAGATACTCGGCGTGCTCATGGACGCTAAGCTTAAGTACCACAAGCACATTCCAAGAGCAGCCGCGAAGGGACTAGAAGCAGCATTGGAACTTAGGAGGCTTAGAAGGCTCTTGTCTACACTAGCGCGACAGCTGTTTAGAGCGAAGATCGCGCCGATAATAGACAACGCGTTGAACGTGTAGATGCATGCCTGCAAAGATAAGCTTGTGAGACCTATCAACAGGGTGTAAAGAATAGGTAGGTGCATAAGCAATCGCAGGGACGTTCCTCATGGTGACGACATAGTAGAGGTAGAAGCGCACATCCTAAGTGCACAAGAGCGGTTCTAGAAGCGAGCAGTTAAGCTATACTAAACTAATATCTATGTGCTGCCTAAGACGAATCTATTATGAAGAAACACGTCGCGGATGCGAAAGTTTAGAAGACAGTACCGCTTGCCGCTATTCTAGGTAGCAGAAGCGCTTAAGGACATAGAAAAGGAGTAGATGGAGACAATCCGGCTAGACGTATTGGCACTATGGGAAAAGAGAGTGCAGACCGTAGTGGAGAACGCAGCACAGGGCCTCGAGGCGAACTGGGCGGTACGCATCGCTGTAAGCAGCTCGTTGCAGAACGGTGCGGTCGGAATGGGAAGCGCGATCAGTATACAAGGCAACGAAACAAAAGCTTTCTCTGTTACGTTAGGCAAGAGAGAGGAACAGAACCCGTACGCTGCCATGGGCGCAATGATGGAGGGTACTACGAGGGGCTCTGCCGTGGTCTGCGAGGGTACGGTACGAGCTACGCACACTAGGAGGGACTCCTTGTGCTAATACTTGCCTTGCTTTATCCATGATAGGTAGCAACGATCTACAGGGCAGGTGCTGCCTAGTCGTCTAGAGGCATGGTGAAGCGTCGCGGTAACAAAGGTTGCATTCTCGTTCCGAGACCTACAATATGCGCTATACTTATTTTGACATCTGAAGCAATAGAATATAGCGCACCAATAATTACATTACAGCGTTGTGTCGTCAATTTGACTCGGTTAGAAGTATCTCGCTATGCTGGGAGGCTCTTCTGCGTTTCCTTCTCCACACGGTGAAACTCCCGGCATCCACAATTTCCACGATTGGGCAGTGCTAGATTCCAGCATGGCTATTTTTGACGCCTGTACTTCTTTCGTAGATGTCCGAATATTTGATAGAGATGAAAAGTCGCGTTTGGACAGGGGTCAAACCGTGAAGGCGCGACTAATACTAGTCTTGAGGGAAAGATCGACGACATGTCTAGTTTCGCAGAAATCCTGCTTGGAGGCTGTTCTCCTTAACGAGTAATAGCTATAGATCTTTTTACTTGTGCTACAGCTTCATTTATCTGTGCACTCGATTTTCCGAAGGTCCGAAGGGCGAAACCGTCTCTTCTCAGGGTGCATCCCGGGTCACAGGGATTGACGTTATCTAGACTGAATAGAATAGCAGTGTGATGAATCTAATTCTATCAGTTGTCACAAACATGTCTGAATTTAACACTCCCATTTCAATCACGACTTTTTTTTCAAAGTCTCCACCCAACCAAACATGTATAAACTTTTGCCATCTTCATCCACCTACACTGTAAATCTCCCCCATCTGAACATCATTCGTACACACAATAAACTGTAGAGCAACAATGTCTCGCCTCAACTACGCCCACCAAATCCTCGCACTGATATTTAAAATGTTTCCGTCTAATCTCTAATCATATCAGCAAATCAATCAATCAACCAGAAAGTCAGAGTAGACGAAAAGGTCCAGTTACAATCCCATCCACACCACGTACAAATCACAATGTCCCCCTACAACACCCCAGCCTACCACTCCACCTCACCCACATCCCACGGCCTCCCCAGCGACGAATACAAGTACCTCAAACGACAGCAAGAAAAATCCCGTCTAGAATGGCACTTGGCTAAGAAGCATCTTCTCCCATCTCCATCCTCATCTTCTTCCTCCTGTTTTTCCTCTTCTCCCTCTTTTCCCTCCTCCTCCACGTATTCTTCCTCATCTTTCCCCTCCTCCCTCTTTTGTTCTTCCTTCTCTTCTTCCAGCTCCTCCCTCTCCTCCCCCTCCTCCTCCTCATACCACGCCCCCCAATACCCCCGCACCCCCTACCAAGCCCAGCGCCTCCCCCGCGCCCACTGCGTCCAAATCTCAGAGGTAAAAAACGCAACACGGAAAGCACTAGCTTCTGTTTTTGATTCTAGTACTGACGACATGTATGAGGAGTGGCTGCGGAGCCGATATGATGATCGTGTGTATCGCCGTGTTAGCTCGCGAAGGGATATCGATGAGTATTACAATAGCGATAGAGCGAGATTGAATCGGGGGAGTGGCGAGTCGATACGTATGAGGTATCATAATATGAATGGGTATGGGAGCAGGGCGTCGGCAGATGATGTTGGTGGACCAAGGCTTGGGAGTAAGTTTAGCTTTGATAGTTTGGATGATGCTTAGTGGCTTTTTTTTGTTAGAGAATTGAAGGGATCATCAAATATTTGATGCTAATATCACATTTTAGTCAGTAAGAGATTGGGATCAATGTGAAATTAGACAAGTATTTTGCAACATATCGTTGATATTCCGGTCTATGTACGGGTTTGAACAGCCGTTGTACGCAGCAAGATGCGTAACAACAAACTATCCAGAGAAACAATAAATATTTACAGTCGAAGCTTCTTTGGGAGTAGGTTTCAAATGACGGTGTCCATGGTGATGCGATCAAACAACCTATTCACTCTCCCCCCCCTGAAGCATTGTTCTTGATGAATATGGCGACAAATGCGCACATTCTTAGGCAAAGCCAAAGAACTTCATGTCATCGGCGCCCCGGATAGGGACGGTGTGTCCAATGTTGGCGGCAAGGATACCCTGAACATTGGGACCCCAGACGGTCTTGGTGAAAGCGCTCTGAGGGGTGTTCTGCTGGACGCTCTGGGGCTTGTCGTAGTTGTAGCCGAAAACACCGGCCCACTGCTTCATCGTCTCGGGGTAGTTCTGGGGGCGGAGGGTGGTATCGACATTGCCGTGGTAGATTTGCATCTTAGGGCGAGGGCCGGAGTAGCCAGCGTCCATGTCGGTCACGATCTTGGCCCACGCAGCAGGTGTCTTGCTGACCTTGCCCTGAGCGCAGTCGCTGTTCCAGGCAGCAACAGCACCAGACGGGGACGCGAAGCAACCGGCTGGCACTCCGTTGTAAACGATGGCAGCCTTGAACAGCTCGGGGTAGGCTGCAGCCATAACATTCTGTGTTGACGTCAGTATTGTAACAGGGGTTCTGAAAAGCGCAAAGGGTAATGGCGTACCGTCATCATGGCACCACTGCTGGAACCAGTAACAAAGACCTTGTTGGTGTTCACCTTGTACTCCTTAATCGCCCACTTGGCCATGTTGGCAATGGTGTTGGAGTCTCCACCGCCGTTGTGGGTGAGGGTCTTCTTGCTGCTCACATCCCAGCATGATTGAGGCGAGCTTGGGTAGACGACGACGAAACCATACTGCTCAGACAGGGTTTTGTAAGGGCTACCGTTGTAGTATGCCTGGGCTGTACCACCGCAGTAATGGATGGCAACAATGAGACCCGGCGAGGCAGCAAGCTTCTTGGGAACATAGATGAAGAAGCCTGCCTTGGTAGGTGCGTCAAAACCGGAGGTAACCTGGGAGAGGGTACCAGGAGTGACAGCACGCTTACCGATAGTCGCGGCTGCGGCTACGGACAAGAGGCTGGAAACGATAGAGAGGAAACGCATGGTGTTGGATTGAAAGAGTGATGGGTATAGTTGTGTGATTCATAGGGCAGTGGAAGTAGTGCGGCTCTTATAGACCTTGTTGTGAACAGAAAGGTACGTGCGCCAAGGGAAGCTTGTTTGGCATGCCTAGCATTGCTGTGAAACAGTCCAGCAATCAGGACGAGCGGAAATGAGCTCATAGAGCCATTCATTGGAGCGATTCTTCTCCATTTGTTCTCTGTCGCAAGGTGTATATGAAGGGGCTTTAGATGTTAAGGCACTAGGCTTGGATCTTAAAGCACTAGACTTTATTAGACTGAAGCTTGTTTCCATTAAACCTAGCTCGGCAAAGATTCTAGGCGCTTGGGTTTCGATTAACTACCGAACCCCTGACGTTTACCGGGGTTTTGACAGATCGGAGAAACTCCCCAGATTAATCCGCCGGAAACAATACAAATGCACTGTCGAAGCGATGCACTGGTATGGCCGAAACAAAACTTGAGGTACATTGTAAATAGCGCGGGACCTCGTTTCCTCGACAAAGAGGCAAACCCTCAGGGACACAAGGCAACACCAAAGAGGCAAACCCTCAGGGACACAAGGCAACACCAAAGGGTGCAAACGTGTTCAGGCACGCTTGGCTCCAATTCCGAGTCGGGCTTGTAATCGTATTCGATAAGATATAGTCTCGGCATAACACCAAGGTGGAAGGTGTCGCTGTTTGGATGGTTGAAAGTAGGCATTGGAAAGGGTCTAGTTTCCTGGTCTTCAACGTCCAGCCCAAATACCATCTCCCCGCCCCAGCCCAGCGAATGTGAGGCCGCCCATAACGCCGCCGCCACCACCGCCGAGATTCTTCCCTTCATTTACTGGCCTTTTGGCGACTCTGCCTTGGGCTTTGACTGCCTGTATGACCTTGTCAAGCTGTGTCTCGACGACCACACCGCCGACAATCATTTCGCCCAATGTGGCATGCAGCGTCTCGAAATTAAAGATGAGGTCCAGTTCGCATACATTCTCAAAGAGGCCATCAAGTGCCTGTACGAAGACTTGAATAAGGTCAAGAAGGGCGAGGGGCGACTCGGTAGAAGTGGAAATGACGATAAAATACAGGGTCGCGTAGTGGCGGTAGGTTACGAGGGAGGGCGTGTCGTTGTGCGGGGTGCTAGGAGTTGAGGATTTGGAGCTGCTGGCGAGGAGCGGAGGAAGGCTGGAGCGGGATTAGCTCATGTTATGGAGGGCAAAAAAGGCGGCATAGAGAGCGGCTCACGGCAAGAAGTTGCATGCTGAATTAGGGCGATTGGCGACGAGGGTGAAGATTTCGGAAATGAGGCGCTGCTGGACGCTGGTTTCCTACGCGTCGTTGGTTTAACCGCGCGCACAAGCAGCCAGATGATGATGGAGGTGACGGTGAAGGTCACGTGCTCATACCAACTGGGTGTAGAATTTTGTCAGCCGCGGCTGTCCCGCATTGTTGAAGACCAGGACGGCGTTGATCATGATGGCGACGGGCGACGGGTGATGGGCGATGGGGTGCGGTTAGCGGTCAGTCGTGGCAGTTGGTTGGTGAGAGTCTCCACCCGCTGCAGGTGCGGGGACGTTTGCACATAGTAGCAGCACATACGTAGGCGAGCAGGACGAGGAGGGGGTCCATGCTCCTGCCGCTTGCTCCATCACCACGAAGCATTGTACGCTATACTGTACTATTACTGTGCTTATACTTCTCTTCCTCGTGCACAATCCAATTCACATTTCATCATGAGACCAGCAGCCACTCGCTTCGCCAGCGTAATCGCTCGTCGTGCCCTGCGCTCGCCGCTTCGCGACCAATTGCCTGTTGGTCGCGTCATCGCCAGCAGAGCTCCAGTTACTACCAACACAACATGCTTCCGTCCCTTGCATGTATCCGCAAGCTTGCGGAGCATCATGCCTGACTCTGAGGACCCAAAGCCACCAGAGCTTCCCTCCCAAGAAACGCCGGCCAAAGCAACCGATATCTCAATGCAAGAGTTCCATGAGCGCGCAGACCATTACCTGGGCGAGCTACAGCAGAGGCTTGAGGAGGCACAAGAGAACGACCCGGCCATTGAGGTGGATTACTCGGTATGTCGATGCTATGCATATGCATCGACATTGAATTGATCGCTAATTTGCTTTTTACTATAAACAGGCTGGCGTCCTCGAAGTCACATCCCAGAACAACACATTTGTCTTGAACAAGCAACCTCCAAACAAGCAAATCTGGCTCAGTTCCCCCATATCTGGACCAAAGCGTTTCGACTGGGTCGTGTCCCAAGAAGGTATGGGCGAAAAAGAAGGATGTGGTATTGGAGACTGGGTATATTTGCGAGACGGCAGCTCGCTCACTGAGATTCTGAGGAAAGAGCTGGGTGTTGACGTCAGCGTTGATGACGAGGTTCCGCGCTGATGGAGCAGAAAATGGTCACTAACATTTGCTGTAGCACGCGGCTCAGACCGCACATCCTGGGAATGGGTAGTCCATAGCCAAGTAGCGACAAGTCCAAAATTGTTATGCGCGCATGTTGCTCCAAACGCCGTGATATGTAACGCCATAATACATGCAAGGACAAGGCCCGAAAAAAAAGATAAAGTCTCCGCCGGTGATTTGTAGATTGAGGAGATGCAAGTCTAGGCGGCAATAGCAACACTCTGCGGCGTATCGTCGTTTTCCGGGGGCAGGTCGGACTGCGCAATGTTAGCAATCTCAAGATGCAGAAGAAATAAGGGTGGCACATACGGGGTCGAAGATGATCCTAATCATCAGGCTGCAGCTGGGGCAGCGCGCAATATCCTCGCCGTCTCGCATGTCGAAAATGGAAATCTCAAAACGGTCGCCGCAGGGACATGGGTGGTGGTAGATTTGCAGCGTCTCGTCGTAGAAACAGTCCTCGATTTCGATTTCGTCGTAGAGATTCAACTCTTCGTCAGCCATGGCTTCTAGTGTGGGTGGTATAGTTTGTCGACGACAACGTGGTGGTGGCGCGGGGAGGGGGGCACCGGGGGATGGAAACTTGGGCTCGGACGCGCTAGGCTTTGACTGCAGCCGTCCATTCACACGCCTCGAACCTCCGAACCCCAACACGAACACGACACACATGTAACTACACGTACCATACGACAAGACCGCAACCACCGCCCACTGTCTGCCGCCCGCCTGTACCGCCTGCGACTTTCACCCTATCATGGGCATGGGCGCACGCCTGCCCCAATCCACCACCGCTCAGCACCATGGGCGATGTCGAGTCCGCGACAGTCAAGCTCGCTGAGCTGCTACGACACCCAGAGGACCTCGACAAGATCCCCGCCCTCAAGGCCGAATTCACCCGCAAGAAGGCAGCCGTCGATGGACAACTGCGCCATGGCCTCAAGGAGCAGCTGGAGCTGACCCAATCGGGCATGAGTAGCATCACCGAGGGACAGCGGACCGTCAATCAGATCAAGGAGGAGATGATGAAGATTGACAAGCTGTGTGCAGAGGCCCAGAACATGATCCAGGACTTTCCCCACATCAACTTGGTAGCCCAGACACACAAGAACTTTGAGTCAGTCGAGAAGATGCGAAATGACATTGAGAGCTTCGCACAGCGCCTGGAGAACCTCGAGATGCTGTTGGAAGAGGATGCCCAAGATCCCGCCAACCAACCCAACCTACTGCAGGTACACTACGGCTTGACGCAGCTGCGCGACATCCGCGACGAGGCCATAGGCCAGATCAAGAACAGCGACAGCTCCACGGAGCTCATCGACAATCTCACCCTCGAAAGCGGTGTCACAGTACGAGATCTCTTTACGCGATTGGACGACGTCGTCGAGTGGTTTGACAGACATGTTGGCGAGGCTTGCATAAACTTGATTGAGCTGGTCCAGGCTGGCAACGATGGCATGGTAGTGCGCCTGGCTATCGTCGTTGAGGAGGAGGAGAAGACGGACAAGAAGATCAAGGCTTTGCAGGATGCTCAGAGAGAATTTGGAGACCTTGCCTCGCGCTTCAAATCCATTGCTCAAGGCCCCAAGGAGCTTCGTGGATACAAGGAGAAGTTCATCACGTCGATTGAATATGTTTGCAAAGCACAAATGGACGAAGTGAGACAGAAGTTCATGGAGGACCCAGAGAAGATTGAAAAGTACTTCAAGTGGTACTTCAACAACCTCAACACCGTGAAGCTGGGCATGGTTAATCTGATGCCCAAGAAGTGGAAGATTTTTGACACATATACCAACATTTACCACACCCAGATGCACGACTTCCTGATGAGTTTCGCCGATGACGAGGCCTTGGGACCACAGTACCTGCTCGGTGTTATCAACTGGGTGGACAAGTACTACACCAAAATGCAGAAGCTCGGTTTCTCGGAAGAGCAGCTGCAACCGCACGTTATTGATAACCGCAGTGCTGAGCTAATTCGCACATACCGCTCAGTCATCATCCAGGCAGTGGATCAATACATGGAGCGCATCAACAGCCAAGACAGGAAAAGCTTTCTGGATCAGGACAGATCTGCATATGAGATCAATCCCGACGGCATCTACCAGACGAGGTCGCTGGGAGATGTTTGGACGCTGTTCAGCCAAAACATTGGCGTTGCAGCGAGCAGTCAGCGTCCTGACGTGGCCGACGGTGTGGTAGACGCCATGTTCCGCGCTTTGATTTCACGCCAGCGCATATGGACTCAGCTCATAGACGAAGAGAAGGCCAAATATGCCGGTGCCAATCCTACACTTGATGGAGACGGAGTGCCCGTCTTCCAAGAATGGCTCGTTGCGCTCGCAAACGACCAAATTATATGCATCGATGACGACCTAGACGGTAGCGGCCGCGCTTCATTCTTGAGTGTCTTTGAGCGCGAAGTAACGCCCATTGTTTCGCAAGATTACATGATTGACAAGTTGTCCAAGAACATTGACGAAGTCAAGAACGGTTACATTGACATTTCGTCGCACTGCATACAAACCTTTTGCGAGCTAATCTTCCTGACGGACTTCAAGCCCATCTTTACCAAATTCTTTACGCCGGAATGGTATTCAAGAACAGACATGGCATCCATCATCTTGACCTTCAGAGATTATCTTGCTGAATTCGAAGGACAGCTTCACCGCTCACTGCATGACCTGATTATCGATTCCCTTGCCGATGAGCTGCTAGTACAGTACCTGGGCGCCGTACGCAACAAGGGTGCAAAGTTCAAGAGAACGGACCAGTTCGGGGCCAAGATGAAAGACGATCTCCTCACTGCGTTTGAGTTTTTCAGGTCGTACGGAGAGCAGGGCGCAGACATTATGCAGCGGTGGCGTGCTGTGCAAGAATTCCTCAACTTGCTTGAATGCGACAAGTCCCAGGTGCAGTTTGCTTATGTGCAGTTCAAGTCTGCCTACCGGGATGTCAGTATTAGCTGGGTCGAAGCCGTATTGAGGACCAGAGATGATTTCGATAGGGGCATGTTGAATGCAGTCAAAGCAAAAGCTGCAGAGCCTATTGCAGAAGATGCACCGCCTGACCCGATCATGGGAAGGGTGAAGTGAGGTGGAGTGTCTCTATAATCGGCTGCAGGATTCAGGGCGACTTCTGGCGTTGCAGGTGTACTTACACATTCGCATGAAGTGGGTCGGCGCAATGGCGACATGGTTGAGGATGCTATTAGTAGAGCAATACCCCAGGATTATAACTATGCCAAGATTAGCGAATACGCTTTTTTTCTACGTTGCGCAAAATATTTGACCTGCTGCCTCTCTGACAAACTCCTGGTCTGCTCACGGGAATTCACTGCACTGCCGTTTGTTGCCGGACATGACATCGGCAGTCCGTTGCTTGGATGTTGTCTTACTGACTGTGACAGTGTACGCAATCGAACGGTACCTTCATATCTCTCTAGAATGCACTAGGCCGAACCGGGCTAATGCAAGGGCCCCACCAGCGTCTCAGATGGAGGCCAAGAAGTGCGTGATAATCTCGTGCCGCTCCTATCAAGATGAGGGGTTAATCTATCCACAGGCTGTTGTTTTGGTTGCTGGTTATAATTGCTCCATGTTTTGAAACACTGTTTGTGTTTAACAATGGCCAATACTACCTATGCACTGCACATAGCATTGTGTAACTTCGAAACCGATGGCAAGAAGAACGCCCTAAAGCACGCATAACTACAAGCATAGATAGAGCAATGCGCATTTTACTCCACCATAGTCCCGCCGCTGAGAAGATACACCATCCAACCATTGCTTCTATCGCTCATGGATCGTCGTTCTAATCTCCGTTATCACCCCAGCTTTCGACCCTTTGACCCTGCGCTCTGTGGCTCGTGCAATGATACTCTATCCAATCCATACCCCGACACGGAGGAAATGAATCGGCACAGTCGATCCCAAGCAAGGTTGGTGCGCCCCATCTACATCAATCCACTGGTCTCCTTCATCTACTGTTAATATGCGGCATGTATAAGAGCCGCTCTACGCCTCGCCTATAGATACCTTTGCTTCTTCTTACCATCCAAACATCCACATAATCAATAGTATTCACTACTGTTAGTCACTCTTTTGAAACAATCAACCACGTTCTTTACAGCAACGCATTTCTCTCACGTTCAACTACTCTTTTCGTTCTATACCCATTTCTTCTCCAAACAAGAACAAGAACAATAAACAAAATGCGTTTCACCATCATCGCCGCTTCTCTCGTCGCAGCTGTTGCTGCTCAGTACCCTGCTGCTAGCGAGACTTGTGCCGCCCCGGTCACGGTCACGGTCACCAAGTAAGACTTATATCATACCAATAGCACTTCCAAACACTTGCTAATCACCTTCCAGGACCATGGGCCACACTCCTGTTGCTCCCTCAAGTGGTTCTGCCTACTACCCAACCACCGTTGCTGTCTACCCCACCAGCACTCCTCTGGTTCCCGAGGCTTCCACCGCCATCAGCGGTGCCCCTCCTGTCGTCTCTGGTACCGCTGCCCCTACCGGCACTGGCGTTCCCATCCCCGAGTTCACTGGTGCTGCTTCCAGCGTCAAGGTCGGCAGCGCTCTTGCCGGTCTCGGTGCCGTCGCCGCTCTTCTGTTGTAGATATGCACGTGAAGGACTCCTCTTGGGAAAATACTAGGGCAGAGCAGCTGTATATACCCTGACTTACAATTCTTTTTACCCCTCTTTTAAATCACACTTTGGGCTACGTTTACGGACGCCTTTTTCTCACGACTTGTTTTATCAGATGTTGTCTGCAAGGTCTTAATGGTCGTCATGGACGATGAACTAGATTGACTTGTTCATAGCGTTAATGTGTATCCATTCCATCTACTTTGCTGCCTTCATGATTTCGTAGTCAAGAATCTTTGTGCAGGAGCTTTGCCCGTGATCAGGTACTCGACGATTATATCGCCTGCCTCTCCACCCAGAGGCAAACTTCCGTGCCCATCACCCTGGCGGACTACCAACACTGAGTTTTTGATCTCCTCCAACATACCCACCGCCCACGGGATTCCCGTCGAAGCATCTCCCGTGCTCGTCACCATGAGCACAGTGGTATCCGTCTTGACGTCTAACTTCTGAGGCGGATTCTTCACTGCAACAGGCCATCCGATACACGCGTGTTGCGCTGCCCATCTGTGATTTGCGCCACGGTTAAGACCAAAATATGCATTGGCCATTTCCATCTTGGCCTTGACTTCTGCAAGAGAATCCGAGCGATCCCAGTCCAGGCATTGAATCGCGAGCCGGGAAAAGACATCGGGACTTGTAGATGATGTTGACAAGGCAGTTGCATCACCGCGCGAAGCATTGAACAGTGCCGATGCGAGAAGCTCCCAGGACGCGCCCAAACCGATTCCTGCCCCAGGAAAATTCAGGTGACCTTGCGCATTGAAGAGAATGTCTTCGTCGCTCACAGCTGCTCGGCAGTTGATGCCGTCACAGGATAGTGCGGGTATCGGTGTTTCCTTTGCGCTGGCAAGTAGATCTAGCCACAGCGCTTTCACGTCCTGCCCGCGAAGCGGCGAATTTTCACCAGTAGCTGCCCACGTGAAGAAGTGTTGCAGCACAAGCTCGTAAGACGACGCGCCGATGAAGATGTCTGCCGCTTCAGATTGCGAATGCTGTGATATGGCATCGAGAACAAGAGTGCGGACGTTGTCGGGAAACAGACTAATGTACTGTGCAGCCAGCTGAGATCCATATGACAACCCAACAAAATTCATCGGCTCGTTGCCAAGTGCTATACGAACAGCTTCATGGTCTTTTGCTGCGCTGATGGTATCGACGTGTTCAAGCAGTGGCCCCGTTAATTCACGGCACGATTCTCCCAACCTCTTGTTTTTGTCGGCAAGTGCAGCATACTCCTCTTCTGTCTGAGGAAACAGTGATATAGCCTCTGTATAAATTGCTGGGTCGCACTTCACTTGATGGCTCATACCAGTACCACGTGGATCCAACCCGATGATATCAAATGCAGGCCGAAGTTGAGGGGTCTGGCCCGGAAATGCGCTGATCGCTATCAATGATACCAGCGATGATGCTGGACTACCGGGGCCTCCTGGGTTGATGAATACGGACCCAATCTTGGATGTTGTGTTTGAAGGCGCTGCGGGTAGTCTGACGAGCCCAAGATCGAAGTGTTCGCCATAGGGCGTGTCCCAATCAATAGGAACCGAGAATGTTGCACATTCTAGGCTTGGAGGCAAGCCAAGCTGTGGTGAACATGCATTCCATGAAATAGAAGAAGATGTACTGTTTAGTGGTGGGAAAGTGTATGAATTCATGGCGCGTGGATTGGCTGAAAGGCGAGCTGGTATGGTAACAAAAACGATCACGTGACCAATGAATGTACTATTTTACTACGCTTGTTTCGACACCAGGTTCAGAAGGTGGGATGAAAGCTGAAAGTTACTTGAACAGAGAAACTTGAATGCCTTTTACCTAGCGGACCTGCGTATCTACCTACAATGAGCAATTACGGGTGCCTTGAAATGTAAGCGCTACATCTCGGTAATGGGAGAGCGGCATCCAACTCTACGCAAGATTTACTCTACTTCGCCTAGTATGTACAGTAGTGCTGATTTTGGCTGTCCATTGCCAAGTAAGGCATGCACGGATGGTACGGATGACGGATAGATGCATGGCATGATCCTTCGAAGGGTACAACACAGCACGCCTGAAACGTGATTGGATTGTATTGAGAGGAATAGAAAGTACTTTGATCGCCCTGTTGGACGCCGTGGTCCCATGACTTGAGCTGGCTGAAGATTTCCCGTATTGCACGCTGTGTATATGCTATACTTACACTTTATGCTATACGTTTCACATCTAGTAAGTGGTTGGTGGGTGCCACGTGCTGCGGCGATAAGGTTATGACGCAATTATTCGTCCGAAGGTCTGTGTAACATTTGAGACGCGCTGAACATTAATTCTTTTTAAACCAAAACTGGCCATGTGACACTCTTTCCAAAGAACAACTGGAGCCAAGAATTTTTGAGTTATTTGAAGTTCGAAAGTCCATACTCGAAACGTCTATATCGGGAGGTGAGTCCAGACGGTGGCAACAATGGCTAAACGTTGGCTACATGCACCAAGTGTTGTAAACACTGTTGTGTGTAACAAATCGCCCAATACTACTCCTATAGCACGCATCCCTGCACTTGGTTATCACCGGCATCTAATACGAAAGCTGTGGTAGTGTCCATTATAAAACACCACATAAAGCCTGATGACATCGACAAGCGACAAAACGCATGCTCCGGAGCTGACAGAGGCGGTCCTCATCCTTCAGACTATCGTACGAAAATTCATCAAGGATGTAGAAAGCAAGCGTCAAAATATCTTTCAGAATACACCACATGACCTAGCACTAAGTGGTGGATTGGCAATAGTCACTAGCCTTTCAGCTGCTGCTGATGAGGAGACCAAAACCCATTTAGAGAGCCTTTTGGAAGAAACCCTAAGATTGGAAAGACAGCTTCGCGCGATAGGGAAATGGCATCCACCGTCAAAACCCTGGGACGCGCCATTTCCCACCGCTCTCGATTTTGAAGATCTGTCGAGTGCAACCCGTGTTCTTCGCCACATGATCGCCTCTACGGCTTCTGCCAACCAGCGCACTCCCCAACAAACATTGTCGGCCTACTCCTGGACTTGGGATCCCGCATGGCGCGAGTTTTACACATTCCTCCCCACTCAAAATGCGTATATTTATCTGTCCCAATGGAAACTGAACGAGGCAAGGGGCGTCTGGGAACATGTAAGCATGACCGGAACAAACTTGATGCCTAATGACGCTGCAGAAAAGTTGGGTGCTTGGGAAGACTGGAAGTGGGATGCAATCGCTGGGCAGTGGTATCTCGATATGGGTTCAAAATCTGGCGAGCAGGTTCAGATATTTGCAAGCCCGTGGCAGATACAAGAAGATGGCGAGTGGGTATACGTCGGAACGATTGGAAGTATCGAGTGAACGCGTGGCAACTAAGTTCTCGAGCAAGCATGATGCCTGAGTGATTCTCATGAAATTTGGAAACATCTTTGGATACTTAAACAATATGAATAGTACCTTGTGAGAAAACATTGTCTTAAAACTTTCCTTGATGACCATGTGCACCAACAGAGATTCCGAGCCAGCTTTCAACACTACCATCTATAAACTCCAACTATTCCCCTCTGTGACGCATCATCTTAATGCAAGAAATATTTGAATCTAGCACGTGTTGTTTTTGAAAGCATGCCACGACTGAAACCAAAGGTGGGTCAGGCCCGCAGAAACACGTTTCCAACCGTTGTTCCTATTCCACGTGGACATAGTACGTATGGAACCTGCATTGCACCAATTAATAGCATCAAGGCAGATGATCACGCGTTATCACAATCATTCACTAGCCACAACGACTACTTCAACTACCAACCAAAAACTGATATCCACGATGAACCCCATCTTAAACGCTCACATATCCCCACCCCGCTTCAGCTTCAGCACGATGACAACACACCCCTGTCGGCCGGCCCTTCAGGTTACAAATACATGCCACTGTCCTTGCGCACTCCGGACCTCGAGTCCTTCCGCTATGACCATGGCATAGAATTTAAGAAGCACTTCTCGATCAGAGAGACGGTCTTGAATGCCCAGTGGCATCAGATCTTCGATGAAGACGCGCTGCTATCCAGAACAAAGCGAAAGAGTGTACAATCTCTTAGAAAATTAAAGAACATCTTTCGAAGTAAGTTTGCCAAGGGGAAGGAATTTTGGAATGCATTTCGCTCTAGGTTTAAAAGGGAGTTCAAAGTCTCGCAGGTTGAGCATTGTGAAGTTTGAGTTAATGGTTATTTTCCATTTTTCCTTTCTTTTACGTAACTATTGTTTATGTTTGATTTCTTGAGACTCCAATGTAACGTCTTGTATTAGCTGCGGCCTTTTTCGGACTGTAAGATTGGATCGAAATTCATTTTGTATAGTAACGTCCGTCCCTGCGTGCCGCGACACACGGTGTGACGAGACACCTTCTCGTCCGGACGCTCAGATTGCCTGTTACATTCTCAAATGTAGGCAAGCAAGATGCGCATCCATTCTGCAACTCTTATTCTTTAAGCACATTAGCCTCTGATGCTGAAAATCGCGTTGTTGACTATGCTGTCGCTCGTTCTATCAGTGCTGGCGACTGACTCTCCTTTATTAGCACCCTGTTCGTTGGCTATAATACACGTTAGTAATGAGCTCAGTGGGTTAAGAAAGAAACTAAGATGGCAAAGTTCAAGACTGCAGCCTAGAAAGGTCAACTTAAGGTAAGGTGTGTGCATTCCGGCAGTTTCTCTGCGTTGGCGACAACATCGTTAAAATGCATCGAGCCGGCCGTGCGACTTTAGCTGCATCTGACAGCAGTAGTATGCTGAGATATTTGCGAGGGGTTGCACGCTGTGGCTGGAGCTGCGGCTCTCACTCATCGCCTGACCTTAGACAGCTCTTATTCCTAGGCCGTGTAGGCAGTCGCCCCCGTCGAATAGAGCCAGGCGAGACGCTACAACGATAACCTTTATAGATTAATTAGCTGTGTTTGCTAGCGTCTTACCCACATATGTACTCTTCTAACATGAGTTTGCAAGGCAAACACTACCTCAGCGCAAATGGCGAGGGGAGGCAGTGCAGGACGCTAGGCGCTTAATGCAGTCAGCAGCACCTTCAGCCCGGTTGTATGCACTGCCTCACCAGGCTGCCTTCGCTGCTTTATCATAAGATGCCGTTCTACTCCTGCTAACATTCTACTCTCACTAATCTACCATAAAAGTCGTTCATGCCTATGATTCTTTAGACTAAAGTCCGACCTGCTAGCGCCATGCGGCTTCTCCATTTAGACGCACTGGGCAGATTGATCTTAACAGACTTTCGCGGCAAGCCGATCCCACCCTACGCTATCTTATCGCACCGATGGGGCGGCTCCGAGATCCTTATTGAAAATGTATTGAATGGAAACTATAAAGAGAAAGAAGAAGGCTACCAGAAGCTACGGTTCTGTGCCGAACAAGCGGCTCAGGACGGGCTGCAGTACTTCTGGATCGACACATGCTGCATCGATAGATGGGACAACAACGAGCGCTCCAAGGCGATCAACTCAATGTTTCAGTGGTACCGGAACGCGGCCCGATGTTACGTCTTTCTGTCGGATGTCTCGCTACCCGCTACGGCAGACACGCCCCAACGCAGCGACTGGGAGACGTCGTTCCGGAAGAGCGAATGGTTCACTCGAGGATGGACGCTTCAAGAGCTGGTCGCGCCAGTGTTAGTCGAGTTCTTCTCGCGTCAAGGACAGCGCATAGGCGACAAAGTGTCACTTGATCAACTACTACACGATATTACCGAGATTCCACTCGCCGCGCTGCACAACTGTCCTTTAGGCCAATTTAGTATATCTGAGCGAATGCGATGGGCTGAACACCGCAGAACAACTGAAGAAGAAGACATTGTATATTGCCTACTTGGAGTTCTTGGCGTCTCTTTGCCTACGACTTATGGAGAAGGAAAGGAGAGTGCATTAAGAAGGTTGCAAGCTGAAGTCGAGGAATCTGGCAGCGCGCCGTCAATTATTCCCTTCTCACGAAACCAGTCTTTTGTGGGCCGTGAACTACAGCTTACAGAGCTAGAAGCGAAGCTCTTTAGCAATAAACGGACTACCACTACTCTAGCAATTGTTGGCCCTGGCGGAACAGGCAAATCGCAGCTCGCACTCGAGGCTGCCTTCAGAACAAGGCAGAATAGCAGAAGCTGCTCAGTTTTCTGGATGGACGCGAGCGACAGAGATAGCCTTTACCGATCTTACGCAAACATTGCGCAGAAGCTTAGTATTTCTGGGTGTAACGATGACCAGGTAGACACAAAGCAGGTCATAAAACGCTGTGTGACAACAATAAGTGCGCGACAGTGTTTGCTGGTCTTCGACAACGTGGAGCGCACTGCTATATGGCCAAGTGGCTTGCCTACTACAGAAGCTACTAGTATATACTTGACCGAATTTTTGCCGCACTCTAAGCTATGTTCTATCATTTTTACAACAACAGAGAGTAACATAGCTGAGGCGCTTGCTCCACAGAATGTCACAGTGCTGCAGGAGCTGACGCCAGACACGGCGCTGAGGATGTTACGAAACCGCGTGGCAACGCCGTTTTCGAACACTGAGCAACAGGTTGCCATGCACTTACTGAGAGAGTTATTGTATCTGCCTTTGGCAATCGCGCAAGCGGCAGCGTGCATACGCGCTAGTAGCATGACCGTACAACAGTACCAAGCACAGCTAGACCATCACAAAGACGCAGCTCTCAAGTACAGTAATAACTTATCTAAAGGCGAGCAGCGGGAATGTGGTCTAAGAAAGACTGTAGCTGCTACACTGTCTCTCTCTATAAGCCAAGTCTATAACAGCAATGCGGTTGCTATAGGCTACCTTTTTATTGCTGCATGCGTAAATCGAAAGGACATCTCGCTTGATCTTCTAGAGGCAGCTTCACCGCGGGCCCGTGAAGATGCCATTAAGGTACTTGATAAGTATGCGCTCATCACGAGGCGACCTGCTGAGTCTGCAATCGAAGTTCATCGACTAGTCCATCAAGCTCTGTGCAGCCAGCTGCAAGTGCAGGGACGGCTCATGCAGTGGACTCAATGCACTATCAGGCAGTTACTCCGAGTATTTCCAAACGATGATCATAGTAGTAGAAGCAAGTGGAGACGACTGCTTCCGCATGCGCAGCATGCTCTGTCGCATAGTCTGATGGATGACAATAACGGAGAGAGACTATATCTCACATGGAAGTGTGCTAGGTCACTTTTTAGTGATGGAAGGTATAAGGAGGCCGAAGAGCTGTTTGTGCAAGTGGTGCAGACAACAAAGAGAGTACTTGGCAATAAGCACCCTAACACGCTAGCTAGCAAGGCCAACCTAGCGTCGACATACAGGAACCAAGGGCGGTGGAAGGAGGCCGAAGAGCTAGAAGTGCAAGTGGTGCAGACGAGAAAGAGAGTGCTTGGCGAGGAGCATCCTGACACGCTGGCCAGCATTGTTAACCTAGCGTCAACGTACTCGGATCAAGGGCGATGGAAAGAAGCAGAAGAGCTAGAGGTACAAGTGATGCAGACAAGGAAGAGAGTACTTGGCGAGGAGCATCCTGACACGCTGGCCAGCATGGCCAATCTGGCGTCGGTATATAGCCACCAAGGGCGATGGAAGGAGGCCGAAGAGCTAGAAGTGCAAGTGGTGCAGACGAGAAAGAGAGTGCTTGGCGAGGAGCATCCTGACACGCTGACCAGCATCGTTAACCTAGCGTCAACGTACTCGGATCAAGGGCGATGGAAGGAAGCAGAAGAGCCAGAGGTACAAGTGATGCAGACAAGGAAGAGAGTACTTGGCAATGAGCACCCTAGCACGCTAATCAGCATGGCCAATCTGGCGTCGGTATATAGCCACCAGGGGCGATGGAGGGAGGCTGAAGAGCTGTTTATGCAAGTGGTGCAGACAACAAAGAGAGTACTTGGCAATGAGCACCCTAAAACGCTAACTAGCAAGGCCAACCTAGCGTCAACATACATGAACCAGGGGCGGTGGAAGAAGGCTGAAGAGCTATTTGTGCAAGTGGTGCAGACGAGAAAGAGAGTATTTGGCGAGAATCACCCTGACACTTTGACTAGCGTAGCTAATCTGGCGTTGACGTACTCGAACCAAAGGCGATGGAAGGAGGCTGAAGAGCTAGGAGTAGAAGTAATGCAGATGTCAAAGAGTGTGCTTGGCGAGAAGCATCCAAACACGCTAGCCAGTATAGCCAACCTAGCGTCAACGTACTCGAACCAAAGGCGGTGGAAGGAGGCCGAAGAGTTAGAGGTAGAAGTAATGCAGATAACAAAGAGTGTACTTGGTGAGGAGCATCCTAACACGCTAACCAGCATGGCCAACCTAGCGTTAACGTACTCGGATCAAGGGCGATGGAAGGAGGCTGAAGAGCTACAGGTGCAAGTGGTGCAGATAACAAAGAGAACACTTGGCGAGGAGCACCCTCACACGCTTACCAGCATGAACGATCTCGCCTTCACGTTGCAGTCGCAAGCTCGCTGTGAGGAGGCTTTTGCACTGATGGAAACATGCTTCCAATTGCGCCAGCAGGTCCTTGGCGAGCAACACCATGATACACAGTCGTCGCTGGAAACGCTGCATAGCTGGCGAGTGGAGTATAGTAACGAGAACCTATAATTTTATCTTCATACAACTCTGCATAACAAATACACGGCCGGTGCGACGGGTTTTGACGATGTTGTCGCCAGCGCGGAGAAACTGCCGGGATGCACACTGCTCATCTCAAGTCAGTTTTTTTGAGTGTACGGTCTTAATCTTTGCTATCTTAGCTTTCCTTCTAGCCCACCGAGTTATGTAGGTGTTTATATCATCGCAAACAAACAAGAGGGTATTAGAGGAGAGTCGATGGACGGCACTGACAGAACGAGTGACAGCGTGGTCAACAAAGCGCTTTTCAGCGTCGGAGACTGATTCACTGGAAGAGCAAGAGCTGCACAATGGATGCACGGTATACCTGTGGATTTTTAGGCATGGTGGGTATGTATAGTCCGCGCACCCGAAAGAAAATGTGTCCCGTTACACTGTGCGCCCCGGCACGTAGGGAAGGACGTTATCTCATTTTGATCGAGCCACGTTCAGAGGTGATGCCGAGAATATAAGGACTCAGTGTGGTCTAGGCGGTTATTTTACAGAGTAGCTTAGTCGAAGGAAGTATCGAGAGAAGCGGCTTGAGTACCGAAGGCAAGGCACAAGGCCATGGCTAGGATTAGGTACAAGATATGATCTTGGTGAAGCAGGTGGAATAAAGCCAAGAGTCAAGCATTGGACTGTAAAGAGCGAGGCAGATGAGACGAGGATAGAGAGATGGGGACGGTTGCAGAAGATGAGCCAGACAGCCAAATTTCTCGGCGTGCAGCAAGAGGCCATGACAGCGATTGTGGCGGGCGAGAGCCCTATGGTAGCGGCGATGGCGACAGGCGGTGGCAAGAGTTTATTGCTCATGTCATCGGCGTGGGCGGCGTGTTTCTTCCATTGAACCAGTCTCGTAAGGTTGACTTGGTTTATTCAGCATCTTCATACTAATGCAGTTGTCTAGGGTCGTAGCGGAGAGCATGCTTGCCTTCTAATGTAAGGGCAAGATCGCTGACAATGACAGTCACACGCCGTCATCTCCTCGTTCGAAAACCCCCTGTCTGTTTCCGGACGAACACCACACCTACTTTTACACTATCCACTCACCCATCTCTCTTCCATTACACATCTTATCCATGTCCTCCACATACGAATTCATCCGATGCAACATCCACCCGGACTGAATCAACCCCGTACTCCCCCCATCCCTACTATTATTCCGTCAGCGAATGCACTTGCTTGCTGAGCTCGAGTACTCTACACACTGCCTAGTTACAGCTTCGCATAGTACGACATGCGTCGAAGTAGAGCATGTAGCTCCAGCAACGGTACTAGCATACGAGAACTGGAGACAAGTGGGTTTAGCCTCGCAAGCAGCTTTGCAAGACTCAAAAGATGATGACGACGTAGCGTCTGCTTCGACATGCATGGAGAAGTTATCCTAGCTTTCCATCTTTAGTTTCAAGCTTGAAAGGATAAACTGTTTGAACACCTCTGCATGGGTGGGTGTTGTTTTCCCGCCTTGTGCATTAGCAGCGCGACTCGTCTCAAACGTATTCAGGCTACAAGTTTCGCTCTGTTGCATATGGTGATAAGTAATGGGGGCATAGCACCACGGCCGGCGTTCAATCTTTGTCACATTGACATCGAGCGAATTGACGGGGTTGCCCTGGAAATGCGGAAACGCCCAGAACAGTGGCACATCGATGTCTGCGAGTATCTTGCCTAGCACCATGTCGCATGCCTAGCTTGCGTCCTTGTAGTTGTCGTAAAAGGTGAGATGCGTGTCGCGCTGCTGGACGACGCGGCGCATGGCTGTGTTGGAAAGTACAAAGCCGGACCCACCGTGTGCAAAGAGGCACGTCGCCAATGAACATGCGCTTGCCAATTTAGAGTGGACGAGAGGCGTTGAATGGGGTAAGATATGAAACCAGATTGTTGCATACCAGGTACGTATCTGCTTCTACAAAGACGAACCATTTCGCACCCGGTCGATACTTGAACGTCTTATTCACCATGGGCAGAAACTTGAATCGATCCAATTTCCACGCCGGATTCTCTTGCGCGCCAAAGGGCCTGCTACCGCGATGGTCGCTCAAAGACCCATCGGCAATGACCTGTCTCCCTTGCCTACGAAGCTGCTCATACAATGCGAACTCCTACGCTGCATTCGCCGATGTTCTCAGCCTGTCACTGACAGAACCCTCAAAAACATTGTTCACACGGTGTCCCGCAATGTCTTCATCCAGATCAGAGTATACGACGTAATCGTCTACACACCGTAGCATCGTCTGGAAGTGAACAGGTAGTTTCTCCAGCGCCTCGGCGACGCCAGTTCGTAGAACAACGAGAACATCGTCTGTTATCGCCAGCTTGGGTCACCGTATTTGAGGCTTTGATGACACCTGATGCTCCCACGGCAAACAAAATCTGTACACAAAGCACAGCACCAATGCAAACCAGATTATTTCCCTCCTCCGCTTACGCTTACGACCTCCCACTGGCGACCGCAACCTAGGCGTGTACCCTTCTCTTTCGACCTTTTCCATCCAATCATCTTCTCGCCGCATATTGGGACTGAGCGTGGTATTAAGAAAAGAGCGACATCAACGACAAAAAACAACGCAAGAACACCATGTAAGAGTTTAGATCGACAAAATGAGTTTACTCTTCTCATTTTCTTCGCTTGTTCAGTTCAAACTACAAGGAGCTTATCAAAAGCTTACTGCTCTACAGACCACCCTGACCTGCTTTGCCTGACGGGCCATCACCCTTTCGTCGTCTCATTCATCTCACATTGCTGAACCAAGCGGGGTCAATGGGGTGAGTTGGTATTGCCAATCATTTTAGAGTTGACTCCTGGCTAGGTACAGGGCTGCAGAACAGGTACTTATGGTAAGCACAGGGGTAACAGCAAATGATTCGTCGCCGACTGTGTTTGGTTGGAATGGTCTTGGAGAGCTGGATGTATGCAGGCCGATGTTTCCATGTTCATGTCGAAGATATGGAGGGGGAAAAGGAGCATATACATGTATATCTTGTCTTTGTTGGTTATAAGTAGTCTTTGCTTGTGTTGCATCGTCATTGTAACGCCGAGGTTGTGCTTACGGTTGCGTGTAACAACGGTACGTCACCAGCGACTACTAAGCCGAAATTACTGCGAGCAATGCGCAAATCACAATGTGAAAATCACCGTTTATCTTCACCATCACTATGATCAAGTACTACACTGTTATACAAGATTGAGGCTACTCAGTTATAGGAACATTTCTCATTTATGGTCATGAACTCAATATATACAGTACGCTTGCTCAATAATCACCCTCCTGTCACCCTTCACACACTTACTTGGATGTGTCGAGAACATAGCGTCCGACTACGGCACCCTCGTGCATCTTGTCATAGACCATTTGCAGTTCAGACAGTCCAACAATCTTGAACGGAGCCTTGATCAAGCCACGACGGAAGAACTCAATCGCCTCTGAGCTGTCCTTGCGGTTGCCAACATACGATCCCTGGATCCTGATCATCTTGATAACAGTCTCGAAGACGGGTGCCTTGAGATAAGCGCCGGCAGGAAGACCAATGCAGATGACGGTACCGCGTGGCCGGACGTATTCAGCAGCCTGTTGGAATGGCTTCTCGTTGACAGCAACAAGAATGACAACGTGAGGGCCGAGACCATCGGGCGTTGCCTTTTGGACGTCGGCAACAAGGTTCTTTGATGTGGCAAAGTCGACGAACGCTTCGGCGCCAAGCTCGCCAGTGCACATCTTCTTCTTCTCCTCACCAGAGTCAATGGCAATTGTTCGTACGCCCATGGCCTTTGCGTATTGACAGGCGAGCGAACCAAGACCACCTCCGGCACCGACAATGGCAGCGAATTGGCCAGGCTTGACACCAGACTCTTTCAGACCCTTGTAAACAGTAATACCGGCGCAGAGAACAGGGGCAATTGCAGCGAGGTCACACTCCTTGGGAATGCGGGCAACATGGGCAGCTTTGGCGATGCAGTATTGCTGGAAGGTGCCGTCGACAGTGTATCCGGAGAGAAGTGGTTTCGGGCAGAGGGGCTCGTCTGCTTGTTGGCAAAAGTCGCACGACAGGCAAGAACCGTTCAGCCATTTGACACCTGGGTAAAGTTAGCAAATGTGACTTGGTAGTGAAACTGAGAAGAATTAATCATACCGACATGGTCACCAAGCTCAACGTCGTTGACAAGCTCTCCTCGTGCAACTACGACACCGGCACCTTCGTGGCCACCGACAAGAGGAAGTTTGGTTGCCTCGTGGACGTTAGCATCTTCAGTGAGAAGGAAGATTGATCATACGTACCAATGGCCAATCACCATTGACGGCGTGTAGATCGGTGTGGCAGACACCAGAGTATTTGATGTTGACAAGAACCTCATCTGGACCGGGCTTCTGCACTGGAATCTTCTTGTACTCGACGGGGCCGCCAGTCTTTTCAATGACCTGCGCCCATTGCTCTTGGGGAATGCTGCTCATGGTGATGGAGGCGGTGGATTGTTGTGGAATTGAGTAGCTGGTGATGATGTGATTGTGTTAGATGAATACAGGGTCACAGAGGGTGCGAGCTTTATATAATTAGTGGTGAGGCAGTGAGGGCTCAAGAGGCCAACCCCACTCGGCAGTAAACGGATGACGCCAGGGTCTGGATACAAACGCGCCTTCTCGGAAGGAGCTGTGTGTAGGATTGCGTCCGTTCACCCACGGCAAAGGCGAGCGTCTTGCTCGGCGCGCCGGAGGCGGGCGATTGATGAGTAGCTGAGCCCATTGGCCCAGTCTCACGAGGTACAAGTGGACAGTGGATCTCTTGGAGGGGTCAAAAGATCAAGATTGGATGGACTTGCGGATCATGATGCATCGGTTGAGTGGCAACAGCAGTAGCGTAAGGTTCGAGGTTCCGAGGTCAGAGCAAAGTCAGCATGAGCAGACTTTAGCGCGTGTAAATCAGCCCAGGGACCAGGGCGGATGCAAGCCCGCGTCTGTTATGGTGTGAGGGGGACTGGGAAGGGTGAGGTCTCGAGATGGAGGGGCGCTCCAACATCAGGCAGCTAGCTTCTTTTGGCAGAATATCTCCTGATACTTGCTACCCCCCGTCCACGGCCGCGCCATACAAAAAAACTCGAGCGCAAATTGTTCTGTCCTGCGGTCCCTTTCAGGATCCATACAAGTGTTCAGTAATGCGCTGAGCTCACAATGGCCTTTCGATCGTATGCTCCCATGGGCGACCGCAATCCGGACCCTCCGTGGTTATCTTCGCCTGACAGCTCCACTACCGATTCCGCGGAAGCCCATGTGAGAAGAAAATCGACATGAATCAAAGGGATGAGCAGGCATTCCAACTGGGTCGGTCGAGCGCAAAGTTCAACGCTATTCACAGACAATGTGCGCAAGCTCTTCAGCCACACGTAGCCTTGCATACGTATGTTCCACTCCAGGAAGTACCTCGTCGCGGCCGTCCAATGAGATCATCCAATACTGCCTTCGGACAGTTCCACCGCATGCGGCTCCTGGTCTACCATGCGGGGTGTTGAGGTCCGACTACCATGGTCGTAGTGCAGCCGCAATCGCGGGGTAGTGTGCGGAACGCTGCCCACCAGCCTTTGCCAACGACCGTTCAAGGCTGCGGAGAAATGGACGTCAAGCGATTGACAAGGAGCCGAGCATCGGTGTCGACGGGGGAAGGCCTGATTCCAAAAGACCCCCGAGGCCAGTTTTCGATCTTGCCTGCGAGCACAGCACCGTCGTCAGATGGAGAGGTTACGGTCATCTTGTCGTCTGCAGACGGCGCACATAAGGCCCCTCTTTATCTTCCTGTCTGCGTGAGAACCCTGATGTATACTTGAGACCCTCTGTGACGTGATAGGGCCACTGTATGCTACGCGTTGGTATATGTTGAGCATGGGCTATTCTTGGCGAAGAGCATCATACAACTCCCAACACCAACCTCACGGGCGCTAGACAACCAAACAACTGTTACTGTCATCACGCAAGACGACATACTACACCAGGCTGGGGAAAGCACAATGACAACCAATAATCAAGGCTTTTATTACAGATACAAATCTCCGTATTACCGGAACTTTAGAGTGCCATCATAGCCGCATCAAGGTCTCCATACCCCCAAACCATGTTATTTATTGCAATGCATGACCCGATCCAGACATGATAGTCCACAATGATTAGACGCTCAGCGCCAATGCTTCTACTGTACCATCACATCAGCGGCCTCATTGTGCCCGTTGGCCGGCCTCTCCTCGGCGTCTTGCAACCCGAGAGGAAGGGAAGGAGGAAGATCCTTTCCGGCTGCCCGTGCCTTTGTCTCGGCCCATTGCCGTAAGCGCACTAGGCTCCTCATGCGAGATTCTCCGCGAGCCCCCATACTAGTAAGAATCGCTTCATTGACCTTACTCGCAACATTCCTACGGAGCGACGGTTCCAACAACTCATTAAGCTCCCTCTGAAGAGTACCAGGGGCGGCAGGAAGAAATATAAGCAACGACATTGTAAGTTCAAGATCCCTCAGAAAATCAGGATTTGTGGCTGCACGGGGAGCAAGCTGGGACGAAGCAAAGCTGAGCGCAGGCGTGATATCAGTAGCAGCAGACGATGTGCACACCCGGATAAGCTCGACCAGCTGTAACCTAAGTAGGTCGAAGTGCAAGGCTGGGTCTGTGTCTAAAATCTGACCGGTGTATTAGCAAAGTTCAATGACAAATACGCCAGACGAGTAAATGTAGTTGCTTGCAATCATACTGAGGACTGAAGGTTTGATTATCATCAAAGAGATTCTGCGTGGTGCATGAAACTGTATTTAATCCTGCAAGGTGGTGGGAAGTACAAGTAGAAGTGTCGCATACCTGAGGGTTCAAATCATTGATCTTGGTGATAGCGGTATCGATATCACCAGCATGAATAGCCCGACGTATTTCTACGCGGGATTGGATAGACTCTTCTTCAAGAGGAAGCTGGATGTTCGCTTCTTTGGCAAACTTTTCTGCAGCTCTAGGATAGCCTTCGCTAACGAGGTAGTCCATAATGACAAAGTTAATATCCCTGCAGAAGCAACGTCAGCATTGATGCGCCATATACATGCAGGTACAGCAGCGCGCGATGCAAGCGCTACCACAAGATCAGAGATACAAGTTAACATGTTCTCCACATGTTGGTTCGGAGAGATTCCCAACTTATTTTGAAATCATCATTCGAAGGAGGTAGCGGAAGCGACGTGGAGGGTGGATGACTTACGTCTTGGACGGTTTGACATCGTCGACCCTCCTCTGGAAAGGATGATGTTGGGTTGGCGTTGCCGCCGACACGGAAACTGTGGATGAGCTCTGTAGGGTGGTTAGATGGTGGGACAGGTCGCAACAACGGGCGCAGTGTGAGTTAGCTTACCATGGTGAAGCGAGACGCCCAGCAAGCCTCAACCGACGTCCATCAGTAGATGATACGAGCTGCCCGACCGTTGGTCGAGTGTGCTGGCGGCTACGCAAAGTTTTGCGTGTGGAGAGAAAGTTTGAGAGCACAGCTTCGTGAAAGAAGAAGACTGAGCTTGCGCGCTTGGCGAGACTAGTGCCGGTGGGTCCTTATGTAAGCTCGACACTAAGGTCCGAGCCACCACTGCAGAAACCCATTCGTCTCAAGAACCCTGCATACCCTTTTGATATCTCCAGCATTCGCCGCAAGAGGTGGGATTTTGGTAGAACAAGGATACGGGGTGCTACTAGGCGTTCAGTACGCTAAAAAACTCTCAGAATGGCTTCAGCAGGCCGAAGAACGCATTACGAACCGCCATGGGGTAACGCAAGTATTATTGGAGTAGCTGGTAGTTCTGGCTCGGGCAAAACATCTTTGGCAATGGCTATTGTCTCCTCCTTGAACCTGCCTTGGGTAGTCATCTTATCTATGGTTCGTTCCAGCCTTGTAAATTGGGTCACGTGCCCCGCCCAGCTAAGGAACACCCCATGTAGGACTCGTTCTACAAACCTCTTACGCCAGAGCAATCTGCAGCAGCATTTCGCAACGAGTTCGATTTTGATTCTCCCGACGCTATAGACTTCGACATTCTCGTTGACCGCCTAAAAGACATCAAGAATGGCAAGGTTGCCGAGGTACCAATCTACTCTTTCCAGAAGCACGCACGCCTCTCCAAGACTACAACAATCTACTCCCCGCACGTCATAATCCTGGAAGGCATATTCGCCTTACACGACCCACGCATAGTCGATCTCTTGGACCTCAAAATCTTTGCCGAAGCCGACGCTGATTTATGTCTCTCACGCCGTCTTGTGCGAGATGTAAAAGAACGAGGCCGCGATATTGAAGGCTGTATCAAGCAGTGGTTCTCCTTTGTCAAGCCTAACTATTACAAATATGTTGCCCCCCAGCGAGAAATTGCAGACCTCATTATTCCAAGAGGTATCGAGAATCGGGTTGCCATTACTATGGTGAGCAATCAAGTTCGTCAGACGCTGCACAGTAAGAGTGTTCAGCATCAGTCAGAGCTCAGACGATTGGGCAAAATTGCAGAGGACAGTCCGCTGAGTGAGAACGCCATCGTGCTCAAGCAGACGAATCAGGTCAGGGGAATGCACACATTGCTGCTGAACCCTGACACGTCGAGAGAGGACTTTGTGTTTTACTTCGATCGCATGGTTGCACTGCTTGTCGAGACGGCAGTAGACTTTTTACCACTTGTATCGTATGAGGTTACAACACCCCAGAACACCACTTATCAGGGGTTGAAGAAGAATGCAGAAGTCAGTGCCGTAGTAGTGCTACGCGGCGGCAGTGCTTTCGAGACGGGTTTACGACGGACCATTCCTGATTGCAGGACCGGACGAGTACTGATACAGACAAACTACAGAACTGGAGAGCCAGAGCTCCATTATCGGGCGTTACCCACCAACATTGCTGAGCATGGACTAGTCTTGGTCCTCGACCCCCAATTCTCCACGGGGGCAGCCGCCCTGATGGCGGTCAGAGTGCTTGTCGACCACGGCGTACCAGAAGCCAGCATAGTCTTTGTAACATATACTGCGGGGAGGGTTGGGCTGAACAGGGTCTTGAGCGTCTTCCCGGATATCAGAATTGTGGTTGCAAGACTGGGTAGCGATGAGGAGGCGCGATGGGTTGAGACAAAATACTTGGGCTGTTGAAGCGAGAGCACCAGACTGCAATGGCAAGGCGTTTCAAGTTACGCATTTTTTTTTGCTTGTAAATGATTTCATGCTGTGCTAGAACGTACATAGCCAACATGTCTTTGTCCGAACGCCGTGTCTATCGCCAACGCCGATAAATGCAAGGTTAGCGTTGAAGCAACAACGCACCGCTATGTACAGTGGGTATCATAGAAAGTACTCCGTCGTGACTTCTTTCCCTTGCTGCTGCTGCTGCTGCTCAGCCCGGTGGATATCGTTATCTGGACTGGCATCAAATACGTTGAAAAAGCGTTCACCCGTGTCGCTAACTTCGAGCACACTAGCCATGTTACCGCATCGGTAGCAGTAGTTGGGTGCACTCCAAACAGTGCTTAGTCTGTCATCGTAAAGAATCTGGTAGCCTTCTTGGCACAACTGATGCGCGCGCAGAATGTGTGACATGGAGTTGACTTCCAAGAACTTTTTGACCACCTGAGCACCGAATGTGTAGCCTGCTCCTCTAGGGCTGAGGGAGAACTCGTCTCTTTCGGGATCTGGATCGCTCCATACAAGATCTGCCATGGGCCCTTCATGAGGGATTTCCCGGAAACGGTCGATGATTTTGATCTGATCGATAGAGTGTATGGAAGGCGACAGGCCACCATGTACGCAGAAGATTTGGTCATTAATGACCACGGAGAGAGTGAGAAAGTCGAACATGTCTGTAAAATAGTGCCAGACGTTCGCATTGCCATATTTACGTGAGCATTCGGTATAGAAGCCGTAGGACTGGGTGACACCGCGAGATTCGTGGTTGCCACGGATAAGGTGGACGCGGTGCGGATAGCGGAGTTTCAGACAGACGAGGAGCGATATGGTTTCGACAGAAAAGAGGCCGCGATCGACGTAGTCGCCTGTTCAGCGTCAGTTCTGTCTCTAGAGATCGCGTGCCCCCCTGTGAGGGGCAGACCAGGACTTACCCAAGAAAAGGTAGTTTGTGTCCGGACATGGCCCACCAATCTTGAATATCTCCATCATATCGAAGAACTGGCCATGGATATCACCGACAACAGTGACGGGCGCTCTGATGTGCACCACGTTGCTCTCCTTCATGAGCAACTCCTTGGTCTTTGCGCATATTGCCTCGATGACCGGCTCAGCCAGCAGTTCCTTCTTGGAAAGCCGAGATATGCATTCATCGAGGTCTACGCTGGCTGCGCAGTGTCAGTCTAGGTGTGGCGAGCACGGTAAGCATCGCTGGTGACTGACGTACATGGTAGACCGGGCATGGTGGTGTTGATGGCGTGGATACAAGGGTGGCAGCATCCACGGCTCAGTTCAGGGTATGGAGTCTATACTGGTCGCTAGCAAATGTCTGTAGCGCACAATCATCCTCAGAGGTCCATCTGGAGGCGCGACACAGGTGATGGCGCAAAAGCGAGCAAGTTGATATTGGGGGGTGGCCAACTAGTCCTGTTCCCTGTCCAAGGTGCGGCGGCATCCCGCTTCGTGGCCCGAGCGCATAAAAACGTGACTACGCTGCAGACTTCCCTTTTCCGCAACATCTGCTGTGCGTGTTTTTCAGAACCTACGAGGTACTTGGCTCTCTGGTGCCCCGGACCTCTCTTTCCTTGTTATGCCTTATAGATCTAAGAGGACACTCCTCTGCGGCACTCTCAATTCGTCACTTACCTGCTATCGTGCTCTCAATACCTGCTCCCAAGGGTTTCCCTCGCACCAGCAACTGGCCCTGTCCCGCTCTCCGTGCCCACTCACTTGCTCCTCCTCAGCGTCACATTGCCGTCGTTTATCCTACAACCTCAACATTGCATACCAGGAGATACTGAATTGATTGCCCTTCCGTAAGCTTGGGCGTCTCTTTCGTCCTGGCTCGTGCGCTCAACCTGTCCAAAATTTGGACGCGCGCCTCATACTTTAAAATCTCTCCCTAATATCACCACCTACACCGCTACCAACAGGCTCATCGGTCTCCATTAATCTTTTACTCCACCAAAAACCCTCCATTTCCATCGTGGGTTTTCATAGGTTGATTGCGTAGCGTGGTATGTCTTGGAACGGGCCCGTAGGGGGTGCGGCGCCTTTCCAGCAGCAACCATATGCAAATGGCCTACCCCCGTATGGTCAACAACCGCCTTATCAGTATGGACAACAACCAGGACAGCAGCCGATATATGGCCAATATCAATCGGGGGCTTCCTATCCACCAAATGGCCCCCCTAATCGCGCTCCGCATGTGCAGTAGGTCTCACTCCTGATCTTAGCAAGCTGTTCATCACGTGCTCGTCGTATCCGTCTTTTCGTGGTGTGCGTCATTTTTTCTGACTCCCTTTCAGGCCACCAAAGAAGAAGGGTAATCCAATAATCACCCGATATCCCCCTCCACCGGGCTACCGCGGACCAGCGCAGCCTCAGGGTCCATTCGGTACTAACAAATTCCCCAACTCATACAAGTCGTCGCATCCAGGGTTTCCGCCATCGTCGGCGCCTTCAAACTACCCGCAACAAAGTTATGCAACGCCTCCTGCAAACCAAAGCTATTCTAACCAAAGCTACGGTCAGCAAGCGCACCAAGCACCAGGATTTGCGCCGCCGTATACTCAAACACAGAACGGCTATCAATGGCCAAAATCAAGTTATCCTCCAAATTCAGGCTATTCGCAAATTTCAGTCCACCCAACTGCTCAATCTTATGCTTGTTCTCATAGCAGCTACCAGGGCTACCCATCGCAGCCTGCTACAGTTGATTCTGGTCATCCGCCGTATGGCAAAACTGGAGCATGGTCACAACAGTATGCGCAAGCACCTTACCAGTCAAACCAACATAGTTCCTTCAGTGGACAAACCCACGGCCAGCCTGTGTTGGATCCGGAGGCCACACCCACCCCAGCAACTGCCCATCTCACCGCTTCACAGCCCCCGCAGCAACCTGCTCAGCCCAGTAGTGTTGTAAGCGATGGAAGTATGAGCGACAGGCCACAGTTGTTCTTGGCATGGGACGACTGGGATTTTGACTTTGATGGCGCGATCTGGCCCAAGAGCAATGAGCCCGTCGATCCTGCTCTCAGCCTTGGAGTCATCATCTGGCACCCTGCTAAGCAGGTTACTCGTGCACTACCCTCTACTTTTGCTGAGGCTGAAGAAGACGCACTGAAGCCCACGCCTGAGAAACTCGACAATGGGGATTCGGTGTCCATGTACTTCACTGCCGATAATTCGCACGAAGCTTTCCTTAACGTAAGGCAGACTGATGATTGGGAAGCTATCCAAGATGACCCTGTCTTTGTTGTATTCACGGATGAAGATATGCAGAACAATCTAGTCACACTAGAGGACTGCATCGCGCAGCGGGATCGTCCCGACGAATTTGAGGATATGACAACGCATGATGGAGACATGGAGATGCGCGACGCCACGTGGGACATTATGGATAACCTTGAGCAAGCACTTAGTACAAATCACGGAGGTTCAACGTCGAGCGCATCGAAAAGAGAGGCAATGCCCCCCCTGCAAGGAAGTCAAGAGGATATCCTTGCGAAGTTGGGCGTGACTGGAGCCCCGAAGCCGCCGTCGAATGAACCAATACCTGTACCATACTCTCCATCTGAAGTACGGCAATCAGTGCTACTTGTCGAAAAGCCATCGGCTGCTCCTTCATCTTCTCCGCTCCGAGACTCTGCTCAACCGACCCAACGGGCAAAGTCGTATGGTGGCTATCGTAACAGTGGACCCAGATCTGCTCCTCCCCGTCCGTATGGATCTATGTCAGCAGGCGCTGGCTCCAGGCCACCGCCTCTCCCACCCGCTCCGGCAGAGCAGCGACATGATTCCTGGAATGCGCTTCAAAGCAATGGCCACAGTTATGACAACCCTAGAGGGAGTCCTGCGCGCTCTGAGGGGAGCAATCGGACCATGGCTGGTTCTGATTTTGATCCTGAAAGCCAGGGTAATGAGCCACAACAAGATGCGCCTGTTATACCATCCCTAGATCGAAGCGACAGCTCATTCTCTAGGAAGAGAAGTTATGAAGATGCCGATCAAGAACATGAGAAATTGCGCCAGCAGGACGACCATAGCAAGCGGAAGAGGCGTTCCCAGGTTGATGCCGCTTACAGGTAAGGCTTCTTGACATCAATGAGGTTCATCTCGCTTGTTTCTGGCAAATTCTTACTAATATTGTAGTCGTCGGTGAGCACGCATTTACGAACCCAGCGCCTGGGCCTCATCCGCTATGATCATTCTTCGTCACACCTTGATTTACCTTCTACGCCATTTCTGACACCCATGGATCCTCTTCTTTGTTTTCGTTTCTGCAATCACGGCCTTGTTCATGATCCACGAGAGCCTTTCATCTTCCCTTGTCTTATACGTCAGGACTATCCATCCATTACTATTTATTCTTCTGCAAACTTACTTTCAATTCTCTGTCAACCCGATTCATGGCTTCATACTGCAATGTTATTTCCAAATGTCGATCAACAGTGTACACCAGAATGGGTCATTCACGGGTACCGGCGGCCTTCGCGCTTCATTTGTTGTCTTGAACTTGTCCATTAATTTTCTATTCTTACCATTATCATTATTATTACTATTACCACGATTATTATTGTCGTTTCTTATTCCAGGATCACTCATTTCACGACTGTCTTCCACAAGAATCCACATCTGATTTTATTTGATCTGGCCGTCTGGACTTCAAGCGTCCGGTCTCTCAATTCACTTGTTCTGTTTTACAGAGTCCTTGCCTAGTTTCCTGATTGTTCCGTTCAGTCTTCTTACGAATCTTTTTACGAATCTCCTAACTTTTGGTTTCTTAAAGGTCTCAGTTCTTTTATTTGTTTATTCATTTCTTCTTCTCAGGTCATTTCCGAGCACGAGTATCTTGACATCATGATTGAGACATCTGCTTCTACTGCAGTGGCCACTCGCAAGCACAATGACCAGGTATTCGGTACGGCGGAGTAACGTATCTGGAGGGTACCAGCGTCAGCGATTCCTCAATCGATACGTGATAGGTTATTTAGGCACTGCCTGTTCGCGCAAAGAAACAATGCGCCAAATGAAAAGCCTAATACTTTGGCAAGAATGAGTGCTTTTCAGCCTCCACTGCAAGCAGCGCTTGAATTAGCGATTGGGTGCTTACGGGCAGCTTTGAGCATTGACCATTTAGCCATACATGGCTGTTGCTATGCGTGTCGAATCTAAGGGCTGTATTCCTCCTAGATTGTAGCGAAGTTGTTGGTACGATTTCCCTTTAAGCACTTGCAATAGTATAGTGAGTAGGATGACGACATGACCATGATCATTCTGCAAGCTATTCTCTGTTGCCGTCACACGGCTCTCAATCATACAGTTGCGGAGATGCTAAAGTGACATGTTTGTAGCAGACAGAACAAAAAATCGGTAAGTTCACGGAAACATATTTTTCCGACATGAATTAGGTATATGGAAAAGCAAGTAGTTAGAGCAATACAATCTGACAAACGGTACAATGCGTAGCTTTGGAGGCGATGGTGAGGTCCGTGCGTGTGTGAAACTAAGCCACATCTAAGCCACCGGGTGCGTCATCTGATCCACTGGTTCGCATCGCCCGCTCAGGCGACACTCTTCCACCTTAACATCTACTTCATCATACCGAAAACCGCTGCCTACACGCATACTAAAATTACTCGATACCCAAAACTGACATCATGTGTGGCTCTGATTGTTTCTTGATGCTCCTCAGCGTCCTGGTACGTTTGCAGTTCCCGTAAGGCGGAGGCAGGCACCGACTGTCTCTCTGCAGCTCATGGCGCTCGATAGCTAACATAACCCACAGTTCCCACCGATAGGTGTTTGGGTGAAGAAGGGGATTTGTAGCGCCGATTCGCTCATAAACCTCGGCCTCTCGTGCCTAGGCTTCCTCCCCGGTCTCCTCCACGCCTGGTATGTGATTCTGCAGAACCCAGATCCATACGACGCATACCAGCCCGTGCCCGATCGTGAACATGGAAGGACCACCGACGGAAGGGTGACATACTATGTGATTTCGCACGAGCAAGCGGGCGGCAGACCTGCGAACTATGGTACTGTGGCATCTCAGCCGAGCAGTGGACAGTTTCCGGGACAGCAGAGTGGCGTGACAAACAGCTTTGCGCCGCCAAAGGGACACAAGAGCGCAAATGGCAGCGGACCTGCTGCGCCTGCGCCGGCAAATGGAGGTGGCGAGGGAAGCTCAAGTCAACCCGAGGGTCCACCTCCGACATATGCAGATGTCATTAAGGGCGACCACAAGATACAGGACTAGTAGGGCGAACAGGTGTTGCAGCATTGTTTCAAGAGACATGAAGCATGTTAGCGCGTAGAGGAGCACGTGATGTGAACAGGGCGCTGAGAGGGAACGGATAGTATTGTACACCTAGAGTATTGCTAGCAGAGACTTGTATGAAGGGAGATAGCCATTGCATTGATCAAATAAGGCGAACATATTCATTGCTTGCACCAAGTGTGTTGATAGTTTAGCCTAGGACCCTTGCAACCGACATTTGGCTTCCGGATTTGGCTTGTACGTCATGGCGCATATGCCCGCACGAGCTACCTATTTATGTACATTCAGTCGTACCATAGGAAACACAAACATTTTGCAGATGGATACATGGATTTATATGGATAGATGTATGGGTGTAGGTTGATAGGCTAAATGGTGGGCGAGAGTAGTCAAAGAAACGGCGAATTAAACGTCACCTTGCCGTAGTCCAGCCACGTACGTATGCGCGGCATCCTCTCGGCGACTACAGGCAGCCAATACCACGAGGCCGGGCCGGCATATTTTGTGCTCTGAGCCCGCCGCAATCTATGGCTTTTGATTCGAATTGCCTGTTTGGGTAGGTGCGTTCAAGAACAAAGAATATGTATCGAGGACGTTGAGGAAGTTTGGCAATGGAACGGTTTTGGAATTAAGGTTTCGAAGGATAAAGTTAGTGGTGATCCTAGGGTAGTGTGGGCCTGGGGCGGTGCGGGGGGCGCGGTGCTGTACTTACGCAGGGTACATTACGTGTATTTTGGGATAACGTGTATTGGACTAGAGGCGGTCAAGTGGCACAGAGGGGCTGGATAGAGAAGTTAGAACTCAGTCTTTTGAAGTCTGCATCAGGGATACGGTACCATAGGCTGTACCTCAGCACTCAGCAAAAGTTGGAAGTTTCAACCGTACACCGGTAGATGTGCGTTTCAAATCGCTGGTCTAGACATAAGTAGTTTGGCAGTGTAAGAATAGGTTCAGGAAACCAACATGCTGCAGTTTGATGTTTGCAGCGAATATCCTATTTGCACCAGTCCAGGGTTTCAGAGAATACATAAAGAGTCATAGGCATCAGATTGGATGAAAACAGTGCATATTAATTGTACAGGATGCTCTTTCCCCTATTGGTGGAAGGTTGCTAGTGTCAGGAGGTGCATATCCCGCGTCTCTCCTCTACTGAACATCGTGATGCGTATGAATGATATTGTCGAAGCCGAGTTGCGGTGAAGAAAAGCAAGCTTTCTCCAGGCTTATTGCAGTGTCGGCGTATACACTACAAACGGACTTGGGACAATGATGGCAGCGCACCATGTCACCGAAGAGCCAATTAAGCGTTTGGATCGTGCATAAGCGCCGCGTCCCTGCGTCATTGCCCAGACACACTGCAAGGCTTAAGGCGTAGCCAAGGGCAGCTTGGGACAGTCCTTGGAAGGCTTGAACATGATGACGCTGAGCTTCGCGCATTACATTCGACATTCGACATGGTAGCAAATGATTGTAGTCGGTACTCGCGCCAATTCGACTGGCGCTGTGCAACTTCGCCCGCGCTACTGGACACAGCCTCAGCAACTTCCTGCAAACTAGCAGTCTGGCCGAATTGACCTGTGGCTAGAGCATCCCTTCCACGCTCTTTATTCGCCAACTTTATACTTCAGCCACAACCACTGACGCGAGCGGGCGTGCGCTGTCCTTCGCGTTAAAGCAGGGAAGCCCGGGGCCACTTATTATCTCTCCTTGGTCCCTTTCTCCCTTTCTCGTTTCCCTCCACCCATCTCTTGGTTTCGCAAACTCAAACACCCCATTGACACTTGGCTTTCAACTCCCTTTCTGACCCCGACCGACACAGAGACAGTACATCTGCATTCATGCGTAGGTGGAGTCCCGTGCCCGAACCATCAGCACAAACCCTAGCACCACTCGAATCTCCACACTAACTCATACCCAATTTAGACACCGTACGGAGGCAGGCGCATCGCGTTGCCTCGCAACATGGCAGCAATGGAACTAATAATTACAACCCATTCGCTCGACAGCGCTCTCGAGATTCCCAGTATGATGTGGAAAACATAATGCACAGATCACGATCCGAGGCAAATGCAACATCGGGATTTGAAGAGCAGAGGCGCCTCGAGACCATGCAATCAGAGAAAGAGTTTGGAATGCCAGACCACCACAACACCGAGCCCGCCCCTTCATCACCAACACATGCGACTGCTTCAACTGCCGTTCCAAATCCTTCGCTTGACAAGGATGGCGCAATTGAATCAGACACCGCGCACAAGGCTTCTGTGGATAGCACTCTTGCGCCCTCCAACCAGGAGCAAAACGTCAGCCCTACCCGCAGAGCAAAGTTCAAGGGCATATTCAGGAAAGAACACGAAGACCAAGATCATACCGGCTTGGACGTCCCTGAAGGAGATGAACTATCCTTGGAAGAACGCAAGAAGAAGGCTTTCAAGAGGAAGATACCCATCGGCGCCCAGATCCGCTTTGTCTTGTTCGGTGCCTGGATCAATGTCCTTCTCATCATGGTACCCGTCGGTTTTGCCGTGTACTACGCTAGACTCAAACCTGTGCCCGTTTTCATCATCAACTTCATTGCTATTATCCCACTCGCCGCCATGCTGAGCAATGCCACCGAAGAACTGGCCATTCGGGTCGGAGAAACTCTTGGAGGTCTTCTCAATGCCACTTTTGGAAATGCTGTCGAACTCATCGTGTCCGTCCAAGCCTTGCTCAAGAACGAAATCACCATTGTCAAAACCTCGCTTATCGGCAGTATGTTGTCCAACCTGCTGCTTGTCTTGGGAATGTCCTTCTTTCTCGGAGGTATCAACCGCTTGGAACAGTTCTTCAACGTGACTGTGGCTCAGACAGCAGCATCGCTACTTGCTCTCTGTATCGCATCCCTCATCATTCCGACCGTGTTTCACAACACAATTGCCGAAGATGACGCAGTTGCACACAACGGCCGCGAAGATGCTGTCAGGAACCAGGAGCTATCTCACGGAACTGCCGTCATTCTTCTCCTCGTCTACGCTTGCTACCTCGCTTTCCAGCTGAAGACACACTCCACTATGTACAGTGAGCCCAGTCAAAAAGTGCCCAAGCGCAAGTCCGGCAAGAAGGAAGAAGGCGATGCATCGCGCGGCATTGCAGCCATTGGCGCTGGTACTGCCGCAGCGTCTGGAGGCGGTGTCAACATGACCACACTTTTCAAGAACCCAAACTCTGAGGAGGAAGACGAAGACGAATTCGAAGAGCCATCGCTTTCTGTCATTGGCGCTCTCATTACTCTCGCCATCTCTACTACCCTCGTTGCTTTCTGTTCGGAATTCATGGTCTCCAGTATCGATGGTCTTACTGCTACTGGTCATGTCTCTACCACTTTCGTTGGTCTTATCCTACTTCCCATTGTAGGTAACGCCGCAGAGCACGCCACCGCCGTCACTGTCGCCATCAAGGATAAGATGGATCTCTCCATTGGTGTTGCTGTCGGTTCCAGTATGCAGATTGCGCTTCTTGTTTTCCCTCTGATCGTCATTCTCGGATGGATCTTGGGCAAGGACTGTATGACCCTTTACTTCGACACTTTTCAAATCGCTACTTTGTTCGTCTCGGTATTGCTTGTAAACTACCTCATTCAAGACGGAAAGTCACGTAAGTTCGCTTCATCCAACATGCAACTAGGATACTTTGCTAACAAGATGCAGATTGGCTCGAAGGCATTCTACTCATGGCGAGTTATGTCATTATTGCTCTTGCAGCTTGGTTCTACCCCAACCTTGATGAGGAGAAGTGCTAGATCCTTTCTGTTTAATACTTTTGAGCCTTTGCCTTCTTCGTCATATACATACTAGGTGGGAGTTCAATTAAAGGTGGCGGTTAAAGAGTTATGTTTTTCTACTTGCAGTACGTACGGGGATTATAGTTGTCACGTCAATAGTACTTTCGATACCCTGATATCCTCAATAAGCAAACGCTTAGTTGAGATGAATATAACGTATAATTTCTACGGTTGCGGCCCAATGTCTGCAGCTTTGTACTAGCCATGTTGATGTTCGCAAGAGAGGGGCACGCCTGCCACTATGAACTCAACGCACCTTCCTCACTAGCATCACGACAGCATAACATCAAGAATCATATCTCGTCATCACCTTTAGCATTCTATCCATCACTTCACTTCCCTCAAACCGGTGTGTACATTTTCTCTCACTTACATGCATCAACTTTTGCCCGCAGACGGCAGATACCAGAGCCGCTCAGTATACTACATACTACACCTTCACATACTATGGTTTCCATCCCAAGTTTCTCACCTCCTAATTCTCACTTGCTCTCGTGGACGTACTAGTAGAGTCGCTTGTGGGCTCTCACCTGGTGCTTCCGGCTCCTCGACAGCTGAGCAGTATATAAACCTACTCTATGCTAGGCTTGGGTATATATTTTGCTATACACGACCACTCTTCTTCTTCTTCTTCTTCTTCTTCTTTCTTACACTATCTTTCCTACTTCACCACAACACTTCTACAACTTCTTTCTCATACAATATCTCTTTCTTCTCATACCACGCCTCTTCTTCCTTGCCTGGTTGGTTCCCATGACTACTTCTATCAATCCTCACACTTGTCCCCATACCACCCAGTTCACAACTACACATTACCTTAGCCTACTTACCAGCCGTCATTGCGTGTACTCCAATCTGTGAGAGCTTCTCCATCACCACTTGTTTGCACGTCTCATCCATACAGCGGTATGTATAACGGAAACACCCATACCACGCTCGTACATTATCGCTTCACCAAAACTGACAGCTTAAGTCATTATGAGTGAACCCAACACAGCCAATGACAGCGAAATGACTGGAACGCAAGCCCCAGTTCCGGAAACCGCGCAGGTTGGCGACGAGGCCATTATCGACGATGATGACCAAGTTCAGCACGAGATCGATACACCTCCCTTTCATGTAGAAGAACATCTCCAGCACGATTCCAGCTTTTTACCCGTTCCAGAAAACGGTTCTATCCCACCCGATGATCCCGACTCGTTGTTCATCCCAGAAATTGACTCTGCTTCACCAAACAACTCAGGCCCCCTTTCCACCCCAGAAAGTGATACCACTCCACTAGGTAACTCTCATCAACAGCTTTCCCTAGCCACCACGATTGCGCCTCCGGATATACCATCTTCAGCGCCTCCAAAGCCTCTTTCGACTATATCTACTGCCCAACTGCGTGATAGAATGCGCAACAGGCAACAAAAAATAAGAGACAAGAAGAGACCAACGGCTACCCAAACAGGGCTAAACCTACCACACACCATTGCACCCACTGAATCGTGTCATCTTGATGATGATAATGACAAAGCAGACAGGAGAGCAGCAGAAATATTTGAGGAGAAAATGCGGTACTATGACAACGTCAAGAAGGCCAATCATGGAAGCCTTCCTTTCAAATTCGAAGTCGAACAGACAAGGGTACAACTCGCCGAAACAGCCAGAAGGAAAAAGCGAGCGCGTGATACTGCCAAGGCTGTGGAAGACGATCCTGTCAATCTAACTGTACCCCCACCGCTTGATCTTGAGCAAGATGTCGAGGAAGAGGAGCTATTTGATGCTGACTTTGACCAACCTCACACTCGCAAGAGAGTTTGTATGCAAGGTGCAGAACTCCAGAGTATGATGGTTGCACTAGATGCTATGAATGATAATCCAAAAAGAAAGCGGAAAAGGAAGTCGGTAGGCGGAAGAGCAGATGTCACTTTTGGCAAAATCACCAAAAGTGGCAAACGCTCCAACAAGAAACAAAAGTTGATTGACAATGGGGCCCAACAAGCTGCATCTCTTCTCTATTCAAATGTTTTTACTGAACAAGCTGCTCTAGATGCACCAGAGCAACCATTCTTCACGTCGAGGACCAAGATACAGGCGCTGAAAGAACTTGTTGCTAGTGTGCCTATTGAAGATGAGAAGCAGGCAAAGAATGACGCAACCATCTTGATGAAAGCAACAAGACAATTTAGCAGGAATGCAGTCAAACCTGATGTTAAGAGCGGTCTATGGTCAGTCAAAGGCATGAAGACAACATTGAAGCCGTATCAGGTCCTTGGTACTGGATTTATGCGCCAACGAGAGAATGCCACTGAAGAGCCAAGGGGTGGTATTTTGGCGGATCAAATGGGACTTGGTAAAACGCTTATGACGTTGGGTAAGTGGTTGCGGGAAAGGAAAGCATAGTGACTGTACTAACTTTCCACAGCGAATATCCATGACGGTCGACCACCAAAGGGTAGCGGTCGCCCCAAGGCTACCCTTATTGTTGCTAGTCCCGCACTTCTCACTCAATGGAAGAGCGAAATCGAAAAACATAGCTCAACCGAACTGAAAATCATGCGGTACGGCGCTGGAACACGTCATAACTTTAACGCGTCCTTGGAACTCCTGAAGGGTCATGACATCGTCCTTACCACTTACAACGAGGTGATGTTGTCCCACCCAAAAATAGAACCTCCGGAGAGTTGTGAAACAGAGGAACAGGAGAAGGCATGGTGGCAGGAAACTTGGGAGCAGCAACGAGGCGCCCTGCACCGCGTACGTTTCTTACGTATAGTCTTGGATGAGGCACAAGCCATCAAGAACCACATGTCGCGCACATCAATTGCCTGTCGTGCCCTTCAGGCTGATCACAAGTGGGCTTTGAGTGGAACTCCTATCCTCAATAGCTTGACTGAGCTCTATCCTTACTTCAAATTCCTTGGCGTTCCACTTATAGGCAGCTTCGAAGACTTCAAGGATGACTACTGCAACCCAAGTAGTCCAGAGAGACTTTTAGTGAGACTCTCTCACTTTATGATCCGCCGCACTCACGCAAATACGATCATGGGAGCTCCCATTCTCAAGTTGCCTCAGGCCCATCAAGCCACGTACTGGTGTGAGTTCAATCCGGTTGAACGCTGCATTTACGAAATTGTCCGCAATCGTTTCATCAAACGGATACAGACCATGGTAAAGAATAAGGCCTTGAAAAAATCCTATTGCAACATCTATGTGTACGTACTGATACTTTTGAAATATGGCTCTTAGAGTTACTAACTGATACAGGATGTTTCTAAGACTCCGCCAGCTGGCAGCCCATATTCTCATGCTTCAATTTGTTATTCGAGATCTCCTTGAGTTGGAAGATATTGAGCTCATTAAACAGGTGCTTCGTCAGCAGACAGCTGATAGTAACACTCAATCTAGGAACACAATAATCGCAGTTCGAAAACAGCTTCAAAAGATAGCAGACGAGGAAAAGAAAAAGAAATGCGATGATTCAAAAGTGAACAAAGAAGCCGAAGGTCAAGATCAAGACAGCGTCACTGATGAAGAAGAAGGAGAAGAAGAGGAGGAGCTGGAGTCAGATCATCGTTTCGGGACGGGCGGGAGTTTTGGCAAAGACTACAACTTCGGGCCCTTTCTGAGCAGTCTCCAAACAGGAAAGAGCTGGGAAAGAGCCAAGAAAACAGCCAAGTGCAGCACCTGCGGAAAAAAACCACAACAGCCTATGCTCACATCATGTGGGCATCTGATTTGTGCTGATCCCTGTTACTCAGAAGCATGTGTCGAGATGGCTGAGCAAGGGGAAGAGAATATAGTTTGCAAAGCCTGCGGTGTCACATCTACATCTACCATTACATGTGACATGGGAACTGATTCTCAAGACATACCTGCATCTGGCACGCGATCGAATGACAAGAAGAAGAAAGACAAGGGGCGTAAGCGCATCGGCCGTGAAGACATTGCGCACGACTGGCTTGCTTCGCTGGACGACGATGTCCTACCTTCCGCGAAAACCATCGCAGTCAAGTCACAGATTATGAACTGGATTAAGGAGAACCCGAATGTCAAGATCATTGTCTATACCCAATTTCTTGCTATGTAGGTTTGATTCACATCCTATGTATCTGTGCTAACAATCTATAGGATTCAAATTTTGCGACGTGTTTGTCAGAAAGAAGGCTGGAATGCTATTCAGGTGAGTTGCTACTTAGTATATGCTATTAACCTGTTCACTGTTACTTGGGAACACCATGGAAACTGTTGCTGAGTGCTCTGGGGGTTCGAACCGCTAATCACCAACGTAGTACCACGGCAAGATGAGTCTCACGGCTCGCAATAACGCCATTCAATCATTTGGCCGCCAAGAAGATAACGTGAGAATCATGCTGGCAAGCATGCAATGTGGTGGCTGTAAGTGCTCATACCTGTGGTAGCTTCTATGTCACAATTATATACTGATGATCTTTCAGTGGGTCTTAACCTAACTATGGCTTCTAGAGTTATCTTTATTGATCCTTGGTGGAACTCTGGTGCAGAGCAGCAAGCTTTCTGTCGCGTATTCCGCATTGGTCAAAGAGAAAAGACATTTATGAGCCGCCTTTGTGTCCAGAACACAATAGATAACAGGATTATCGAGATTCAGGAGCGCAAAGAGAAGGAGATCGAAAGGGTGATGAAAGAAGGGGGCAAGCCGGTGCATGGGTACGTTTTGTCTACTTTAGGCATTTTCCAGACTAAGAAGATCGCAGGATGGATATCCATAAGCTGATAAAGATGTTTGGAGGGGAAATAGGGGAGGAAGTTGATGCGATTACCATGGCGGATGATGAGATGGAAGACTTCGAGCTGCCGTTAGAGTAGGCTTGGCAGCCACGGGGACAAGCCTTGGAGGGCGAAGAATTGATTTTTGAGAATGGCGTAGGGGTCTAGATCGTGAATGGATCTTGAGTTTCGTGGGTGGTGTGGGTGCCTGGTTGATGGAATGGATTTGCTTTTTGCCTACAAACCTTCAAGCTGTCCTATCAGCAGTCAGGATTTCTCTGGTAGATGGGTGCCAGCAAAAGTTCGATTCGAGCCAAAAGCTTTCTCAGTAGCCATGCCGTGGCATGTCATTGTTCTTTTTCTCAGTTGCCTCCTACAGGCATAAACGTGTTTGTCCGATGGGCGCGGGTGCAAAGGGAGAGTGTAGATAAGAGGCGAGGGGCGGCCAATCAGACCAGGGATGATAGCGATGGCGCTTGGCAAAGGCAGGCGTCGCGTATTCCCCGCCCCAATGCGATACCTGTGCTATCGATTGCACGCGCATACTACTCGCCCCTGCTTGGCCAGCCATGGTGAGGGCGCAATACTTACAGAGGCGTGGAAGACGGCAAGCCCACAGCTTTTCGCGGGCCGCTGATTAATGTTGTGCGCTGACTGAAGGGCCCGTCGGAGCGTGCGCCCCACCGTTCCCCCCGCATCTTGCATCTCCGGGAAACCTCCCAAGAGCTGTAATGGAGAACACCAGCACGGCGGAAGCGCAACCATCGACCACGGATACGCCCGCCAAGAAGGGACGACGAGGGAAACGGGACGCCGGGAGCGACGACTCGAAGAAGAGAAGGTGCATTTCTTCGGCCTGTGTGCCCTGCAGGAAGCGCAAGTCCAAAGTACGTACGTCGTCTTAGGTAACGGGAACTGCTCTGCTCGACTGCCTTTCTCCGGCCTCTATATCCCTTCTCCGCATGCCCACCAACCTTGTCGCTCTTACACCTCTTGTCGCCAGCCGTGCGCTAATCCGAGAAACAGTGCGACGGCACCACACCAGCCTGCTCGGCCTGTGCCGCCGTTTACAACACGCCATGCATCTACGATCCGAACTCGGACCACCGCCGCAAAGGTGTCTACAAAAAGGACATCGACAACCTCAAAACGCGCAATTCAACCCTCCAGACCCTTATACAAGCCATTCTCAATTATCCCGAGGACGCAGTTGCAGACCTAGTCCAGCAGATTCGCACATGTGAGAGTCTCGACTCGGTCGCTGAGGCCATTATTGCCAAGGAGAATGGAGAAGAGGATGACGATGAGCCCCTCAGTCCAATTGCACCGCCCGCAGCGGCGCCTCCAGAGGGAAGCTTTGAGAGCCAGCTGAGCGGCAAGATGGGCGAGCTGCGGCTCGAGGATGGTTCTACAAGATACATTGGCGGAACGTCGCATCTCATCTACCTAGGCAAGGGCAACGACACCGTTGACTCGCCCGACACGTATTCGGACGACCAGTTCCAAGAGACGCAGGACCCATTTTGCTCGTGGACTACCGTGACCTCGGACCCGGAGCTGGTGCAGCATCTGATCAGTATGTACTTTTGCTGGCACTATAGCTTCTTCACAACCCTATCCAAGAATTTGTTTCTGCAGGAGTTCAGGCTTGGCAAACCGCTGCCCGGATCTGGAAGGAAGAATCAGTACTGCTCGCCCTTACTGGTCAATGCCATGCTGGCACTCGGATGTCACTTCACGTCATGGCCTGCTGCCAGAGCCATACGCGATGATTCAGCAACGGCTGGAGACCATTTCTTCAGGGAGGCCAAGCGACTGATTATGGAGGATGATTTGCACGAGGTCCCTGCATTGACGACAGTGCAGGCTCTAGCTTTGATGTCCGTACGCGAAGCCGGTTGTGGGCGGGAAGCAAAAGGCTGGGTGTACAGCGGCATGTCCTTCCGGATGGCATGCGATCTCGGCCTCAATCTGGGCATGCATAGCAGGGATGTCATCGATGAGAACGAGGAAGATGCACGAAGGATCACATTTTGGGGCTGCTTCTTGTTCGACAAGTGTTGGAGCAACTACCTCGGGAGATTACCCCAATTGCCCAACACGATTCTCACAGTACCCAAATTCGACGTCTTCCCTGTTGAGGATGCAGAGACATGGAGTGCAGTCACAGACTCTGGTCTAAGTCAGGCACACTCGCAGCCTAGTAGGACGCGCGCAGTTGCTCTCCAAATTTCAAAGCTCTGCGAGATTTCTAGCGACTTGATGAATGCTTTCTACAACCCCATTGATATGGACAAGGCCAAGGGAAGACAGGCAGAGCTGAAAAAGCTCAGTGAGATACACATGAGGTTGGAGACGTGGAGACGGGAGCTCCCGAAAGAGCTAGAACCGAAAGAGGGTGGCTTGCCCCATATGCTTGTCATGCAGTAAGCATTATCCACCGTCGCTATCAACTTGTACTAATGACTGTGTAGCATGTTCTTTCAGTTGCTTTACATCCATCTCTTTCGTCCATTCCTAAAATACAACCCAAACAATTCACCACTTCCTGCCCATGTCTCTCCCCGAAAGCTCTGTACCCAGGCTGCTGCCATGATTTCCAAACTACTACGGTTATACAAGCGATCCCATGGCTTGCGGCAGATATGCAACATCTGCGTGTATATCGCGCACTCTGCTTGCACAATACATCTTCTCAATCTACCTGAGAAGAACGCAAAGCGTGACATCATCCATGGTGTCAAGCATCTGGAGGAGATAGCAGAAGGATGGCTGTGCGCTCGACGAACGCTTGGAATCCTCAGCGTACTGGCAAAGCGCTGGAACGTCGAGCTACCAGAAGAAGCTGCCACAGTGCTTTCCCGCACTGATGCCAAGTTTAGTCCCTGGAATGAGGTCAGCACTCCAAAAGCACAGCGCCGCGCGTCTGTACAGACCAACCAGCATCCTTCGCCAGCGGATCAGGCTTCACCGAGTCTCCAACCATACAGCATGAACATGGCCAAAATGACAGCACCACAACTGTACAACCGAATAGCCATAGCAAACAATAGCTCCGTAAGCTCTAACCCTTCTGCCCGTCCTTCTAGCACCCACTCTCTACCTCCCTCGGACCCAAACGCTCTGGCTTACATGCGTACTCAGCAATATCCCACTACACCCCAGAGTTATTCGGCTACCCTGAATGCTCCTACTCCAGCCTCGACACAAGGACGCCGATCCGTCGACGGCGGCAACACCACTGCTGGGAACTCGCCAAGTCAGCTGTTTGGTGGTGTTGATCAGCTACTACGCGAAGGCCAGGATTGGATCTACCGCGATCAAACACAACTTGCAACTGATTTCGAAAATTGGAACCCCCAAGGAGTAGATGATATAGCGAGTTGGTTTGCTAGTACAGCCAATCCTACAGGCATGTTCCAGCCTACAACTAATGTTGCTCCTAACACCAGCAATGAGATTAGTGGTGGTCCGGTGGGTGGCAGTGGTGATGATGGCGTCACAGCCGCTACCAATGGATATCCCAACGGAAGGTTCAACGGCAATGTCAATAATTCCAATGTAAATGGGTTTGGGACCATGGGACTCAATGGCGCAGGCTTGCAGGGATTTACCTACGATGAGCAGAGTTGGTATCAATGATGTGTTTTCATCAAGGATGGCATCACGTGTATACTCTTTTGGCAATTGCGCCTCTTGGGCTTAGGCTCACTCGAGGAGCTGTTGGAATTTCTCGTGTTGATTGTTTCGACTGTTCGTATATCTAGCGAGGATACACCCCGTTTGTTTTTTTCTTCGTTCTGGTGTATAGCAGGTTATTTTTCTTCTATTTAAGCAGTTTATTTGAGGAAAAAAGACAGAGGGAGAGGGACGTAATGAGAAATATGTACACGAATAGAGAAATTATACGTTACTTTGTCTTGTTGTTTTCGCTGCTGGCTGGGTCGGGTAGATGTATACGTGAAAGGAATGCGAGTGGTCAGATGAATGTTCCGCCGGATACTCGCCTAGTATAATCTCTCTGTGCCCCAGACACTACGGGCACGTGTTAAAGGTTCCTTCAAAGATTGATGGACACAAGGCTGAGCCGTATCTGGTGGCTTACCGCGCTGCACGAATGGTGCAACATCGTTATCGCCCCCAATGTCAGCAATGCCGCTTTGGTGTGCAATCTTTAGTAAGTCTGGAGTAGCGCTACTAGGATATCGTCCAGTGAATGGTTATGCTCCAAGGCGAAGCTTTGCTTAGATAAGCTGCTCCTGTCGTGAATGTGTGACAATCCAGGCAGCTGTGGGTCGCACTGTACTCCGCTCCGCTATGATATACACAGGCGCTCTGGCATTGAATATGCACAACATTTACGAGACTAAGACGGTGCAAAAAACACGTCGCAATGGGGCTACACAACACGTTTTCTCATTACAGCTTGGTCACATGCATGCGTGTGACCACACAACATTGGGCGACATGAGCACTTTCCGCCCCCAATCCCAATCAAATCCTCCGTTTCAAGCCACAATGACAAGCCTTCCAGCCCCGTCCATGATTTAACCACCCAGCTGTACCTCGCGACGCGTCCAGTGATGCGGCGTTTCATTTGTTTTCTAGGCACGGCGTGGACCCATTCCATCAGCTAGCATGATGAGCTTTGGAATCAGTATCGGAGACGTACTCAAAGTGTGCGAACTGGCGGGGAGGGTATACAAGAACTGTCAGTCGATTGGCAGCTCCGCAACTTCTAGTATGCTAATCGAAACGCAGGCCGCGACTGTCCTGGAGCGTACAAGACCTTGACAACTGAAACACGCAGTCTCACCAATCTCCTCGACGACATACAAGACAAGTTCGACAAGATACCGGAGAGTAAGCAGCAGCAACTTATCGAGGCGTATGCGCCATGCATCGGGGTCTTGGAAGAGCTCGACAAGCTCCTGTTGCACTACAATGGGCTTGACACAAAGAGCAAACGCGCTTGGGACCGTCTTAAATTTGACCCAGAAACTTTGCGAAACTTGCGCGAGCGGCTTGTTGCGAGCGTGGCGATGCTCAACACCTTCTATACCTCCCTGATACACGATGTCCAGGTCCTGATATTAGAGGCCTTGGAGAGACTGGAAAAGGATTATAGAGGCGGACATCGCGAAGAAAGCATTAGTTCGATTGAGCGACTCACTTCTGGCGCCCTGGAAAATGACACTGAAGATGACGACGAGGCATGGCGCCAGATCATCCGCGATTTAGAAGATGTCGGCATCTCTCAGCAGCAAGCTTTGGGCTATCGCGATGTCATTGTAGACTGGCTCGTCGCTGCAGTGAACGAAGGGAGACTTCTCGAGGATCGGCCGGAGCATGAGCCATACTCCTCAATGTCGCAAGATCTCAGACCGATACTTCCTGAAATTAATGTTGGAGAATCATCCAGTGGCCTGGACATGCCCACAATCGTCACGCCTATGAAGAGCAGTTGGTCACCACCATTAAGAACGCCTCCTCCCATACCCCGCCCACCGATACCACAGATTCATATGAGCTCAACTCCTTCGGTGACTTCACAAGCGCACTCTGTTACATCGTTGCCAATCATGCCATGGGATACTGATTCAGATAACTCTTCGCTGTATGCAGAGCCACATCGCTCAGCGGTTACCACCCCCTCTGTTCAATCCAATACCTTTCCAATTCGACGTGTGCCAGTTCCTCATGCAAGCGGGTTGCTCCGGGCGACGAATGCAGAAAGCCCTGACACAACGCTATCTACATCATCGCCTGTTTCTCGAACACAAACGCCCTCTATTCCTGCTCCTCCATTGGACAGCGATGCGCCCCCGTCATATTTCGAGGAAGGCACATCTATTACGATAGATCTCAACTGGACGGCTCATCAGGCAGTGGCTGCATGGGCTCGCCACGACTTTGTCAATGCAGAAAAGCATCTAGAGGACCAGTTAGCAGCTGTCGACCGCGGACAGAGGTGTATATCTGGTACCCAACCTGATCGTCGCATTCTCAAACATCTGCTCGGAGTATGCGCATCATTTACAGGGAAGTTTTCAAAGGCAAAGGGGCACTTTGAAAGCGTCTTTAATGGGACCTTTCTCTATCACCAGAATCTAGACGATGGCGACATAGCTGCTGCGCGATGGCTAGGAGACCTTTGTTTACATACTCAAGAACACGCAAACGCCATGCTCGCCTACAGTGTTGCTTACGAAGGATCCATGGGCCGCTATGGAGCGACCAGCGAACGTACCCGACGAGTGGCAACTGAGATAATACTCATCGATCAATGGCTGTTCGGGTTCAGGCGCATCGAGGCTACCCTCAACCTTAATCTTGACCCGACGAGTATCTTTCCATCAGCAAATGTTGTGGAGAAGAACAAGTTGATGATAAATGTCAAGAAGAGTGTGTACGAATTGGTCAGATCTACCAGCACCACACCAATCCCAGTGATATCCTTGGGGCGGCCAACATACAATCTCGACCCTCGACCGAGATACGAACTAAGATTGTCCGAAGGATTTCTCGTGGGACCCCTGATATCCCTCAGCACCTGGCCACTTCCATGGGATCCACTTTTCCATCCTACAGACGCTGTACAGCTAGACCGTTACATGAACACTGTGCGGTTTGCAGGTCAGCAGTCTAGATCTCTCTACGATCGCCAATTACCTACCAACTCACTGGGCGACTCCAAAAAGCTGCACTTTCTTACCAAAAGAGGCAGTCGGTGGTTGATTAGTGCTGTTGAACGAGGCCTCAACGAGATGGGGATTACGTATGCACACCATTGCTTTGAACCAGCGATAGTGTGTTGTCTCAACCAACAACGTGAAGGCGTGGCCTTCTCGGAGGGAGTGGAGATACGTTTTTGCAAATTATCATTTCGAGACGTATATGGGATCAAGGTGACGGATGTGAAGTGGGCCACTCGAAGGGTTGTGAGGCCCGGCGTGTACGGTGAGATACCGCCGAGGTTCCGCAGCGCAGCGGACTTTAGGGAAATTGTCAAAGGTGTGCTAGACAGAGCAGAGGAAGAAGAGAACGGTCTGCCAAAGCCTGTTCCCAACATACCTCTCGGCGTCTCCAATGGATACCAGCAGGCGCCCCACACATCACTGTACAAGCCACCCATGTATGGCTGAGTAGTCAAGTCATTTATTCTTCCGAGTCAATGTAATCTTTTTCCTGATTACCGTAGAGGTGCAGTAGGGAACCACGTGTTATATGGCCGAATTTGCAGTTTTGATAGTGGCACAGATCCGGATTCATTTGCGTGGCTTACATCTGGAGATTTTGCAGCGGCGAGACCCGTTTTCGAGCGTAACCACGTTTGGGCGATTACCCGAATGCTCGGCGGCTCGGGAAACCGGAAGATCGAGTTATTTTGGTGTTCGGAATAAGTGGTGCGGTGGGGTGTTACGAGCATTCGACATGTCAGGTTCCACGTGCGAGGATGGGATATTGAAGGGGCTGCTAGAAGAATCAACGTTTGCATCCGCCGTTCTCCCAACGGTCCACGTTGTCGAGCGTTTAGTTAATACGGCGCCACGGCTCAGGGTGAAGGGCAGTACGAGCGCCAACCCCTGCATGTATATGGGAAAGAAAAAACGAAGCAAGCGGTTACCCGGAGTTGGAGGCGCATGTTGTAGAAGGAAATGAAACCATGATTATCGTTGTTTGCGCCCAAGGACTCAGGAGGGGATTGGCGATGTCATTACTTTTGGATCGAGCAAAGGAGGAGGCGCAAATTTGGCCTTCAACACGGCCGTCGGAAGCGGGGGTAGCAATCAATTTGAGAACGGGCCTCTCTGTTAGCGTCACAAACGGATCTTTGCGATGGGAGGACTGGCGAAATGAGAGTCGGCCTGAGCAGCGATGATGTGGGCTCCCCTTCTGTAAGCGCCACGTTATTATAACGAGACCTCCTGAACCAAAAAAGTCGATAGCAATCTGAAGTCCCTAGCGCGCGCCCTGGGGCTGGATCTGCGCGGCTCGAGAACACAGCCGCTCCATATCGATAACCGCCCCCGCTCCTGACGGTATACAAGCGGCGCCTCGACACGCCTTGGGGCTGCCGATGGCCGTATATGAGGGGCGATGGCGCGAGAGAGTTGAAATGAGAGGCCTGGTACCTGACTTGGCGTCGTCTGCAAGGACGCCACTTAGCGGGCAAACCATTGCGGAATGTAGACTAGGTCGCTCGCTAACAGTCTTCGTTTGTGTTTCATGTTTCAGAAGCACAACCTCATCTCTCAGCTTAGTGGCCGACAGGGCTCGAGGCTGACTGCATCCTGCGCAACCAAGCGTCACTCCTAAAGGAAAATAATAACACTCCGCTGCAATGCCCGGCAGACGTGTCGCAGGGCCTCCAAGGGTGCCAAGGCATGCGCCGCCCGCAGGTAGCAACCGGGTGGAAATCACTCATCCGCGCATGCCCATCACCCGGCCTAGGCTCGGTGGCGGGTGTGATGGAGGAGTAAAAAGGCCCCGTCATCCCCAACTCTTCCTTTCCTCATCCCACAAGGACTCAAAAATCCAACTTGTTGCCTGTCTCTCTTTCAAAGGCTCTTTGTGGCCTGTTTCATTCCTTCACTGTCGCTAGCTCGGCACATTCATTCATTACCTTGAGTCCTAGTGACCAACCCTTGCAACCTCAGTTCGAGCGTCACTACCAAAAACACGTTGTTTTCTGCCCTTCAAGTCAACTGTTGAACATCCAATACCATGAAGACCCAATCTATCCTTTTTGCGGCCCTGGCCTCGGCCCCTGCTGCCCTTGCCCACACTGTCTTTACTGACTTTTACGTTGACGGCGTGCCTCAGGTATATGGTGTTAGTTATCTTGCATGCGGCTTGTACTAACAATAATCAGGGTGATGGTGTTGCTATTCGCATGAACCCTTCAGGAGAGCACACTAGCTCCCCTATTGGCAGTCTTGATAGCACTGACATGGCTTGCAGTATGTCCCCTTTATCTTGGTGCTCCCTTTGCGCACCATGGCTGACCAAAATTGCTAGATGTCCAGGGTACCAAAGGAGTTTCGCGCACCCAGCCCGTCCAGGATGGTTCCGTTCTTACCTTTGAGATTCGCGAGTGGCCCGATGACCCATCAAAGGAGCGCCTTGACCCTGGCCACAAGGGACCTTGCGCCGTCTACCTGAAGAAGGTCGAGGATGCCACCACTGACACTGCTGCTGGTGATGGCTGGTTCAAGATCTTTGACCAAGGCTACGACGCTGACTCCAAGCAATGGTGCACTGACAAGATCATTGCAAACAATGGTCTTCTGTCCGTCAAATTGCCCGAGAACCTTGTGCAAGGCGACTACCTCGCTCGTCCCGAGATTCTTGCTCTCCATGCTGCCAAAGACGGTGACCCACAGTTCTACACTGGCTGTGCCCAAATCTTCCTCAAGAGCACAGGCAACCTCGTTCCCGAGTCCACTGTATCTATCCCCGGACACGTCAAGTACAACGAGCCTTCGACCGACTTTGACATCTACAACACTCCTGCTACCAAGTACGTTGTGCCCGGCCCCAAAGTCGCCAAGCTCACTGCTGGCGCGACTAAGTCTTCCGCCACTGTCCAAACCAAGGGCCTTAAGTCTCAGGGCTGCGTCATGGAGAACGCAAACTGGTGTGCCAAGGAAGTCCAATCCTACACCGATGAGAAGGGATGCTGGGCTGCCGCTGAGGACTGCTGGGCTCAGAGCGATGTATGCTACGATTCCGCACCCCCGACTGGTGGCAAGAACTGCAAGCTCTGGCAAGAGAAGTGCACCGACATTGGCGCGCAGTGCAAGGCTGGCAACTGGGTCGGTCCTCCTAACAAGGGCAAGGACCTTACACCTGCCAAGAAGTCCATTGATGTAGGCCTCGTCATGCCCAACCAGGTCCAGCCTGCCGCGCCATCCAAGGAGACGCCAGCGCCTTCATCTGAAAAGGAGCAGGAGGAGCCAGAGTCCAAGCCTGAGCCCAAGCCTGAGACTAAGCCTGAAAACTCCGAGTACCAACCTGCGCCTGCACCTGCTAAGCCCGCTCCCGTTGCCGAGGCACCAAAGCCAACTCCCACCCCTGATGCGCCCGCAGCCCCAGCCAACGATGAGTACGACAGCCCTCCTTTCATGGAGCCCACCAACTACCCTGCTGCTCCCCCTCCAGCCCCCTCCAAGCAGCCCACCACCCTCAGCAAAGCCCCCATCTCCACCATCACCGTTGCCCCTTCATCGGCTGGTGGTCCCAAGCCTACCCAGCCCGCTTGCCCCAAGGGATACAAGTGCGTCTACGTGACTGACCTCGTCGTCGTCACTACCACCGTCTACGTGACTGAAGGAGCTGCGCCCACTGCTACCCCTACGCCTAGCTCGGGGAGCTACATGAAGCGTGCTCATCTTCATCCCAGGAGGCGTCTGCACCTCGCTTAAGTCTAAGCTGGTGACTGAAGATGTATATCTACAGCTATAACTTGGGAGTTCAGATCAAGGAAAACGGGTTACGTTCACGCCAACGCTATATGATTGGCAACTTTTGGTACTTGGGGTTGGGGTCTTGGCCGCGAAAAACAATTTTTTTTTTTACCTTTCTGCGACACTTTTGTTGTTCGCGAGTCAATGACTGGCTCTGTTCTTATGAGGGGGAATGGAATGTAGGATAGGAAGCAGACTTTTGTCTTATATTCTTTCTTTCTTTCTTTTTTCTCCTTTTTCTTCTCTTCTTCTTTTTGACCCTTTTTGACACAGATATGAATGAATCATGCTTGATATGACCATGACATAAAGATTGTGCTGCCTTCAATAACTGCTGTGATGTTGAAATTCTGGTGTACGTGTGCAGAGATGCTAAGGGGTAAGTGTGCGTCATTACAGATAGTTTGTCAAGGAAGAACAGAAATGTATTTGCTCTGTAGATCATGACTGTTGTTTTACCACTTGGCCCGGTGTTTGGCCAAAATTCTCCGCGCTCAGCTCTATTTTTATGTCTCACCCTCGATAGTGCGCACCTTGATGCTTCCATCTTGCATACCAAAGTAGACGGCGACGGGCTTCTGGCCCCCGCGGACAGTCTTTGTGCTTTGATCCTGCTCACGTAGCGCCTGTGCATCGATGCCATTCAGGCCCGAGAAAATACCAACCTCGAGGACACCGGTGAGGCCCTTGATGGCCCTGCTGAGGGTATTGACCTCCCACGTACCGTCCGTGCCATCACCCTTTCCTTTACCCGCTGCTACATCCGAGGATGTAAGCAATGGGGGAAAAGGCGCATCAATGATGTAAAAGTCCTGGTCCGTCTTCAGGGGTCCTGATTTCTCCAGTAGCGTCGTCCTTAGTTTAGGACCTGTTGATCCCAGCATCCTCAGTGCACCGGCGACCTTGAGCTGAGACAGGGGGGCGACCTCGATAGGGATGGTGGGCCAGTTTGTCAAGAGACGGTCCTGTCTTTTTCTGTAGTCTGCGACACAAACAAATTTTCTGGCGCGCTCAGCGACTAGCTTCTCCTGGAACAGACACGCGCCTCCTCCTTTTATGCAGTTGAGCTCTGCGTCGACTTCGTCGGCGCCGTCAAATGCTACGTCGAGCATGACGTGGTCGGGGAGACTGTCAAAGGAGATGGCAGTGAGGCCGGCATTAACGACCAGTTGGCGTGATTGGAAGCCGGTAGGGACGAAGAGAATGTTGGGGTTGGTCGATCGCTGCTTAATAGCCTCGACGACGTAGACAATGGTGGTGCCGGATCCAATTCCAACGTGGGTGGCTGCCGGATCGAAGTGGTCCGCTACGGCCTGTTGTGCAGCCGCACGTTTGGCAGCCTCGACATTTGTGTCGGTCATGGTATTCGCGGTTTTGAGTGATGTAGTATTATGGAAGTGCCTTGAAGATGGCGGATCGGGTTGATGGAGCGATTTTTGTAGAAGAGATTTGCCGGTGGTGTAGGCACGGGATGGATGTACAGCCAATCTAGGGATCGATAAATTTTGGAGGGGCAGTGGAGGCTTGAGATGACTGATGCTGCGGACTTGCTGATTTATACTGGCAGTGCAGACGGGGAGAGGTCTCCAGGGCATGAGCCGGCACACGTCGGTAGCCTTTCTCTGGGCTTTGATGTACAACGTAGCTGATAGCCTGAGATGTTCAGCAGCGAATCTAGACGGTGCCGGGGGATGGAAGTGAATGATTTGCCCGTGACAAGGTGATGGGGCGCGCGGCGAAAGATGACGCTGTTGTGCCCCGCCATTGGAAATGCCCCGCGGCAGGGGTCACGCCTAGCGCGAGTCGACAGCTCAAGCGCGTCCGGTGCCTGGCAGCTCTAACAGCGGTAACAAACATCTCTGTCATTTCTCTCGGCCGCTACCGGGAAAAGAAAAGAAAAGAAAATCTGTGAGAATGGCAGACCTCCCTCCTCCCGTACAAGGTCCAACTGCCAAGGAGAAGAAGTATGTCACCTCATTGCTGCTAAACAGCATTAACACGTACTGACCGCAATAGGTACGATCGTCAGCTACGCCTCTGGGGAGCTACAGGCCAAGCTGCGCTTGAGAGCTCCCATATTCTCCTCATAAACTCAGGACCGGGAGTGGTCGGTGTAGAGACACTCAAGAACCTTGTCCTGCCATGCATTGGGGACTTCACCATTCAAGACTCAGCCGTCGTCAATGAAGCAGATCTAGGCGTGAACTTCTTCCTGGAAGACCAACACTTGGGAGGTTTCCGTGCAGAACACACGTGTAATCTACTTAAGGAGCTGAATCCAGATGTACAGGGTCACTTCATCACAGAGGTACAACCGTGCTTTGCAGTTCGTCCATGATCATCGACTAATGGACCCAGCCTATCGAGTCGTGGCTATCACAGCCTAACGTCCTGCAACCATACTCCTTGATCATTGCGACCGCGCCTATCCGCCCCGATGTCCTCGTAAAGCTGTCTAGCCATGCAAGCGCTGCGCTCATTCCGCTATTTTACCTCCACTCGGTTGGCTTCTACGCTCACTTCTCCGTCCATCTGCCCCCCGCATTCCCCATCGTGGACACACACCCTAGTCCCGAAACCACATCAGACCTGCGACTACTGCAGCCGTGGCCAGAGCTAGTACATTATGCGGACGAGAAGACGGCCGATCTAGAAAACATGAAGGCTGAGGATCATGGCCACGTGCCATGGATAGCACTGCTGTTGCATTACCTAGAAAAGTGGAAGAAGGAACATGGGGGAGAGGTGCCACAGACTTACAAGGAGAAGACAGAGTTTAGGACTTCCGTTTCACAAGCTGCACGCACAGACAACCCAGAAGGCGGTGAAGAGAACTTCGATGAGGCAGTGGCAGCTGTTCTAAAGTCTCTCAATCCACCACAAGCAAGCAGCGCCGTCAAGGAAGTTTTTACAGCGCCAGAGTGCCTTCTGGTTCGCCAAGACTCACCAAGCTTCTGGGTCATCGCGAACGCCATTGGCTTGTTCTATACAAAATACAATGTCCTACCAGTTCCTGGCTCCGTGCCGGACATGAAGGCTCGCTCAGCGGACTACATCGAGTTGCAAAATGTCTACAAATCTAAAGCGCGGCGCGACCTGGCAGAGGTGGTGGAGAGTGTACGATTTTTGGAGCGCAATGCTAACCGTAGTGTGCCCATTGACGAGAAGGACATTGAGACTTTCTGCAAGAACGCAGCGCATATAAAACTAGTGCGCGGTCGACCATTTCACATAGTCCAAGCGGGTGAGAAGATTAAATGGGGCGATCGCGCCAAGTCGATTGGTAAGTACGTAGATATAAGAGACTGACGGATGAGCTAACATATCACAGCTCAGACACTCACATTTCCCGACTCACAGATCCCACTGTACATTGCCTTCCTAGCCTGGGATGAGTTTGCTGCGACGCACAATAAAGACGGTTTAGGAGGGGCGCCCCAAGTTGCCGGAGAAATCGACCCGGATGCAGATTCGGAAAAGCTGATTGGAATCGCTCTGAAGATCGCTGATGATCTGATCAAGGAAGCGAATGCTTCAATTGAGGAGGACGAGTATGCAACAATCCGATCACAGATTGGAGATTATGCGGGTGAGCTGTAAGTACACATTGCAACACCAAACTCATTATCAGATAGTCTTTATGCGAAGCCATCTGGACAGCTATGGAAGATACAAAACTAACTGTTTAACAGTGTACGAGCTGGCGGTGCTGAATTGCACAATATTGGCGCTTTAGCGGGTGGTATGGTCTCACAGGAGATTATCAAGGTGATCACTGAGCAGTATGTCCCCGTCGACAACACTTGTGTTTTCGATGGCATCAAGAGCAAGAGTACTGTATTCAGGATCTGAAGAAAACGGCCGCATGTTCTCGTGCATGGTATCGTAAAGGTCCTCAGGTTTGCAATCAACAAACAAGAAGCTGCCGCAAGGATGTCGTTTCAGAGAGTGGCGACTTCGCATCAAATTTTATACGGACAAGGTTCCGTCCTTACTTTCAGTTGCAACGAATGTAGTTGCTATTGTATATGGGTAAAGCACAAGGGATTTGCAATAGAGTCAAATTCGCCTGCAGCTAACACCGAAATAACGTGATTGCCTAGCGTTGGGCAGATTGATAGACGACGATCCAATGCGGAGAACGCATCGAATGGCTATGAATATTAAATCAGAATGATTATCAAACCACGAGTCTCTTGATTTATTCAGTGATTGAAAGAATGAAAGAGATACAATTAATGTTTGCCTTTGTTCTGAAGTGATGCGCTTGTGCTAGTATTTAACACTTCTTTCCTCTCTCACACTATTTTTCAGCCTAGGTATTCACAGGTAATACAACCCCTTGTTTGGAATAACAAACCCACAAGCATGGTGAAAAGGCGCAATATCACTACAAAGCAACCTACCCTACTGTTGACTGCTGAACCCCGGCCGACCAGTGGCAAGGGAGAAGCAGCTAATTTCCAAGCGTCATCACGTGATGACGCATACGCGACTGGAGTCGCGTCTGATCCCGGCCAAACTTGTCTGCCTGTCAACATTCGCTCAAACCAGGCGCTTCTTGTCTGCAATAGACCCATGGACTCTTCCTTTGATCTTCCGGACTCCACCGACTGGATCAAAACGTCCTTACCTGCCTTCGAACCGCTCGAAGCTGCCTTGCGCTGTGAGGTCTGCAAGGAGTTCTACCATAACCCCGTCATCACGTCCTGTTCCCACACATTCTGCTCGATATGTATACGAAGATGTATTGCTTCGGACGGGAAATGTCCGAGCTGCAAGACAGGATGCTCTAGCGACAAATTGGCACCAAATATTGCGGTTAGAGAAGTAGTAATGCGGTTTCAAGAGGCGAGGCCGAAAGCGCTGGAGTTAGCGCGTGCAGACAAAGACGAGGAAGTCAAGGGCGGTCGCAGAAAGAAGAGGAAAATAGAAGACACGGATATAGAGGAAGACGACAATGTCAGGCATACTCGGTCTCGACAAACCCGGAGTAAAAGTCAGCGCAACGGAGGTAGAGCAGCATCGCCTGCTGTAGTCGCTGATAGCGAAGACGGTGACGAAGATTTTGTCCCGGATGGTATGGTCAAGTGCCCAGTCTGCAATCGTGGCATGAAGGAAGAGCTAGTCTACAACCACCTGGATACATGCACTGGGCCAAATGCGTCGCCGGGGCGTAATACCAGGCCAAGGTATGTTTAGCAGAGATATAGCCTTGCATAGCAAGAGACTGACATTGTTGCTATCAGAATAAAACCAGCCTTCCCCGCGTTACAGACACGAAAAAAAGACCCTTCGCCTCCGCCAACAAGATTATCGCAACTCAACTATGCTATGATGAAAGAGACCGCATTGCGGAAAAAGCTACAAGAAATTGGCATCCCCAATTGGGGCACCAAAGACCTAATGAAGAGGAGACATATAGAGTGGATCAATATCTTTAACTCGAATTGCGACGCCCATGATAGTCTGAGAAAGAGTCACAGGCAGTTGTTGAAAGAATTAGACGAGTGGGAGCAGACCCAGGGCGGTAAATCGAACAACAAGGAGAGTGCGATTATGAGGAAGGACTTCGACGGCGAAGGGTATGCAAAATCGCATAGAACAGAATTCGAGGACTTGATTGCACGAGCGCGGCAAAAACGTGCGACGTCCAAAACAGACGACGAGTATTCTGGGCAAAACACGCCTGCAGACGGACAACGCACAGGAACGCGAGACGAGACTACGGCGAATGGTACCGATGATCCCTCTCGAGAATCCATATCGAATCATGCTTCCCCAGATACACTTCTGCCAGGCTACGGTCCCCACAATCCATCCGAAGACGGCCAATCAGCGCCGGCCACCATGCCAGCAAAAGGTGAAGCAGCGAATAGCACGTCGACAATACATACTCTGAAATCCGACAATTCGATGCAAGGAAAAGAGATTCCCTTAGGAAGTCCGAGCCGTCAGGTGCCCATTTATGCGGTTCCTGAAAAACCAGTCAAGGACATGGAGGGTAATGCGGCCGTGCAATAGTAACCAGAGTATGCAGTTGGAATAGAACCTTGGTTGACCTCAAGGACTACTTTATTCACATGTTTTCCAATATCTAACGTGCTGTATTTCAGTCCACATCCCCTTCACCACTTTTCAGGACAGAGCTAGCTTCACACTTCCTGTTTGCGCTAAGAAGACTTCAACCTACAGCACAGTTAACCAACCTTTACACGCCATGTCTCCACCTGACTCGGCACACGCTTTTGAGGAGGGACCATCCATGGATTCAGGAATAGGCCTTCCGCCTAGCCCAGCACGTACCCCACCAGATGCGTCGCAACTTGCACGCCAATCCTCATGTTACCACCAACCACGGAGCAGTTATGAGGCTCTCCATCGTAAACTATGGGATTTTGAAGACACCACGCCCGTGCCAGTAGAAAATTCAAACAAAGACGCACCACACAACAATGTGCGCTTCGCCAATCAGACCGCTCTATCTCCCTCACGGCCTGCAAGCACAACTTCTTCCAAAGGAGATGGCCGATCAATTAGAGCGAGGAACTCGCAAATGCCTCCGAGGCCTCAGACACCATATCCACACCAGCGTAAAGCAGAAGCTAATGAGACTTCCCATACCAGGGATATAGAAGAGGTGTTGCGACCACAGAAAGGAAGAAAGACACCAGTGCTGATGAATGCCCCGAAGCTACAATGGGACCTTACCAAGCCGCTTTTTGGGATGCCAAGTCAGAGCACCCTGGACGGTGAGGAGGAAGCTGATGAGAAAGAAGTGGCAGAGGCAGAGCGACGTAGTGCCAGGACGGTAGAAAGAACAAGCACACCGATTCCTACGTCCACCCCAGTGAAGGACAATACACAACACCGCAAAGCAAAAAGTAAGCCTTACCATCTTTACTCGCAAGAAGTAGCTAGGCATGTACTAACAAATCTTCCAGGCGCGCTGCCTCCAACCCAATCATCCCTCCAAATCTACACCATCGAGCGACAAAAATCCCCTTCCCCCCATCAACAACCATCTCCTCCACCCACACCACACATCCCCGCTCTCCTGCGCGTACTGGACGCGAACCTGCATCCCCAGCCCCATCAGCTAAGGCCCTTACCCGAAAGCGACGAGCGCCCCGAGCTCTCCCAGTCCCGCTACCAACTCTCACCCTTCCCCCGCTGTCGCCCAATAAGAGGTGAAGACAGTTCTGGTCTAGTGCACTCCTGCCTCGATGACCCGCGCAACCAAAACAGCAGCGGAAGCCTTTACACCCAGCGTACCAGGGAAACAGATCCCTACCCCTTCACCACGACTGAGACGCTCGGATTGCAGACTGCGCGTTTGCTGCCTGTCCAGCGTGTTGAGCGTGCTGATATAAGGTGTGGGCATGTTAGCATCGCGAATCGACGGTGCTGCGGTGTGCTGGATCTGAATAGTGAGGAGCAATATGAGGGGTTAAGGGGGGAGCTTGTGGGAGCTGGAGGGAAGACAAAGTTCAGGGCGAGAGTGAGGAGGGCGTGGGATAAGGTTCGGGTGTTGTTTTGTAGGAAGGGGGGTTTTTGAGTGGAGAGCGTTGGGATAGCAATGTGTAGTCGTGTGTTCGTCGTTGCGGATGAGGATTGTTCTCTGGGTGTGGAAAACATAGGTAACGACGCATTATGGGACATGTTACTCATTGCTGAGTAATTATTCAAATAATACAACTTTCTTTCTAAATCTATCAGGCACGAGTTTTTTAATCCTCTTTAACCCAAGTTGAACTCGCTTGCTAGACCAGCATGACGCATAAACTTTTCCTTTGCCCTAACTGCCTTCCTCATCCTTGCCGCCTCGTCCGTATCCTGACCCTCTGGTAGATCTAGATCGACCTTCTTCCTCGTCGACACGCCCGACTCAGTAACAGCCTTACGACTTGCGCCATCTATCCTTGCTCCGCCACGGACCTTGGCAGGCGTTTTGTCGTTACGACCAGCACCAGTTCGTTGACCCGGAACCTTCATGCCGCTAGGCCGTTCCCGTAGAGCAAAAGCCTTGGCTAAATGGCCCAGGTGCAGAGCTTTGATGTCGAAATACTTGCGTTCATCAGCAATGTGCGTAGCGTAGGCACGGATGTGACTTTGGAACGCGCGGCGGGCAGCTTCGAGGCGGGCAGGGGAAGCCAGAGCCCAGCGTTCAATGGCGAGCTGGAGATCTGTTGCTTTGTCCATGTAAGCATTCTTTTCCATGACACCGCTGGTGACAAGACCACGGTTGAGAATATCATCTGCATCTTGACGCGCAATATGAATGCCCGCCTCGGTGTCCTTGCGGTCAGATCTGAGGATATCAACATAGCCTTCTTCGGAGCCGGGCATGAGGAAGATGCATGCGCGTCCATCACGACCCGCACGCGCCGTACGACCGATTCTGTGCAAATGGTCTTCTCGTGCAAAAGCAGGATCGAACTCGATAACTAAATCTACGTTTGGCAGATCGAGACCACGAGAGGCGACGTCGGTAGCAATGAGGACAGATGGTTCCTTGTTCTTTGCAAACTGTGCGAGTGTCGATGTTCGGAGGGATTGTTGGAGGGAACCGTGGAGACGGTATGCTGTTACTGAATGTGTCTTTGGTGATAATATCGGCGCTACTGCACTCGTTACTTCGAGTTTTGTAGGATCTGACTGTATCGCTTTGGTCTTTTTGCTGGATTTCTTGTCGTCTTTTGTAGCCTCATCATCGGTTGAGTCTTCTTTATCCTCCTCCTTTTGTTCTTCTTTTCCTTCAAGATCGCTAGTGAGCATGTCAAAGTGGAAGTCGACAGAGTCGGCACACGATATGAAGACGATTGCCTTCATCACAGAGCCTTTTCGTGCAAAAGCGCGCTTCAGATAGGCAATCAACGACACCAGTCGCAGCTTAGGCGCTACAACAGCATACGATTGCTTCAACTGTGCGGGTGCGAAGAAAGTGATATCTCTGCTTGTCTCGCTTGTTTCTGGTCTTTTCTCTGACGGATCAGCTCGAAGATGCACGGCGTCCTTCAAACTTATCTGACCCAGTCTCTCAACATCCATCTTCATAGTTGCGGAACAGAGTACTGTGGTGCGCTTCTCTGGGAGCCCTGGTATCCGCGATTTTTCATCTTTCCTCGCGCGCATTCGTAGGTTCAAAGCACCAACAATCTTCTGAATCTCTTGCTCGAAACCAAGTTCCATCAGGCGATCTCCTTCATCCAGAACTAGCCACCTGACATTGCTCACGTCCAGCGCTTCTGTATGCTCTAGATGATCCACCAGTCGACCCGGTGTTGCAACCAAGATGTTGATTCCTTTTCGCAAACGGGCCTTCTCCGACTTCTTTTTCTCACCACCAATGACTGTCGTGGCTACCAGCCAATGTGCGCACCCAAGTATCTTTTCCAGTACCATGGCAATCTGCTTGCTCAGTTCTCGCGTTGGTGCTAGGATGATAGCAAACAGGCCTGAATTTCTCTGCACGTTTTCATCGACTTTCCGTTTCTTCATGTTCGCCGACAAGTCCATTAGTCTCTGGACAATGGGCAAAAGATAGGCCAGCGTCTTTCCGGAACCAGTTTCAGCCTGTATAAAAGCATCCGAGTCGTTTTTGACCAATTGTGTTATCGCGGCTTTCTGAATGGCTGTGGGCGCTTTCAGGTCCATCTTGTTGAGCAAGTGGCTAGCAAGCGTTGTGGACATGCCAAGTGAAGTGAATGTGTGGAGTTCGCTGCTGAGGGGCGCATTCGAAGGTTCGACGGGCGCATCGTCTTCGCGTGGTTGGGTTGCTTCCGACTTGGTGGTGGAAGTGGGATTGTAGGTAAACAGCGAGGAAATGACCTGCTTGCCTCCCTTTGGTGCATTCTGCTGCTCGCCAGGACGTTTTGTCGCATTAGCGTTCGACTGCGGCCTGAAGTTGGGGTCTGCAGTCTTTTCAGCCGCCTTCGGCTTGAATTCTCCGCTCACACGCGCTCGCTTTGGATGTCTGTCGCCATGGTCGAGCAGGTCGGAATCGTCGACAGGCTTTGGTGTGCGCGGGCCTAACTCGGTACGGTTCACGTTGGTGGCATGGTCGACCTTCTTCTTGGGTACTGTTTCGCCGTTCAATCGTGCTGTCGCCTTGGTGTGCCAGTTCTGCGCCGCCTTCTTCGCCGTGAGCCGACTCTTCCAGTTGCCGCCCTTGAAGGTTGGCTTTGCGACGATGCCGCTTTCCGGGATGGAGAAGTTGAGGAACATGCCATCGTCGCCCATGTCTGCGCTGTATCGCCGTTGCCGGTCGTGAAAGTAGCGGGGCGTCAATCGTCGACTGCGACAGAATGCGAAATCTCGACTTCCATCTTTTTAGTGGGGCACTAAACCCGATGCGGCCATACGTGTGCACCCATGATGCTACCTTCAGCGCAGAAACCAGACGTCTTGTCCATTCTCAACTGTTGCAAGTCATGGGAGCCTTTTCATCGCCTCTCCATGTTTCGTCCATCTCCACGTTGCGCGGGAGAAGTCGCATCGTCCGCTTGGTCGTTGCGCATCTCGATAGCTAACTCCAGTCTTGCTCCGAGCGACACTTCCGCAACTCCCCGCAATGTCACCACTCCGGTTAGCATCTGGTGAATACAACCTTATACTCCGATGCTGAGCCATTGAGCTGACCAAGATCAGTACCGATAGCACGCTCGTGTCTTCTAGCCAAGTTTTCGCGTCCATTGCAAGCTTCGAGGACAAGTAACAGCATTCGCTTCTTCTCCGGATCCCCGAGTCTGTGCAATACCTCATCCTCGAATCCCCAGCCCCATATCTTCCGCCATGTCGCTCCCTTACGCGACTACCGGAGGGACTTGCGCCTCAATCAGCGTACTGTCGGTCTAGTACCCACCATGGGCGCTTTGCACGAGGGCCATATCTCGCTCATGCGCCATGCCGCAGCTGAAAACACCGACGTCTTTGTCACAATCTACGTGAACCCAACCCAATTCGGCCTGAACGAGGATCTCGACTCGTACCCAAAGACATGGGAGTCAGACCTGCACATAGTAGAACAGCTGAACCAAGAGCTGGCAAGCTCAGGCCAAGGACGAGTCACGGCCATCTTCGCACCAGACACTAAAACTATGTATCCTACCCTTCCGCCCGACAGCAGCATCCCCGGTGTAGGAACGTTTGTTGAGATGCGTCCGCTTGGTCAAATTCTCGAGGGCGCATCGAGACCCGTCTTCTTTCGCGGCGTAGCAACCGTGTGCATGAAGCTCTTCAATATTTGCGCCCCGGATCGCGTTTACTTTGGCCAAAAGGACGTCCAACAGACTCGTGTCATCAAGCGAATGATCAGCGACTTCCACCTTGACACGGATCTGCGTATAGTCCCCACGTCAAGGGAGTCCGACGGTCTTGCGCTTTCGTCTCGCAACGTCTACCTGGGTACACGCCGCCGCAATGTGGCTATTGTTCTCAACCAAGCACTCCGCAAGGCAGAACTCAAGTACAAAAACGGGATGCGCCTGCGGAATGATGTACTGTGGCCTGCATTTGACCACACAAATATGACTCTCCTTGAGCAAGAGCAGCTAGAGCCCAGCCAGCGCGCAAAGTTTGAAGTCGACTACATTAGCCTTGCAGACCCAGATACCATGGAAGAAATCGAGCAGATTGACGACAGCAAGGGTGCAATTATAAGTGGTGTGGTCAAGATGCTGCCGGTGGAGGAACCACAGCTAGACAAAGAGGATTTGGGCCGGCTGGACGCTGAGGGTCATCAAGTTCCTGTCCGGTTACTTGATAATATCATTCTGGAGCCTATGAGATGATCACCTTGGTTGAAGACATATATTTTTGAACTTGATAAAACAAAATACATTAGGTGCTGTATTCCTGAATAGACCTATCAATGAAACGCTTTTGCAACCTGTGCATACCCTTGCTTTTTCACTTCTTAACCTCGCTCTGCGATTACTGTGACTTTGCAACCTATTTTGCCCTATCCTGTAAAGTACGAACCTGGTCTTCCAAACCCCTTACACTTCTCATTTCTGGTTCTTTTTTTCGCCAGATAGTGTCTTGTACATGATCGCATCCTGATCACTAACATCACCACGAGACTGCTTCTCTGTCTCTAGCATATCTTCCATCTTTAACTCCATCATACTACTCCTCTTATGCACCGCACGCGGCGGTATCGCAACATCACCAGGGGACTTCCTCGCCGCATCATTCACCAACGAGTCGTTCAAAGACAGACAAGACTTTGATTTTCCCCAGGAATCCTCGTATTCAGATCCAGACCCGCGTGTCGATATATCCCGAGTAGCAAGACTGGGTGGATACGGCAGCACGTCAGGTCCAAAGTCGAGTAAACTTGTGCCATTGCTCCTGGTTCTGCTCCGAATTTGTTCACATTGCGCCTCCGTAAGACCGGGTATGCATTCTGAGATGTCTAAATGCCGTACATCTGTCGGTGCGCCCTATACATGTATATATTAGAAAGTGTGATGATACTCCACGCATGTGACTGGTAGGATAAGAGTTAGCATAATGGAAATGGTGAACATACAATGACCATAGCCCTCTTAGTCCGTGGAGCAAAACAGGGAAACACATGTTGCATCACAGTAGCCATAGACATGGATGCCATTGCTGTAGGTGTGGGGTGGAAAAACGGGTTGCAGCGTATGTGCTTGGTTACTGGAGAAGAAGCAACAAATTACAGATCTGGATCAGTGGTAATGGATAGATGGATGGTCGGCATCTGCCAATAAACGCCAAGGTGGGATTTCCAAAGCCGGAGCCAGGCATGAGGAGCACAGGCGCTGAAACATAGGCCTCGGTACAAAGGGAATTGCACTGTGCCGGGAGGCTAGGCGTGACAACGACGTGAAAGAAAGAGCGGAAAATATAGCTCGAGTTTGATCAGTGATGTGCTTGTAGTCACAGGCATCGGAAAAAATTGATCTGCAAAGTAAAACCAAATAACTAAAAAAAAGGGAAGAAAATGGATACGGAAACCAGGGTTCGCTTAGAAGTTCTCATGGTGTGACAAGCTTTTCTCTAAACTTGGCTGCCCGAGTCACGACCCTTGCGAATCACAAACTTTAGTCTTGTTTGAGATTGATTTCTTTGTTTACTCTTCCCGTATCGATCTAAGATTATCAGTTGGTGCCAGCAGAAATGTGGAGATGAGAGAGCACCTGTTAAGGCGCTAGTAGGCACATAAGATTCTCAACAAAGTACTGTTGTTTCAAGATGCATGTTCACGTGATTGCACGCAAGAACACATTGCTACTAGGTTCTGATCGGAGCATTTGTATCTGTGCTCTTGAAACGACAATGCTAACAATGTGGTGGCCGTCAGTTCACTTGAAATCATCCTCACGCTGGTCCAAAGTTGTGAGTGGTGTTTAGTAATTTTCCTGCGAGGTCGATTGCATTGAAGCATACCTATGGCAATACTAAATGTAATCTCAGCGGCAAGCACTCTAGACAGACAACAGGCCTGTAACGTGCCTTGGATGCTGCATCTATTTCGGGTAGTCTTTGACATGGTAGCTCTTGAGCTTAACGAATTGGTCGAAGCCGAACCTGCTGAGAGTCTGACCTCGGCCAGAGTCTTTCCAGCCAACCCATGCCAAGTCCTAAAGTTATCAGTATGCAATTCTATGACTGTGGCGATAGAGCTACTTACCGGTGCGGGGTAATCGCATCGATTGACAAAGACGGTACCAGCTTCAACATCATCGGCGAGTTCATGGCCTTTGTTAACATCCTTGGTCCAAATGCTAGCTGTAAGTCCAAATTGGCTATCATTCATGAGCTTGATTGCTTCTGTGTCATTCTTGACCTTCATAACCGGAATAACAGGGCCAAATGTTTCCTCAGTCATCACTACCATCTCGTGGTTGACGTTTGTCAGCAGGGTCGGAGCGACATAGTTGCCGTCTGCGGGTGGGTTCTGGAATGTTGCATTTTCTGGGGTAGCATCCTTGGCTCCCTTTTCCAGGGCGTCTTTGACGTGCTCACGAATAGTCTCTGCAGATCTCTTAGAGACCACGGGGCCAACATGCGTGTTCTTGTCAAACGGATCGCCGAGCCTGTATCCCTTAAGTACCTCTTGGAGTGCTGATACAAACTCATCGTGAATTTTCTCGTCCACGTAGATCCTCTCGACACTGCAGCAACTCTGGCCTGAGTTGAAGACTGCGCCATCTACGAGCTCTTCAGCAGCCCATTTGACGTCAACGTCAGAACGAACATAAGCGGGGTCCTTGCCTCCTAGCTCAAGGCCTATTCGGAGTGGAACCCTGTCATTTGCAGCTTGCTGAATGGCGAGACCATTGGCTACTGATCCGGTGAAGCAAACAAGCTGAATCTTTAGTGATCGTGCAATTGACTCAATCTGGGTGACAGATCCACAGTGAAAGATTTGAAGCACACCATCAGGAAGGCCAGCCTCCTTGAAGATCTGCTGAATCTGCTCGGCACTCGTTGGCGTCTGTGGCGATGGCTTCAAAATGACGGAATTTCCTGCAAGCAGAGCAGGCACTAGCGAGTTGATGAGGGTCAGATATGGGTACTGCAGGTATAGTTAGCAGGTGCAAAACTTAATGTAACCCTTGGCCACAACCCACATTCCACGGAAATAGAATCAATACGGGACCCAGCGGGACTTTCTTAATGTAGCGTTTGAAGCCCTTCTCTGGTTCGCCGTCCGTATCCTTGAGCGTCTCATCGCTAATCTTGAGCAGGTACTCGCCGCGCATAACCGCCGTGCTGACCTCCTTGGCAGTATAGGCGATGGGGCGACCCATCTGTTCTGTGATCTCTTTACCCAAAACATCTTGGCGCTCATTTAGCAGCTTCAAGGCCTTCTTAACAATAGCCTGCCTCTCAGAGAGTGGCGTGCGTCGATAGGACTCAAATGCCGTAGCAGCCGTCTCAGGGAGAGACTGCAAATCAGCATCTGAGAGGCCATTGCGTGTGACGATTGGCTTGTTGGTGATGGGAGAGATGGTCGTGATCTTCTCGAGCGACATGGCGGTGCTTGTTTGGTACGAGGCCTCTATGGATAAATTCAAGTGGCAATGTACAATAAACAGACACGGCAATGTCGATTCAGCGGCGCCTTGGGAGCAGTTAATTTTGAGTTGAAGCGTTGCCCGCCGCCAAACCGGAAATGACGTATGACACGCTAGGACTAGCTCGTGCACGTTCCATCCCAGTGGAGGACATTCACCCCTCCACGCCGAAAAACGGACTCGATACAATCTCTTATCACGGTTATCGACGGCGCGATTACATACTCACTTGTGCTATTGTGACCATGATGAGGAAAAATCACCGTGCATTTGCTCGGCCATCTCATCGGATTGCTCAAGCCTTCTACTTACCACACGGCCGTAATGACCTGCACAGTAGGGCCGCAGCAGGAGCTCAATACCCTGGACCGTCTCCACCGGCCTGGTCATCTACCGGAGAATTGGCTTGGTTATGACCTTTGAGTAATGTACCACCATATTTTATGTTGAGACGCAAGATTGCCGTCGGCATGGGTTCGGGCCTTTTCCTGCCATCTCATTGAGATGCCGCCAATGCATCTCAGTGAGTAGTAGACAGTGCAGGGTCAATCACATATCTGATTAGGAACAAAGTACCATATTCATCGGTGTATGGCGAAGGCATGGTATTGGTAATGCATTTGCACCTCCTCTTGAGCAGCCTTAATGACCCACTTTGCGCAACGGAATACAGAATCTTCAACCGTAGAAGAGTAGCAGGTATACCGACACCATCTTTCTCTTTATAGGTAATTTTCATGCCAATTTTCTGCACACACTTGGCAGAGACTTTTAACTGTGCCTGTTGAGCGGCCTCCAGGGGGGGTACTTGGTACCCCCTAGTTCCTACACCACCCTGCATTCTGCATAGAACCTCTAGAATACCTACTCAACCCCGCTATCCTTGGATCAACCCCTTTAGATGGGGCGGATCCTTTTACCACACGATATCTGCTGTCTATTGGGAAGCCCAAGACCGAGGCCTACTCGGTGTGCAAAGTTTCACAAGCGACAGGGTGTCCATGTCCACGTGGGTGTGCGAGCTTGTCAAGCCTTTGTGAACCATGTGACCCTCAAGGGCGGATGAACTGGCGCTAGAAGCCGAAATCCAGCGTCCATAGTGACTACATCTTGGGTGGCCTATAGTCTCTTCAATAATCATATCTCTACCTGTCATGACCGGGTCCCGCACGTGTCCATCAACGGGGCGGCCGTAGGATTCATGCAGCGATGTCAAGGGCTGTACGAGCAATATATGAAGATCAACAAGCTGAGCTGGACTCGGCTTTGGAAGCCGTAGTGCCTTATCCTGTCACCTTCCCTGCTTAACGGTGCAGCTGTATTCGCTTACGCCATGTGCCTTAGATAAATTTGCAAAAACTTGGGTGCTGTCTATTTGGGCCTTTACCCATCCCCGTGGGGCGGGATAGTTGTGCGGAACGGCTCGGTACGACACATCTCTGAGTAGTCCTTGTGTTGAGGGACTTGCTCCGCCCATGAAGATCACACTGTCGGCCTCAGTGTACACAGTAAGAAACTGCTTACCTTGTTTTGAGAACTATACCAGAATGGAATGACGATCAGCACAAACACAATATGAGCACCCAATTTATGCTTGTTGTGTTCGAATTCCGCCTGCCTCATCGCCACTCAAGCCACCCAATTCTTGTAAAGTCGAACTGTGGCGTAATCGTCTGCTCAGGGCAATAAGCATATTTTGATGCTGCATGCCTTTTAATTTTAAAAGCAACGATCTGACAAAAGCCTCGGAATATTATCCACGTAAACAAACGAGTGGTAGCAAGTCTCTCATGATTGCGCACCAACATGTTATAGTTGAACAACATACTCTTGGGACGCCAAAGTAGTTGGATAGAACTCTTTGGTTGTATCCCCACACCGTCTTACAGTGGGCCGACTACATGAAGGCTGTTTTTGTATAGTTCGAACAAAAACATGGATTGAGAATGCCTCCATGCCGTTCTATAGTTAGGAATCACAACAAGTTCGGCACGCAACATGTCGAAGCCGTCCAAGGTCCGACTAGGAGAACCCCACGTAAAGTCGCCCCCGGCGGTTAAGAAAAACCAGAGATAAAGTGGATATTGTGATATAAAGATACGATATACATAGTTTGTTTGAAAAAAGCACAGCAGTAAGCAATATGAATTGTGGTGGTCTTTTGCGGCCTGTCATGATCTAGCGTTGGCGTTTTGTCATTTGTCGGTGAGCTAAAGTGGCTGAATCGCAATGGTAACCCAAATGATATCCAAAACTATTGCGAATAATGTTAGACATTGTGGAGGATTCAGGGAAACTTGTTCTATACAGTCGTATAGATCTAGAATTTTGAAAGTTAGCAGGCCTGGTGTTGGGTAGCTGCGTCATTGTGGTAAGAGCACCTCAAGTCTGCTACTGCAAAGTACATCGGAAAGACCATCTCAAAATCCTTCGCTGTGTGTTTGTGTTGCTAATTGAATTTTAGTATAGAAATGTATCTTTTTTAATATATAAATGATTTGCAACTCGAGATGGATCGTCAATTGTTATTGCAATGGCATCTCAATTTGGTGTCTAGAATACGAGAACACCTTTAATGTCTTGTGAAATTCGATTCTAACTTCATCACCGTCCTCGTACAGCATGTGAATCTACGTCTGTAGCATGTGTTTAGTGTATGTTCGATAGTAGCATTGAGCTGTCGAATTTGGATGATATCAGATGTAAGTAGGTTGAAGGTCACACTAGCAGAACAAGGTGTAACTATGTCAACTCACTAAGGTTTACGTCGAGGGCTTATACATCAAACTAACAATCATAAGCATGACTAACAAATGTGTTTAATATATGGGTCAGTGCAGAAGTAACACTGGTTCAACTAAGCGTATAATGTCCTAGTTGTTGAAACCAGTGCCGTCCGTTATGGATGGATAGTGCGCAGGGCATCTATGACCTCTAATTATCTACAAGGTGTATTTGTATAGGAAAATGAAGCAACGAGAGTGAGTTGTGTTGTCAGCAACTCCATAGCAAGGTGGGGGTTTTGTTGTTTGTTGTCACCAACGTATTTGAAGATAACATGGTTGCTTTTTGCAGCTGAAAGTGACAATATTACCAATAAGGACCTCTGTTGTCTCACAACCTTACTTTGTTTACTGCCATTTTCTTAACTCTATAGTCTCAAGTGCAAATGCATCATTGTTGAAGGCCTCTTTCCACAAATTACACCATCCATGCAGACGACATTAGCTACGGTCAGACCATGATAGAGACGTGCTGCATGTTATGTTACACAGCACATGATACTATTTCCGTGAATGTTATATTCTATCACTCTCACATTGTTGCTGACGTGGTAACAGACTATGTATAGGTCTTCCAGGGAAGCTCTCCTTTTTGCACGAAATCCGTGGACATGGAAAGTGGGCAGCCGACGGAGAACCAGACCCAATAGGATGTTTGCGGGAGTCTTTCAGTGTTACTCGCAGTGAACAACTTGTCAGACTATGTGAATCACGTCTTAGCATGAATGATAAAGACAGGTTATTATTGAACGATGAGTGAAACACTTGGGATACAGGTATAATAGAGCTGCAAACTATTGAGAGAACATGGGAATTATGACATGAAGTGTTTCATATTTCTCTTTGTCGGGACCATTATCAAGTGTATGGTAGCTGAGCATTCGACTGTCGAGCACAAGTAAACTGCAGTCGTCTGCAGTTGGCTGACTTGCTTTCTGTGAATGAAGACCGGGTTAACAGTTATCACAGTCATTACGGGATCAGGGGCATGAGCTGATTGTATAGCTTATCGTAGTACCGAGATGTATTGAATGTCTGCACATCACTGCAGCTACACATGCCCATTACGGTAAAGATGGAAGTGTAAAATGCTGGGACGTGCTGCTTTCACCCTGTGCAATCGGCAACGCCGAACAGGCTCGCATTTGTCCCATGCTTGAGCATATCCCCACAGGTTCAAATGAAGGTCGTCGAATCTGATTACCAGACTGGTACAAAAAACAGGCCATAGCCTGATAAGACGACTCTTGGAGGCCTCACTGTTAGCTTGCATTCTTCCGACATAAGTGGCGAAAGGGGATAGACGCGTTGCTCATGATTTTTGTGCCTTGTTGTTTCGGCGGTTAAAACGATGCCATCACGTTACGGTGGCTCACGATGGAAATCACTTGGACCAGATTATACGAAAATCCTTCGTGCAGAATCTTGAGACTATTCGTGTCGTCGACGACAAAAAACTAAAGGCTTCAACGTAATATTGCTGCGAATACTTCTAGCCGCTTGAACAACGGTCCGACATTGTAATGCGAATCCGGGTCGTTGTGGCGACCGATGCAGGTCAATTTAAATTTGTGGTGCTTGGTAAACACTGGAGACACTAGCCCGGCAAGCAGGATGCGAGGCGATCCACAGATACTACAGCGTTGTCGCCTATGTCGACAGTTGGAACCTGTCAGCCAACGGTCTCATGGTCTGGAACTGCAGCCAAACTCGACAAGGCCTCTTCGGGGGTGGGGTCCCCTCGTTACCGAACAATGGATACATACTCGCCCTGCTGAGTAGCGCGGAGCATCCTGCACCGTGAAATCGATGGGCTGTTCCTGCAACGCTGCTGACACGGCCCGCTTTGGAGCATCTTTCAGCAGGTTGGACCAGACGTGGCACACGTGCAGCTACTGTGGTTGCCCGGTTTTTGTTTGAACTGGTGCCATAACACTATGTGTTATATCCAGATCTAATGATGTTCAACACATGCAAATGGGGGGTTTCCAGGTTTAGGCTTGGCAAAGTTGAGTCTGGCTCTAGCGGTGGGGCGGATTTGTCCAGGCTGGTATACGGGATTCATAAGATGCATTAGCGGAGTAACTGTGGAAATGCATTAGTGTTATGAAGGGACACACTCTGCGTGTCTCGTTCCTGGGAGGTATAGGCGGATTGCTATGGGGATGGCTCTGGTCCACAGCTCTTGCAGCGTGCTGTGAAAACTCTGGTGGCAGAGGCTTGTAAGCGTCGGAGACGGGTGTCTTGAGCATTTCCAGCTGACAGTCCATGGCCCATCTCCGGGGTGGTCAGCGGGAGAGGGATGGAGACGATCAGCGCAGGTTGGGATGGCTGGCGGGTTCGTCACCAGGGTGCAGTATGACCGGCATCGAGGCGGGTAGCGCTGGGCTTGAGGGTGCATGTCGAGCCAGGGAGGGCCCATTGGGGGCTGCGACTAAGGAAGAGATGGTCGCGTCTCCAGGCAGACAGGCTGGGCGGTGGCGGAGACTGCCAGGTCCCGTGTTGCAAGCGGCTCGTGTGCCAACGGACGCAGTTTGAGCGGGCTGGGTTCGCCAATCACCATCCCGGGGTGTCCTTGATCGCTCAGCAACGGGAAACGGGCCATGCTATAGTGGTGGGTGGGTCTTGGGTACGGGCAGGTACTTGGAGGTACTTGTTGAGCCGGCATCGGTACACCACCCTTCTTAAGGCGGCCGCATATAGGGTCGGGATGGCACCGATCAGCCAATATGGTTTTTTGATTGCCAGTCTAACCCGCGGCGAGCGTTCTGGCATGTGTCCGTGTTCATGTCCGCAGCACCGGCGATCCAGCGGCTTTGGTGGACTGTGCTCGCCCTCGAGTGTTGGTGTGCTGCAAGACCAGGGTCTGGCAGGTCTGGCAGGGGTGAATTGCTCAAACTGGGGATGGGGGAACGGAAGCCAGCTTGACCAGATTCGACCACCAGACGCACCTACGCACGAACCTGCCCTGCTGCCCATCTCGTTTGCAGCATGTGGCCAGAGACATCTCTGACGCACGACGCAGCTGGGCCCGGAGGAGCGACGGGTTTGCCCATGTCGATTCGGTATGATGGCCCTCCTGTGCTGCCACGCAGTGGACAGAACCTATTATACCCCACTGCCTCCACTAAGGCTCAGCGTTAAGCGGCCACTGTGGTATCCGGCTGCAATATCGTAACCCTGGCTCGCTGCTGTAGTCAAAAGAAGACGGTTGGACAACTGACCTGCATATCTTTTGGACGTCCTTCACAGCACAACCGCCCCCCAGCGCTGCAACCGTCTAGCCCTGCCAAATACCTCTCCACCTCTCTCCACCGCCCCCATCACATCTTCCCCTACGGACATATTCAATCCCTTCTTGCCACTATTGACATCTCAGCCTCTTCTCTCGAGTGGTGGAAGTTTGGTGGAGACGGACGCTAGAACGCAGTTATGCTTTCCACGAATCTCCATCAGTACCCCCCGGCATTCAGCCATGTCCCCTCGCCCAACGCAGTCGACCATCCACATCACCATCACCATCTTTCTATGGACCACATGGGACACTCCTCGCTCGAGTCCATGGCCCACCCGTCGCAATACGCTGCATTGCAGTTCCACCACAACCGGCATGTGTTGCCCAACGGGAAAGCCGTTATCAAGCCCCATCATCGACTACCATACGCCAGTGGACCTCTGGCGCCACGACACCAGCGAGAGATGCTTCACGAACGATCAGGTCGCAGTAACTCTGCGTCAGGGCCAGTACGACGTAGGATCAGTCGGGCATGCGACCAGTGTAATCAACTAAGAACGAAGTGTGATGGGAGACAGTCTGTAAGTTCCTACTACCAGCGTCCCACATGTACTACTAGAGCTAAGCCGACTAATCCATGGGTTAGTGCGCGCATTGTATAGGTACGTCGCAACGAATCCTGGACCGGGGCGTGAACCCCGCAGTTGTCTGGGGATATTCTGGCACCGTGATCGGCCTTTTCTGCTGTGGCGTCTGCTAGGCGTCTTAGTCGGAACCTAGCATAGCCGACCATATCCTGCCATTACCACGTCTGACAGTTTCACTAACAAAACACCAGAGTTTGGTCTGACGTGCGAATACATCCGTGAGCGCAAGAAGCGCGGGAAAGCATCGCGAAAAGACATCGCTCAGCAACAGGCAGCCGCAGCCGCAGCAGCAGGAAGCAGTACGGTCAAGTCTGAAGAGTCTAGCACTCCACAGCCCTCGGACAAGACAGCGGAATCTATTCCAAGTAGCAGCCCTAAACTCACAGAGGGCCAGAGACCTCGTTCCGAGCTACCGGCACGGTCCGCCAGCATTGCAACTACAAGTTCTGACATGGACACTGCATCCATGTACCCGAACAGGACCATGAGCCTGAACGCCATTGACACAATCCCAGAAGGCGACATGCACCACCAAATGGCCGACGGCATGCAAGCCATGCAGCCTATGCAGCCACCTCGCATTCAGACGCAAGGGCTGCCTATGCAGCACTCTATTCCAGAGTACGCATCCATGGAGTACCATCGAAACCTCGCCTACCAGCAACCGCCACTTCAGGTGATGCAGCCAGGAATGCATCCTGGTGTTTCTTCCCACGGGCATGCTATGGAGTACTCGGGAAGCCCTTATAGTATGATGAGTCCGCAGAGTGCGCATGCGCAAACACAACCGCAACCAGGCGCCTTTGGAATGCCAGAAGAACCCCCAAATATGGGATACATGCCTCAGTCACCTGCCAACGGCTCACCAGGCTGGATTTTGCCCTCTCCCTCTACTACCATGTACTCGGGCGCACCACACCAGAGCCACTCTCATCAGTTGAGGTACCCAGTCTTGCAGCCGTTGGTTCCACACCTAGCAAATATTATGCCAGTGTCATTGGCTTGCGACTTACTCGAGCTTTACTTCCAAAGTTCCTCATCCGCGTTCATGCAACCCGTATCTCCTTATGTACTTGGTTACGTATTCCGAAAACGGTCGTTTTTGAGGACGAACAACCCAAGGGTGTGCAGCCCGGCACTACTGGCTAGCATGTTATGGATTGGTTGCTTGACGAGCGAGTCACCCTATCTATCCTCATCGCCGTCTGCGCGGAGTCAACTTTCCGAAAAGCTGATCAATCTGACAATCAGTCTGTTGAAGCCCTTGGTACATCAGACACCAGGTAGTCCAGATAGTGGCCCTACAAATTTCGCCACTGGAAACATGGTCGACAGTGTGACCATGGATGGTTTCGGGATGCCAACTCAAGAATCCGATATAGGTCTACGTAAGTCAATCTTCATCATACAAGTCTTAGGCTCCCCAGAGCTAACGCAAAGTCTTATAGCGGGAGCATGCGGCGGCCTTGATGAGGTGGTGACCTACATGCATCTGGCTATTGTCATCTCAGCAAGCGAGTACAAGGCTGCATCACTACGCTGGTGGAACGCAGCATGGTCACTGGCCAGAGAGCTCAAGCTGGGCAAAGAAGTGCCTGTGACGCCTCCACCCGAACCCAACGATGAAAACATTTCTGCAGATATCCGTGCCGAACATGGGCGCGGAGCATACCCGAACGGCCAACACTCTTCCGTAGAATGCACTGAGGAGCAAAGAGAAGAGCGTAGACGTATATGGTGGCTTTTGTTCACTGTTGATCGGTAAGCCTTCTGATCTTTGTCGCCCGTGGCACCAACAAAGAAATATTGCTGGAACCATGTTGTCGACGCCCTGGCATATTAGCCAAGTTCCCCAAACCGACAAGTGCTGATCCATCTGTAGCCACCTAGCCCTATGCTACAACCGGCCGCTCTCTTTATTGGACGTGGAATGCTCCGGGCTTCTGCAGCCGCTTGACGATAACGTATGGCAATCTGGGGAATTCTTCGAGGACTCCGCTCAATCGTTTTCAGATCACACATTTCGCCGAAGAGGGCCTTCATTCGAGTGCACCGGGCACTCCATTTTCGGATTTTTCCTTCCTCTGATGACAATCCTTGGAGAGATTACCGATCTATACCATGCCCGCAATCATCCACGCTTTGGAGCCAAGACGGATTGGGAACACCATGTGGTAGAGATCAGTCAGCAGCTTGTAGCCTATGGCCATTCTTTACAGGAGCTTCGGAACCGTGCAGTTCATGAAGCGAACGTGGAGGCCCAGCAGGAATCAGTACATCCCGGCACGCCCTCGGTACGATCTGTCAACTCGTCTATATCCAGAGCGCAGGAGAACTTATTGCATGCCAAGATTGTGGAGGCATATGGCACGCACCTCATGCACACCCTGCATATCTTGCTGAACGGGAAGTGGGACCCCATTTCGCTTCTAGATGACAACGACCTCTGGATCTCTTCGCAAAGTTTTGTGGATGCTACCGGCCATGCCGTCCATGCAGCTGAGGCATTGAATGAGGTCCTTGAGTTGGATCCTGATCTGAGCTTCATGCCGTTCTTCTTCGGGATCTACCTTCTACAGGGGAGCTTCTTGTTACTGCTCATCGCCGACAAACTCCAAGGAGACGCCAATCCCAAGATAGTACGTGCGTGCGAAGTCATAGTACGTGCACATGAGGCATGCATTGTGACTCTCAATACCGAGTACCAGGTAAGCGCCCCGGGTAGTCTGTCACCTTTTTTTTTCGTTACGCAATCAGCCTTCCTTTCTGTTTCAGCCAAGCGGAGTTTTCTCAAACGCGGCCAATTGTGCTAACAGTTATCTCACAGCGAAATTTCCGAAAAGTCATGCGCTCTGCCTTGCAGCAAGTGCGTGGCCGCGGCATAGACGAACATGCCGAACTGGCGCAACAACGGAGAAGGGAAATGTTGAGTCTCTACCGTTGGAGCGGCGACGGCACCGGGCTCGCACTCTGAGGTGCATTCGACGCTCGCTTCGCGCCATCCTCCACCCTTGTCATCTCGCGGTCATGTTGCCGTACTCCGCTCCACAACCACACGTAGCAGTGATGGCATCTTTCCTCTCGATTCCAATTACTTATTTTACCATCTTCTTGGCCGAGGCACAATCTCGATCAGTGGTTTGCCTCGGTAGCATTACGATATGCTTTCACGCTTGCTTCCCCACACACACTGTGCTCTCTTTATCCTTCCTTTCTCCCGGTGCACAGACATTTCGCACAAGGCTTGCTTGGCGTTTGACGGATTGGGCACACACATCTAGCGGTGGTGTATTATGAGTTCATGTATTATGATTTTGGGCGTTTTGAAAATATTGTCTCTGCATTTCCACACGTTTGTTGTTTGCGCTCTCGGTGCGATGGGGGAACGGAAAGGCGTTTCCCGATACCAAACTTTCCCGCCACACCATGTTGTTCAACATCTTTCACTTCACATACCCATGGTTCCTTGTCAAAGAGGGCAATATTAGTTGCAGATTTTCCGTATTCTCACCGGTTTGAGAACACCTACTCCCGATTCTGTTATATTGGTTTGTTCATTATACCCCCCTCGGCATATGCTGCTGCTTCGCTTCTAGAACACATTTGGAGAAGTTTGTTGATAGTACTACTATATGGTGGAATTGAGTTCCATAGCGCTCTTAGTGATCAGGTAATCCTAAGCAGAAGAATCACAATAAACTCAAAATACAGCTGGTTAGCGTTTGTGTGTGTGCTCCTGATACACGGAGCTATGGTGAGAGAAGACTTGCTTGACAGTTGCAGTAAGGTGCTGTGCCGTGCAAGAGGATCAATAATAGCATAGCTACTATGATTACTCGGTGAAGCCGCACCGTGCTCCTGAGAAAGTATGTCAATATGTCTCACTCACGCGCCGTTATACCTAGGATCGTCGTTTCAGATGTGTGACCCCTGCATCCCACCATATCTACTTACACAGTACACGTCGTCCGGTGTATCTATCTCACACAAACACGACCACCAGACACTGAAAAGAAACACCCCCTTTTTCACAATCTAAAATGCATGATGGTTTTCTGAGAAGGACCACTAAGGCCGTTTTTTCGACCTAATGCGCCGCGGACCCAAAGGCTGCGCGTGGTGCTGACGACTGCGCGGTATCAATGGAGGAGCCAATCAACATGAGCACTTTAACAATCTACTGTACCTACGCCATCGGGTGGTGGGGGAGCTTCCGGAACACCAACACATCACTACAACCATTTCCAAACTCGGACTTTTGGTCTCCTGGACGGTACCAAAAGGGCCAGCCTTGTATCTTGTCACATCAACCGTGCTTTGCAACACCATCGAGTAGCCGCAGCAAAAGCACGAAGAGCTTTCTGAGAGCGGCACAAGGATCGCTTGCTTGCAGCAATAGCCACGTACCGGAACACGCCGGCATTTGGGTATATGACACTCAGAACTCGTCTCCCACTAGCATTGTCGACTATCCACTTGACCCCTGAGTCACGCTCCTTCGCGCTACCGTCTTACCGGCCCATAATCGGCTTCCCGATCGCAAAGCCCCAACTACCCGACCCTCGAGAGCCAGACGACTTTGCCGAAGCCAAGCTGTCCTTCTCCACTTTCGACCAAGCCTGCAGGATAGCTTCTTGTGGGCGTTTTTGGGATACTGCATATACTGGGTGAAAGATATCTTTCACATCGATTGTTGAGTGATACAACGTCCGCATCTATCATCACTTCGCTATGAGGGTTCCAGTCTAGCGATGCATGGAAACCGACGTATGCCCGCGAGGGGACCGGGGACTTTGCATCATGTTAAAGACATGGACGAAAATAGAAAGAAGAAGTAAAACACGGGACCATACATCAGGTCGCAGAAGTCCCATCTACCGCGTGCTCTCAGAGGTAAATACAAGGGCATACTATTTGGTTCTGTCATGCACCCCAGATCTGTTGAGACTCGGTGGGACTTGTAATGGCCGACACTGGGTTGCCGTTGAAATCCGGAAAACATGTACCGCAATATCGCCCACATGGGCCAAAGGACCAACGCTCCCTCCACCCTTGTGCTTGCGTAGGACCCTTGCGTTCGATCAGCATATCTGCTATGAAGGCCATGCAGCAACGGATCACGGCTGACGGGGACGGGCCTTTTGTGTATCACAAACAGTAATGTGATCGTGGCCTCCGCAAAGAATTGCCAATTGCAGCTAAGTGACGACAGAGCTTTATTTTTCAGTGTTTGCAAGAGCAACGGGAAGACGGGACACGCTCTTTGTGCGCTTTCACGAAGCTGCCAAATCTTATGCAGACACATGGCGTGAACCATATGTCGTCTTAACACGGGTGTTAAGAAGCATTCAACGTGCTCAACTATAAACAGATACATACATGGTCGACCCGAAACGAGGCCCGTCATGCATACAGACATGTACACGCAAGCTGCAAGCCTCACTCATCACTGGCACACCTCAGCACCGGAGTATCCTCCCTACTCTCCGCTACAACTGCCCCGGATCCAGTGCAAAGGCCCAGGTCCGAATATGGTGCCACTGCAGTGCCTTACGATAGTGCCATGTACGTGGAATGCTGAATCAATCTCACCAATACATTTTCCACATGCATCGTAGCCGCGTCTTGCTCGTTCAAGAAGCCGCATCCCAACATACCACTTCTCCACACTTTGAGGTTGATTTTTTTTAGGTCTCTGCTTGTTTGATGGGGGCCTTTTTCCATCTCATTAGATGAAAAGTAAAAAAGGGGTAAGGTTTGATTGTGGGTGTCGTGACAAAATCGCGTCTTTTGCGCGGAGAGGAGCAACAAACTGCGAGAAGAGTATAGTCTGTGGACCGCATAGCATTAGGGGGGTGGGCTGCGTCTGCCGTGTGGTGACGTTAGACAGCCAACGTGGGTGCCAAAGGCTCGGGATACGGTGAGCATGCAAGCGCGTTGACTGGTCGTTCGGGTTTCGACCAAGTAAGCTATGCTTCGGAATGGCGCCCTAGCTCTGAGCAGCAGCGCGGGTGGAGTCCTTACAGATCGTCACGTCCCGTCGCGGCAAGCGGTCGTCTAGAACCGGTTTTTGAGTGAAGGACAAGACTAGGCTAGACTTTCCCCTTGGGTCTTGGCAAGATGGCAGTCAGAAAAGGGTCGATTACTTTTTTTCTCTTGTCTTGGCCATGTCATGGGGCGATATCGGATAGCACAGGCAGAAGTGGATGACAGAGGGTTATGGACATGGGCGCTCTAGATCTCGGGCATGGCGTGCGGCTGGCGTGAGGCTGGCTTGCAATGTGCAGGATCTTGTTCGAATACGGCCCCAGGGAGATTACTAGTCTCCGCCGACTAGGGCCAGAAAGAGACATGTTGCAATGGTGGCTATGATGGCAGGATGCAGCGGACTAGTCGATGGATACAACAAGATGCATGCGGCGCCAACGTAGAGGGCCTTTCTTGGTATACACCTAGCGGAAGCGACTGGGACGATCGACACGCAGGATGTGGGGAACGTGGTAGGTGGGGGTTTGGCGGTGTCGAGCCGCCGCTTGGGTGGCTGCAACTCGGTTGTACCTCAAGGTATCGTGCGCTTTCGTCGGTCATTTGCTAGATCTCGGTACTCGATATTGCTTGGAGGGTGATTGCAGTAGAGTAAGGGCAGGGGTTGCAAAAGGTGGGTGGAATGACCGTTTTGGCCCGCGTCGAGCATTCTTCCTTTTAGCCGGTCGAGTGAATGTCTGCACAGTGGAGGCGGGCGTCAGCCGCGAACGCCTACATCCAGCAACAGATGTGTAATGGGGATACTCGAGCGCAGCCAATCACCGCCCAGCCTCCCGCGTGGCGCCCGAGTAGGCGAAGACGAGTGGAGATTACTGCAGTGCACCGGCCAGGGCGTTCGCCCTTCGTTTTGTGGAGGGTCGTCCCGAGCGAGGGCTGCTTACGCTGCAAGCCGCAGAAAGCGAACAGTGGCACAACAGTATGGACTCGTCTTGGCACAGCATAAGACGGTCCGTCATTACTCGTTGGATGACTGTATCATATGTCAGCCTCGTACTGCAACATCCATCCTCCGAGCAAATTGACAAACTCTGGTCGAACTTGTGAAGTGTCCAACTACACTACATACTTGTAACGCGCACGTTACTACTTTCGGCATCATCGAATACGTAAGAACAGCACGTTGGATCTACTAAACTCAGACCATCCCCTCAGCCGCTGCGCCATGTCCATGTGGGACATGTCTCCGAGACATCCTGGCCTGAAGCAATGATGATATCGTGACAAGCAGCGACTCTGCGTAGCCATGTCGCCTGGTGGCTTTGTCATCCCCAGGCCACCACCACTACAACATCTGCGCTGCCAGGGGACCAAGACTAGTTTGGGAAAAGTCCAGCGCAACATGCAACTAAACACTACCACTCAGACAAGGTACACCCAAGTACCAAGGAAATATAGCGGCATGACCCTAGCACCTGCAGGACGCTTGCTCCTCTTTCCGAACTTCTGGATGCCACCCATCCGTCGCTAATGCAGCATGCTCGTCAATTACCTATACCTGACTTTCTGGGTTTTTTATTTCTTTATCGAACAAACCCTCTTTTTCAACCAATCATGCTTCCCCACCTGTCAGTATTTTTTGTCTCCATCATAATTGCGTGATTTAGTCCCGGATCTCTCGGTCTGTCAACCCACATCTAGGCTTTCGACCGGTCGTGTTCACCACAACATGTGAGGCACTAGATCAGACGTGCTGGATCTCTATGTTCGTCGAGGGGGGCTTGCAAATTTCGCATGCAGCTAGGCGATTTAACGAACCTTGTCTCTCTCCGATGCAAATTCCCGTCGCTACCATCTTCGCTCTCGTTTTCGGTTTCTCCCTTCTCTCCCCAGGCGTTGATATCTTTTTTTGCTTCTTACAACGTCATAAGATCCAGATGTGGCGCAACGCTGCCATGTTGTGAATGATCTCATGCGGACATCAGATGAGCCGTTGGACCGACTCCTCGGCGTCAAGCCACTGTTACCTAGCAATATCAGGGGGCCGTCTGGCCGACATGCATCAGATGAGTTGGTACGAAGATCGTGCCGATGCGACCCCATCGGGCATAACAAATGGCATCTCTCACTTGGCACAATTCTTCGGGGGATACATATCAAGCATCGCCAAACTATACTCAACAATAAGGGCGCTGTTATACGCCAAAGATGCTGGAGTTGTGGAGAGTAAGGGGCGCGTGAGCTGCGAGCGTGGATACATGCATCCTCCACAGCTAAGGCGGATCTCCACATACCGACTGCAACTTGGGGATACAAGCTGCTTCTCTGAGACAACCCCTCCCCTGAAACAACATCCTTGAAAATCTGCAATAAAAGAACAGGTTCTTGGAACATCGGCCCTGACGTCCATGCGTAATCAGGGTCTTCGAGAAGACTTCCGAAGCTAGGCTTTTTCTTCGACCTTGGCTACTCTCATACAGTACAGCAGTCAAGCAAAAACTATGGGGTCTTGATGCCGTCCTTGGGATGTGGGGTAGACGCCAGCTGCAAGGTTTCCGGCAAATATTTCCCAGCTTCGCCAAGATACTCAATTGCCATAGTATATACCCGGCACTATTGTCAACAAAAGTGTACCTTTTGCAATGACAATTACCATGGCCTGAGATTCGATTTGAGGTGAGATGAAATTGCCTCGTATTACTCGTCTACATCCCGTTCCGAAAGGGTATGAATCCTGGATGCTTTTGTGCCTGGCAGCGTGGCGTGACTCTGACGAACATCATGGAAGCGGCGCGGCAATCAGCAACGACCTTCTCAGTATTCCGCAGTAAGAGACGCTACTAGCTGCAGCGATCAACTGGAGCAAAATTTCCGGAGAAGCGCGATGCCCCCAAGAGTTTGACTCCGACTTGTGGCAAATGGCCACTTTCTCAATCCTGCTGAGCACATGTATACAACAGCCTCAACATCACTCCCGCACCTGCAAAGTTTCTCGAAACAAATAAAATACAATCTGCTGCAACGGGGAAAGCAGATGTGCTGTTTCCAACGTGCGTTGCATCTCGCAACTGCATCATCAGCACACCAGCTGCACGTCTCGTCCATACGGGAAACCCACTTAACAATAAAACCAAACACACCGTATCGGCAGTCAAAATCGGCAGCACCACCTGACCTTCCACCAAAACAGTCGAGCGAGCTCTTAAAACCAGTCTGATATAGCTATAGCTAATTCGTGCAGACCATAACACTATCAGTAACGACCAACGGACCTTTGCGTTTGGCTAGACCTATACCTTGCCCCTCCAACCCCAATTTAGGCGCAACACCCAGTTATCCCAATACAGGCACATGGCTGGTTCCTAAATGGGTAATTACAATGGCATTCCAGACCACGAGTGCTGATCGCCAAATGTATTGGGATATTGGCTCGGTGTGCCTGACGGATATGGAGAGTGCGGAGAGCGCGCCGTGGCAGGGAGGCGGATGAGGGCTGGAAGAGATCTTTTCCCATCTAGTATGCTTTTCGCTGGAGGGATGATGATCTTTGGCGAAAAGAGGTTGTGGGGGGATATGGGAGGATGCTGGTGGCCTTGTCGCTTTTGTCCGAGGAGTGACTTTCCACCTGGTAGGATCAGAGAAGGATGATCATGTGAAATCTTGAGTCCTTGAGTGATATGGGTTGACTACTGGGCGACTACTACTAACGGGGTATATTTGACAATGCTGGTACTAGTACTGAATCCTCATTGTCTTTGCCTACTATCCAGTCTCTTTGTAGCGTGCGAGACCTCATGCCAGGCTACGCAACGTCAAAGTGCGGCATGGGCACCCTATGGTCGTCGAGGCTTTCAGCTCCATGGCATATTGATCTTCGCGCTGGCTGAAGAACGTTGGGCTCCAGAGAAGGCATCCAGACAACCCGAAAAAGACTAACAAGAATTGAGGCGTAAAAGTTGTTGAGCTCTTTACAACTGCCGATGACGTTGTTTGTACCAGGAAACTCACACACCTTTTCTCTCGGACATATTGTACTTTGACCCACCAGCCTTGCCCTTATTTCTTCCCTCGTTACTCTGCAAGCAGTAGCAGATATTCGACGGCCCTTCGTTCCGGAGCGAAGCTCAATCTCGAAGTATCATCGTGAAGTCGGTGTGCGATGTGGATGGAATCTTGCGGCAACATTGAGCCAGATTGAAGTCGCTGGTCCAGGCCTATTTGCGTTTGTCGCCGAAAGGATACTCGAATCGATTTTTTCTTGCATGCTTTGTGTTTACTGAAGATGTTGGTTTCCTGCCAAGTCTCGTGAGAATCTATAGCGTTGAGAAAGAGTCAGATGTTTCGATCAGTTCCAACTTTTCTTCAGAGTGCCATCTCCTTTCGTGCATCTCTTTACACACCGATCTTGACGCATAATCGTACTATTCTCTGTCCGGCCACTGCTTGTTCCAATCCCTATCTTTTCTCCAAATACCGTCTACTCACCCATTCATATATCCGACCAAGCACTCACACACACACACCCATCTCCACACCCATCACTCTTATTCCCTTTGAGATTCTTCGTCCTCAGTCCACACCATCCTCCATCATCCCATCTCATATTCTAAACGTCTTCCTATCAAACATATACCCTCCCACCATCTCTTTACTCACACCCCCCATCTGCACAAACAATATCACCACCCGCAAACGCCACATCTCCCCTCCTCCTTTTAATCCACCAATAGCGCCGCACCAGCCACGCCATCACCCCCCCAAATTAACCTACCAGGAAAAAAAAAACACCAACAGACTTACATACAGCCCCGATGCGACAATTAGCAACCCAACACCGACCTCACCTTAATTTTCCACAAGTCCCACCAGCCCTCCGAAATTGATCCAACGGTGATCGTGGTGGCTGCACATGGCGTGGGGAGGGGTCTTCAGGCCACCCAACCACCGGCCGTATCGAGATACCCGTACGTACGTATGTAGAAGGAGGATACGATGTTGGTGGCACACACACACACATACATAGATAAGACCGGAGAGAAAAGAAAAGCGGGTAGAGGCGAAAAAAAGGGAGATGCGCGTTGCAGGCGCGAGGGAACTGCAAGCACGGAGATGGAGCGCTTCTTGGGAGTTTGTGCGTTTGGGGTTTTTTTTTCTCTTTTTTTCGCTAAAGGGGGGTTTGGCCGGCTGTGGGTGTGTTGGAGGCGGAAGCTTGTTTGGACGTTTGGTGAGATTTTTTCTTTGCTTTTGAGAAAGGAGAGTTGAAGGAAGGTAAGTGTCTATGTGGCTGGGTTTGGGGTTTGTAGCTAGGAGTATTAGTTGTTTAAGTTGGCTCTGTCACTAGTTCATTCGTGCATGTGTTATCCTGTGAGACATCCTAGGTTATGCTGGATATGCTAGATTTCAATTACTAAATCTCGATATGCCGAAGTCTACTTTCGCATGTCTGTAGCTGTTGAGGTCCGAAACCGCCGTTTTCATGAAACCCAGGTTTTAGCCATGATGAGAACGCTGGCGCGCCATGTACATAAATCCGCTTGCAAAGGGTATCGATGCTATACATGCCTTTTTTTTAACGCCGATGAAATGCTGTTTAGGAGATATAAAAGTAAATACTCGCTCCATCAATCCAGGCAAGCTCGATGCTGATGTATCGCGCATGTGAATGATCATTCATGATGTGACCGGCCATGCCAGATATTCTTGCCTCCCCCTTCAACTATGGCTGAACTGATCATGGCACCTAGTCTGAATCATCGTCGCCATCCGGCGTGCGCGAGGTTCTCTTCTTCTTCAATCCCGCCGGCCTGACCTTGAACTTTTTAGGCGTACTGCCACCCAAGGTAACGTTGCTCTTCCGCTTCCTACCACGGCCACTAGTTGGGAATGGTGTGCTGCTCTCGCCGTCATCATTAGGTGTCTCATATCCTGCATCCAGAGTATCGTCACCGTCTGCGTCTATGAAAGTTTCCCGATCAATGTCTAACAAATCTGCAAAGTCGTAGCATTGCTTCACCATACTTTCGCGGGTATCCAGGGCGCTCATGACACCAGATAGGCGTTCCCACAAATCCTTACTGGTGGTAGCCAGGTGGTTGCGAGTCGCAGGTTTGGCATATTCCTTTTGAGAAATGGGTCCGTTGTGTTTGATGCCATACCATCGTCGAATGAAACTACGAGTCTCCCATACCATCTGGAGAATCGTACAGGCCGTTGCGATTTGACGAAGGCGGCCGTCGTCAATGTTTGGTGGTGCGAGCTGAGGCACAGTTTGAATCACTGGTGGTAGCGGTTGTGATGGTAGCATTCCGTTCATAGGTTCAGCAGCCATCATATGTTGCTGAAACGGGTCCATTGGCTGTGGCTGCTCCACCTGAATATATTGTTTTGGAAGTTCCTCTGCGATGACAACTCCCACTGCAGGTCCGGTTGTGTTCAGTACCATCGCCTCGACTGCGTTGAGGAACACTGCAAGTTCTTCTTGATGCGGAAAGTCGAGCAAGGCCAGGTTCTCCAGACAGAAACGAGCGTATAAGACAGCCTCTGGTACAGGACCACTGGCATCCAATTTGGAGAGGTCAAAGTCAATTTGCTTGCAAAAGTTGGCAATGAATTTCTTCAGGCTTGCTTTTTTGCCAGTCTTCAGCGCCTCGAAAAGTTTGGCAAGCTTCGGAGTATGGGTAGCTTCGACCATTCCTCGTGGATCGTTGAACAAATCCAGTTGATATCTGAAAGCCATGTGTATGGCTTGCATGTATTCTTTCTCCAGATACGACTCTTGCTTCTCATGGATACGCCTGTGTTCGTCGCCCGCCACCTGAGCCAAGCTTTTATTCGGTGAAGTAGCCAAGGCCACGAGTGCAGCACCACACTCCTTCGGATGAACAAGTCCTTGGCGACTGATGCTGGCAATAATGTCGGTGGCGATGACAGCGAGCTCATTCTTGTTCTGCAAAGCAGCTTTCACAAAGTCCTCCAGAAATCTCTGGGCTAGATGTAGAGTTGCTTGGTCATTTCCAGTGGCCGCGAACGAAGTTTCCAATCGAGCTGAGCCATTCACAGCTCCTTTACCAATGGCGATTTGTGCGCCTGTTTCGGAACGCCGTTCGGCAACAGTAAAAAACTGCCTAAAGAAAGAAAGTGCGACATGCCTCAAGGAGTGATTGTCCTCATTAATGAAGACGAGCTTCACCACCTTTTCCACTTCAGAGCGCATAAAATGCTCCGGTGACTGCTGGCAAATGCCACCCATACTTTGCAATGCTTGCTCGCGAATGTCTAGCTCCCAAGCCTGCATAGTGAAGGGCCGAACAGTATCCAGCAGGAGAAGCGACGGGGGAGGTGGTGACTTTTGATTCAGGGATGGCTCCATCTGCTTCTTGAGGGCCTCGTTCTTGCTGATGGTAGCGCGGAGTTTAGCAACGAAAGGCTCGGCATGTTGATCAAGACTGCAAACTTGACCAAAAGCACCCAGCAGGATTAGATACGAGAGTATCTTCTCTTTCAACTTGGTGGCATCCTCTTTCTCCTTTTCCACTTCCGAGTCCTTGGCTGATGCCAATACATGGGCCGATGACAATAACGGGCGAAGTTGGCTGATCACAGAGCAGGTGGTTACGAAGATCTTTTCGGCACCTATGCTCGATATCCCACTGATTGCCCACAAACAATGGACAACATCGAGAAGAGTCTCGCGACTTGTAGGCCAACCTAAGGATGCGAATTTGGCTAGCTTTGGGACGTTACGCATCAGACTTCCCCGAATCTCTTCCGCGAAAGCATGTTGAAGTGAAGGGAGCGTTGGCAACACATGGCGGAATACTACAACTGTTGGCCGTACAAGGGCTACGTCATCCGTGTTAACAATTGTCTTGATGTAGAGCTTCAGATGTCTGAGGTAGTCCACCGAGAACAGAGTAGGCTTGATCCTCGCAAAGACACTCAGGGTGTTCATGACACGCGTCTGGGACTTGTTGTCCGTTCCATTCCCTGGATCAATGACTTCGTCGACCAAATCTGCAACAAGTTCTCCACAAATGCGCAGATTTGCAGCAGGTGCTTTGGATTCAGGCGATACACAATGAATGAAGAACTTTTCGAAAGCCTCCAAGTGCACTGTGCTTTGGCCTACAGATTCCAAGAGGTCCACCATGAATGCTGCTCTCTGTTCACGGTTCAGACGGTGCTGACTGTCATCGGTTTTCGTACCCGAGCTAGCAGTCGTTAACCATATCTCTTCGAGGACGTTCCGACCCAGTTCCGCAATTGTGCTCTCGTCATCCTGCGAAGGAAGAAGTAGTGGAGCAGCAATCTTCAGTCGAACCTGCTTTGAGTTGGAACGGAGGTATATCTCTTTGAGAAGCTTGATTGCCTTCTTCTTCGGTCCATTCGAAGGATCGGTCGTCATATCCAAGATCTGTGGCAGGACATGTCGCTCCAGAGAGGGCTCCTTGGCTAAGCAATTGGACAGTAAGGACAATGTTGCTTCGCGAACCATGGGTGAGCTATCTCTGAGAGAGGAGATCATGTTGATGACATGGCCTTCGGAGATGACCTTGGGATCTTTGTCTAGCAGTTGCTGTAATGCAGTAGTTCCTCGTGATCGAAGCTTGGGTGAAATTTTGTCCTGAGCGTAGAGTTGCATGAAGTTGACGATCTGCGAAAGGTATCTGCACACTTGGCTTTGGAGTGTGATTACACCAGCGGCCAGCTTGCTTTGATCGTCCGAGACTGGTTGAAACTTACTATCATTCAAGGTTAGTTGCGAAGTGACTTCATAAATCGTGGCACTCACTATTTCCGAGTCAGCCATTTAGGGTCGACAATCATACTCTCTAGGCATTGCTGAACTGTTTGGATGGATTCTGGTCGGCTGTCTTGATTTGGTTCAGGGTATGCCTTTGTAACAGCTGTGAGCCAGGAACTGACATAACAGCCAGTTATTGCTTGAAGATGGGGGTCTTCCTGGGATGGTCGAAGGTCGAGATATTCAACCAAAGATTCAATGACCATGCGGTAAGGACCATCGAAGGCAAGTAGATCCACGTCATTAACGCGCTCTTTTTGGTCCTCACTCATAGCATCATTCACGAGTCGATCTAGCTTCGATGACAAGTCCGACTGCGAAATGTCTAGCCTTTGTTTCAGCTTCTTCAGCTGGTCTTTGAAGTCAATCACACCGCAGCCTATCCTCGCCATTGTCGTAAGAGCCATATCCTTGTCGACTACAGAGTGCTTATTTGCTTGGTCATCTTGAAGTATTGTTCTCATTCGTACTAAAAGAACCTGTAGAAGCATCACAGCAGCCGGCCATTGAGGAGACCCGAGAACGTTGCAGAAATCGTCGATGAAGAGATCCAGAAGATTGCGGAATGGCTTGTCACCAGATTTTGAAGTGTTTGACGCACGCTCGCAGAGTTGAGTTACAATGAAGGAGGCGGTGTTGGTAGCCGTTGTAGTCAGATTCTGCGCAATGAACGTGGGGGTACCCCTGCCCTTGTTCACCTTCTTCGCTATCTTTGTAGAAGTGCCGGGCTCGTAGTCGCTAACATCATCCTCAACTATCACATCCTTGATCTCGCTGTCGGCCGATGATGTAGTACAAGGACCAGGGTTTGTCGCAACAACCTGAACAAATCGCATGAATAGCGCGGAAATCGTCATGATAGGCACTTCTCGAGCAGATACAAATTGCCTGGCGCTTGCCTTCTTATCAGGAAGCTTTTCCAAATTGCTGAAAATTCCGCTGAGGATTGACGTCCGTTGATCTGGATATCTCGCAAATATCTGAGCCAGAACATCCATCGCCTTCTGGCGAAAGTGTTCAAACTTCCTAATGGTAAAAACAGAGTCTTTTTCATTTTCGCTATTTTGCTCCACTAGAAGTTCAAGTGTCAGGTACTCCAGGGTGTTGAGAGCTCGGTCAGACAAATTATATTTGCCTATGACTGTTGCAAATCGAGTAAGCACAGCTCCAGATAGACGCAAAACTGCTTGCAGGTCTTGTCTATAAGGTGAGGCAGCGTTGAAAAGATCTTGGGACTCGCCCGATCGCCGCGATTGGACGATGGGAATGATACATGCGTCTTTGACTAGCTTTATAAGATCGATGATGGTATCAACGATTTCTTCTCGTCGCATGCGATAGTCGTCGCGGCCTTCAATCATAGTCTCCAGTAGAAGCTTCGAAGATTTCAGTGCAAATTTGGCAGTTGTGATGCTCTCAGTAAGCTCCATGGTAGCCTCATCTCGTGAAAAAAGCCCGTTCTTGATTGTTGACAGAACAGTAGGATGGAGGAGCGATTGTATCTGCATGACCAGCTCTACAGGAAGTGCATCAAAGCGTCCTAGACTGACCACACCCGACATCTTTTCTGAGAGGCTATCCATCGACCGCGGTTTGAGTACGTTGAATTCGCCATCAGGCGTTATTATCTTGCTGAAGTGCTGCGACCCATCGAGGTCGTCCTTATCCTCTGTTAGGTTTGTAACGAGTGTGTCCAGCAGGTCAATCTTCCCATCCGCGATCTCTCGTTCATGAGGTCTTAAAACAGCAGCCCCTCCCTGCGCTCTTTTATCTTCCTGCTTTTGCGAAGAATGTTCCGGTGTATTGATGCTATCAATGTATCTGAACTCTTCTCGCGAAACAGTTTTTGGCTTTATAATCACAGCTGGTCCTGGAGGACGAACAGGCGTGCTACTCGGAGCGGATGATTGAGCGCTGGACGGGTACGGGAGGTCTGCGTTTCGAACATGGGCACTGCCATTGGAAGTGGAAGAGTTTTGGGATGTCACACGAACTGGTTGCAGAGCAGCTGGTTGTCTGGGAGGGGAACGCTCTTTGCGAGGTCGTTCGGATGCCGCGACACTCGGTGCTAGTCATGTCAGTAGGAGTATAATCAAGTGACAAGGAGACCTACTCGTAAACGTGACATCCGTCTGTTTCAGTAACATACGCGCAAATGGGCTAAGTGCTGGCGTATATCCCGAAGACTCTCCATTTGTGCCTTTTACAGGACTGTCTGGAGGAGGCGTTGCTAATTGGGGCATTGGCTTGAAGTGGCTATGAACGTTAGGACTGCCTGTCAGTCAAAATTCAGAGCAAACTCACTACTCTGGTAGTTTGTCTCGATGAAGAAGATTACGGAGCTGCTTCAAGGTATCGTGTAGGTGTTGCGCAGTAGACTGGCCCTCGATTTCGTCGTTCAAGATGCCTACGGCTTTCTTCGCGGCCTTTTGTTGGTCTGGAGTCAAGGTTGTGGGTGGAGTCGGAGGCTCGGCCGTAGGGAAAGGTATTATATCTATCTGTTTATCAGTCTTCTGCCGTGATGAGTGAGAGAGCCTGGCGCATCCAAGATGGGCAGGTGAGGGAGAGTGACTGACCCGGTGAGAAGGGGATAATCGAGGTAAAGGGTGAATATGAGAGAGCATCGTCAACAGTGGGAGGGGGTCTCCGGAATGGGAGTCCCCCGCCGTTGACGTTGTGCCAATCTCCATTCATTGCGGTCGCGCTTGATGGGCTGAGGAGTCGGAGGAGCAAACAACCGTAGAGTAAGCGCCGACAGTGTACGTTCTGGGGACGGAGTCGAGCAATCGCTATTTCAACGTCTCGGCGTGCATTATCTGGTGATGCGACCCTTCTGCCCTCCTCTGATCCTTCACGCGAGCGATGCGCCCTGTTGTCTGCTACGCTGTGGCGGCTTCGGGGTGAAAGTACCTATGATCGAATCGTCCTGACAGTCGGACGCGTTCTGACCGCCTACCCCTTTCGGACTAGCTTGGCGTAGCCGCGGGAGTCGCGATTCCCCGTAACTTTTTTCCATCTCCACGCCCAACATCACCTTCACGACAATACACTGCCCACCATGTCAGCTATTGGTGAGTAACGCTCTACCTGTATATCAGATATCAGGCATTTGCTGATAAAATATATAGGATCTCTTGTCTTTTGCACAGATTGCGGTAACTTGTTAGACGGTTCTGTGGGGAAGCAACAACAGAACATAGTCCTGACATGCGCTATCTGTGGTGCACATAATAAAGATACATCATCAAAGACTGTCGTTACTATTTCTAGGCCTACCGCTTTTCCTTCTTCCCTGCGCGCGAAGAGATCCGAGGTGCAGACCATTTCGGAGGAAGACGTACAAACCACTAGTATAATCAACCACCCATGCGAAAAATGTGGAAGAGAGCAAGTGCGATACTACACTCAACAACTGCGGAGTGCAGACGAGGGAACGACTGTCTTTTACGAGTGTGATTGCGGTCACAAGTATGTTTGCGCAATCGCCCTCCGATTCAAACTCTTACTGATAGTTATCTTACAGGTGGAACACGAACAACTGAATTGGGCTGTACAAGTACAATGGCCTCGTTGAACTTTATGTAACCCAAACGCCATGGTCATGCAACATGCAGCCACTTCTAAGCCGCAGCAACCTGTGGCACAATTGCGTACTCCATCTCCCCATTCTTCTCGAACTCTGCCATATCGAGCGCAACAATCACACTGTCTCGTACAACCTGTTCTGGATCATTCAAGAATTTGCGCAAAGTTTCTTCGACACCGTCCTCGTCGCCCAAACTACCCAGAGCCTCCGCTGCCTCATGGCGGACCATACTAGCCTCGTTTGTGTTACTCAATGCCTCTGTCAAGCTGGGAATTGACGCGGGATGTGACAGCTGCCCAAATACAAATGCGATTTCGTGGCGGAAGAGAGCAGACGGGTCGCTAAAACCGCGGGCGAGCGCTTGTACAGCCGGGATAGCAGTTGGGAGGTCGGGTGGCGAGGAAAGATCGCGTAGGGCGAACATAGCCCGGTACCGCTGGAACAAGGGCAAAGATGTATCGAGTAGTGTCTTTTCAAGTTCTGGTATCGATAGTTTCTCGGTGCTCTGTGGTAGCGGCGGTGCAGGGTCGATTGACGTGAAATCACTGTACAATGTTTAGCATATACAACAGAGCCTGAAACTCCTTGCACACATACCTCTTCTTCAGCTTCTCTTGTCCCTTCTGTAGACCATGATCCCATTCGATGCGATCGACAGCAATATCGCAAGTTTCCCGCACAACGTCGACCTCTTGGACATCATCTCTCAACTGCTTCAGTAGATCCAAACTCCCCTTGTCGCTCAATGCGCCGAGTGCCTCCGCAGCCTCATGCCTGCACATAGAGTCTTCTTCCTTGTCTTGCAACACAGCCCTCAGCGGTGCAATAGCAGCATCGTGACCAGACTGACCCAGGCAGTAGGCGAGCTCATGCTTCAGAAGAGCAGACGGCGAAGAAAAAGCTGCGCCAATGGCTTCGATCGCGGGGACTGTTTGTTCGGTGGGCGGGTTCAGGCCTGCTAGGTACTTCAAAGAGAAGAGAGCACGGAATCGTCGGGCGAGGGGCTCCGATTCCGATGTGAGGATCTTGCGCAGGGTTACAACCTGTGTGTCTTGTTCGGTGACAGCCATGTTGTTGATTGGATGATAGAGTGTTGAGTGACAGAAGACAGGAACAGAGGGTCGCCTCTAGACGCGGCTCAACTCTTTTTTGGTGGGGTCTAGAGATTTGGTGGGGTTAAAAGTTCATCTGATAAGATCCTCACCGCACCTGCATGCAAAAATAAAGGCTAGCTTATTGCAGCTTAGCCCGCATGTGACAGCGTGGCAGCGAGTCCTTGTTCCTGCATTATGCAGGACATAAGCCCCCAGCCCTCTTTTCACAATGACTCTTCGTCCTCACTCACGGTGTCTTTGACAAGTCGTGGTGAAAGGTCACCTACAAGAAAAAAGGAAACAAAGACATCATTTGTGTCTTGCCTCAAAGGTGCACCTGTCCGCTTCACCATCACCATCGCCTTCACCGCAACACAACCTCACGACGACAATTGAACACGTCGACCCCCGCTCAACCCAGATTTTCGTTCTAGTCCGAGCACCTCTTTGCGAAAACACGCTCGTGCGCGTCGAAAATAGTCTCCGTCTGTCGCCATGGCCTTCCTTCGCGGGGTGTCTGACCGCATCTGGAGTTATATGAGCCCGCGTAAGACCCAGCAACGGCGAGACAAGCCCTACGCCTTCAAAAAGCCTGCGGTACCTACTCGAACTACAGATGCTCATCAAGAGGCTTCCAAACCTGTGATCACGGAGAAAAGCTCGGATGCGCCAGTCAAGATTCGAGACTTACGCTCATCAAGTCCTCAATGCAACATCGATGCGACACTTTTGCCTCCCTCTCCGCCCGCTTCGGCTATGCTCTCCGATGACCTAGAAGGTGATACGCTGTTGCCCTTGTCGCCCACTACGCCCGGTAAGAGGGCAGAGGGCTCCTCTCTGGACGAGTGGGACGCAAACGAGGAGACCATGGTAGTGGACGACGGAACATACATGGACCAGCAAAAGAACATGAATGCTCAAGAAGAGCGAAGGAGAAGAGATCAGCAGGGCCAGGAATTACGCAATTCTGGCTGGTCTGAGGACGCAGTATTTCTTTTTCAGAAGCTGGGGATGCGCGGTTTCGAGCCTCTCCTCCCAATTGGGTGGATCAACGATTTCGAAACTCTTCCCGAAGACCTTTTTACCGAAAATCTTGACAAGGCCTTCATAAAACCCGCCTTCGGCACAGAATATGGTGGTAAGTACTCGAATTTCTGATGGTCGCGATTGCCTTTACTAACACCATAAAGCACAACATGCTCTTAATAAGCTTTTCGATCTCGGAGGTTTCGTGCGAGATGCCTGGCACACGCGAGCGAAGCGGACCCCGGCATTCCAGATCGGTAAGGCAGTGAAAGCGTTCACCAAGTGGGCAATGAAAGACGGTAAAGTTGACCATCTTTGGTCTCAACTACCACTGTTTCAGACTGTCACTTTCTCTCGACACGTACATCCGAGTGTAGGTGAGGAGAAAATGCTTGAGAAGCTTGGCCACCTGCACGGCCTATGGTATGATGCTTTGAAAATCGGCGAGGCTGAGCAACATGGAGACTCTGTTGTACCGGAAGTGCCCACACTCTATGGAATCACAGCATCGCATTCCGTCATGGCATTCGTCAGCTATGCTCCTGGCAACAACGATAGGGATCAGCCCCAACTTCGACTGATCGCTATGTTTGACTTCAACAAGGAAGGATACGACGTCTGGAACTCACTTGCCATGGCTATCTTCATCATCCACTGCAGGAACAGAATGATGCAGTTGAGTGAGTGCCTCTCGGGACCAGAGACTTTAACACAGGAAGACCCTGATCTTTGAACGGCAAATATGATACGAACGTACACAGGAGATAGATACGACATGAACACAAACACAAACACTGCTCAATGTTAGCAATAACGAAGATTACTACGACTAGATTGGAGAGAACGAGGAAGCAATCATGGATGGTGGACGACAAACTGGAAGGCGTGGCGTTTTGCTTCGCGATATACCCTATACCCCTTTAATGAGCACAATACCCGTTTGTTTTTCCTTTGTCACGCAAAATTGTGGGGGAAGATATCCAAGACCACCAAATTGACGATGTCCGGCTCGACAGGCATGTCTTGAGCGACTTGATGAATGATGAACGAATGATGCAGAAATTGTGCGAACCCTAGTTAGAATATACCAATCAATTTTTCAGTCACGAAACAGAAAAGAGAATAAGATGGTACTGACTGTGTTATCAAATGCAGTGATAGGCGGACAATCACAAGTATTAGAAATCACTGCCACTACGTACATATGGCAGACACGGCTGGTAGTCATCTTAGTCCGTTCGTTCGAGAGCACTAGTGGCGCAGCGCTAAACCTCGATCTCGTTATTTGCGGAGCTAAGCATTGAGCTAGGATCTAGCAGATACAGAACGTCATAAAAACATTGATACGAATTCTGCTTCTACGTACGTCATAGATTTTGTATCATTGAGAATCGATTCCTCTGACGAGTACCCATAATAAAAGCAATAGCCCATCGCCATGCATTTTCCAAGTGACTACAAGCTTCTTCGTTTCTTGGCAGCTCTCCAATTCTATTGCGCAAAAAAAGTTTGATATCGGTGTTGGTTGATTGTTTTCGCTGTTGCTTCTTTACTATGTCATCGATGCGATTACCACGCGCATTCCGCCCCCCAGCACAAATCAACGCGGAAGAGGGCACTAATGGTCACCCAGAAACCCGGCGCGGGAAAACCGCACCCAATGAAGCGGGAAATGGAAATGGAAATGAAAGGAAGTCTCAGGAGCCTAACAAAGAGCCTGTAGGCTTCTGGCACCCAGATCTCCGACAAGTCCGCAACCGCGCATTTGTGAAATGGATCATTACGACTGCATTTCTCATGGCATTTGTTCTCGCTGTGCTATCAATATACTGGGGTGTCTTTTTCCAAGTGGAGCAAAGACTCGGCCATTTGTTGGTTTATGTTGTAGATATGGATGGTGCCGCACCATACGACAATACTAGGAATGCGCCATTCGTCGGACCAACTATTACACAACTCGTTCAACAACAATTAAGCAGTGGCCAGCCAACACTAGGATGGGGAATCCGTCCAGCCTCAGATTTCAACAATGACCCGATGCGTGTACGGGAGGTGGTGTACGAGTGGGATGCCTGGGCCGCCATTGTCATCAACCCGAATGCCAGTGCTTTGCTGTACTCTGCCATTGCGAACGGAAACTCATCTTACGAACCCCTTGGGGCTTGCCAGTTAATTTACCAGGACTCGAGAGACGACACAAACTGGTACGATTTCATGCTGCCACTCATCAGCGCTTTCATGACAGAAGCGCAGAGCATGGTCGGCAGACAGTGGGCACAGATGGTGCTTCAAAATGCCAGCGACCCATCCATTCTATCGAACATGCAAAGTGTGCCGCAAGCAATCAATCCCGCGATTGGATTTTCTGAATTCAATCTTAGGCCGTTTTTTCCTTATACTAGCATTCCTGCTGTTTCTATCGGTCTCATTTGTAAGTATCTTACGTGCCAATACACCCTTCTTCTTTCTCTTAACAGTGGAATGCTAATCGGAAATTGAAAGATCTCATTATTATATCCTTCTTCAGCTTTTCCTTCTACATGCCCATCCACATGCAATACGTCACGCCTACCAACCACCCACCGCTGAAATTCTCCCAACTGATCATCTGGCGCTGGTGCGCTACTATCTCGGCGTACTTTATGCTCTCTCTCGCCTACTCGTTTGTCAGCATGGCTTTTCAAATCAACTTTTTTCACACCAACTCGATAACTAGTCATACCCAGGTTACCGTCGAGAGCGAAGGCAACCCGGTGGCTTTTGGACACGCAACATTCGTTGTATACTGGATGCTGAACTTTCTCGGTATGATTGCGCTGGGTCTGGCGTGTGAGAATGTTGCTATGGTTGTGGGTATGCCGTGGATGGGTCTATTTCTGATCTTCTGGGTTATCACGAATGTTTCTACTTCGTTCTACGACATTGAGATTGCGCCGGCGTTTTACAGGTGGGGATATGCATGGCCGCTGCATTCAAGTAAGTTTCCATTGTTCTCGCTTCTTCTCCTGCTTTTTTCCTGTCGAGATGGCGACTCGTCGAGGCTAACATGTACAACAGTTGTCGAAGGAAGTCGCTCGATTCTGTTCGACCTACACTCGCGTCTTGGTCTGGACTTTGGCATTCTAATCGCATGGGGAGCAGTGAATACACTGTTTTTTCCTTTCTGTTGTTATTTTATGCGGTGGAAAAATCAGAAGGGAATACATGAGTACTGGCCTCTGGATTAAAACTGTGTTGAGAAAGCTCAGAGATTTTGAGCAATTGCTCGGTACACTATGAAACAACAGCTCATCATTTTTTATGCAATACCACGTACATTTTTTGTATCGTAATTCGAGTCCCATGAGTAGCGCACTTATGGCCATCACGAACTATCTAGTGATTGGAAGATCTCGACGACTCTATTATCCCTTAAATAGTCACCATGAATACCTTTAGAGTGGGGGGTTCTAGACTAACACTCACAGTACTGTTGATTGCTTGTCATGATGCTATGCCTAGTCAATTTTAAGCAATTCAATATGAAGAATTTGGTGACATGTAATGTTATGTTCTTCTGAGCCTAAGAGAAGCTCAGGCGTGTAGAAGGTTGCGAGCGGGGGAAATGTACTCCAACCCGCCCTAGTCCCAAACGAGCGTGGTACGTGTTGGACCCAGTGTATCCTCCCCACACCTCCACCTTACTGCGTTGAATCTCACGTGCATGCTAACTTTTACATATACAGCTCCCTCACTTGAAGATAGCATTTCATCCTAATTTCATCCACACTCATATTCAGAACACAAGTATGCCTCCCACACCCCCGCCCACATATCCTCGTCCAGACTTCCTCCGCAAGGACCTATCATGGCAATCCCTAAACGGTCCATGGTCGTTCCTTTTCGATGACAACGATGTTGGTCTCAACCAGGGATGGCACTTGACCCAACTACCGGACAAGATCACTGTGAACCCCACCAACACCAATAGTGCCGAAAACAGCGAGGCGCATAGTATCACGGCCAAGATCGCTGCTGGTACCCAGGAGCTACTGCAAGGCAACAAGTTCAAAAATGAGCATACTGTGCATGAGAAAAGAGATATCCAAGTCCCATTTGTATTCCAATGTCCTGCTTCGGGCATCAACGAAAAGGGCGTGCACGAGGTGCTGTGGTATGAAAGGACGATTGAGGACCCGAGATCTGAACAGGGCAAGATTACTGGAGACCATGTTATTCTCAGATTCGGGGCTGTCGATTATGAAGCCAAGATTTGGGTCAATGGTAGCTTTTTTGGTGGTCATCGTGGTGGACACGTACCATTCGATGTTGACATCACGGATGCTTTTGTACAGGGGAAGACGCAGAGGCTGACGGTGCGAGTTTTCGATTCCGCTCACGATCTGACCCAGCCCCGTGGGAAGCAGTACTGGAAGGCGCAGCCTGAAAGTATCTTCTACACGCCCAGCGGAGGCATCTGGCAAAACGTGTGGCTGGAATCGGTTCCCGCTGTTAGACTAGGAGATGCGAGTGCGGGCACACTGCTAAAGAGCAACGATATTGAAGGCGGGAATTTAGAAGCCAACATCAAGGTCCTTGGAAGACTAGCGGGCCACGACTACAGCGTGGAGCTCGAAGCCAGCCTAGGCGGTGTTCTAATCAGCAAGACTGAAAAGACTGCCCTGCCCCACGACTCAGACACAATCGCTTTGAAGACGAATATGCGTTTGACTGACGCCCAGATATCACAGCTACCACAAAACCTCACATCTGCCACTCCACTTTCCGACCCCAAAGCCTGGCTCAACAACCTCGCTTTATGGTCCCCTGACCACCCCACCCTCTACGACCTAACCATCCGTCTCTACCGCTCTTTAGACAACGCCCCCATCGACACAATCCACACAACAACCGGCATGCGCTCCCTCCACTGGGACAACTCCACCTTCCGCCTCAACAACCAACCTTACTTCCAAGCCCTCTTCCTCGACCAAGGCTACTGGCCCGACACCTTCATGACACCACCCACCCCCTCCGCCCTCAAACACGACATCGAGCTCAGCAAGAAAATGGGCTTCAACGGCTGCCGCAAGCACCAAAAAGTCGAAGACCCCTTCTTCCACTACTACGCTGACCGCCTCGGCTTCCTCGTGTGGGGGGAAATGGCAAACGCCTACGCCTTCTCAGAGGCCTACGTCGAAAAAATGGATCAAGAGTGGCATGAAGCCGTACTCCGCGATCGCAATCATCCCTGCGTCGTGGCGTGGACGCCTGTCAACGAGTCGTGGGCGTATACGGATCTGCACACGAACAAGCAGCAGAGAGATCACATTCGCAGCTTGTACTATGCGACGAAAGTGCTTGATCCGACGAGACCTATCAACGATAACTGCGGCTGGGAACACGTGGTTACGGATCTGACTACGTTCCATGACTATGCTGATGCGGAGGAGCTGACGGCGACGTGTGCGTCGCTGGATGCTATCATGAAGAAGAAATCGAATCGGCCGACGTTTCTGGCGCCGATTGAAGGGCTGGGGGATCCGGGGTCGAAGCATACGCCCGGTGCACCTGTTATTTGCACCGAGTTTGGGGGTGTGAATATTGCGCGCGAAGCTGCTGCTGGCGGTGGAGATGGGGAGGAAGATAGGAAGAGAGATTGGGGTTATACAACTGCTTCAGACCCCAAGGACTTGCTTAAGCGCATTGAGAAGATGATGGTGGGAATAGTGAATGGAGGTCATTGCTGTGGGTTCGTGTATACACAGCTTACGGATATTGAGCAAGAGGTCAATGGTGTGTACACACCAGACAGGAAGGAAAAATTGGATGCGGCCGAGGTCAAGAAGGTGGTGGACGGCGTTGTAGAAAAGTATGCACAGATGCACAAGTAAGCCTGAGACGGAACAAAGTGCGCGCTTCATACGGGAATAGGTACCAGGTATAGCAAATAGAGCATCGATGTGATATATAGAGTTATCGTATTTAAGGTACCTCTTGGTACTTTTGATTTCTACCTATGTAGTCATACTCCTCCATCCAGAAGGGCCTTGGCCTTGTCGGTCAAGATCTGTACTAAATGCCTCTTCGTCCAGCGGCATCGCCACGAACAACATCATCAAATGACGTTGTTCGATTCGAAAAACTCCCATCATGCTATGTACTGATAACAAGACGCCAAGGATGCAGAGTAGCATGCGACAAGCGAAATACAAGAAACAAATGCTCTCTGAGATGCATAACAAAGAAAAAAGAAGCCATGGGGTATCGTCCGTAGGAAAAACCGAAAACTCCGCCCACTATGCTGATTGCAAATCAAAGCATCCTAAGCACCATATCGAACTCCGGTTCTCATGTATCGCAGACTCTCTTCCTCGAATCGAGGTATCTGACGTCCGTCTCGTAGCGAGATATAATCACGGGCTGGATCGCGGTTGTCGTATGCCCTGGCATTGGGCACGTAAGTACGACAAGGTGCGCCAGCCGGTACCTGATAATGAGATTCTCTCACATCGCGCGCAGGCTGTCGATGTGTTACTGGAGGAGCGTATACGTATCCACGAGGATCAACATCTGCAGTGGGTCGTGGAGGGGCATAGTGACCTCTGGCATTATTGGTGGGCGGACCATATGGACTATTTGTTAGATCAACAACATGCTCTGGAGGCGGTGGTCGTGGAGCACTGTGAAGAGGACCCGTTGGCTGACTTGGATGAAACTCAAGTGGCCCACCTTGGTAGGTTCTGGCATGGACTTCTTCACGATACATAGGCCTTGCACGTTTCGGCTGTTGGTCTACTTGGGCGTCTCTTTCGTCCGCGAAAGTATTCGGCGCTTTACGCTTTGGTGACTGTACCTGGGTGTAGTGCCTGTCTAGCATGTTGTGATCCTGCACTGGGTGATGTGCATTTGTATTACGGCGTGGTGGTGAAGTCAGATCAACTGTTTCACGCTCAACAGAAGGGAGTACAAGATCGTGATCTGGCATGCGTCTTGTAGTCGTGGGCGGTCTTTCCTGCATACTAAATCGAGGGGATGCAGGACGCGAATACATGCCTTGTATGCGTCGCGATGGAGGGAGATCATACCGCATCGTTGCATCATCTTGTGGCTCCTTGATGGGTTGAAGCTACGTGTGTCAGCTTAGATTCCAGAATGAAGAACGAAATACGATCGTGTTGTGTTCACGAGACGTGACCTATTCAAGACTCACTTTGTACAATTGCCCGTCGATTTCGTGCAAAATAGGCTCGGCCCTTTGGCTTGCACCAGAGTCAGCTGGCCTTGCTCGTCTGTGGCGGTTAGTGGGGCTAGGAATTCAACATGTCACTACTCCTTACTTGTCATTCAGATCGTGTGTGCCATAGCGATATGCTTCGCTGTGGTGTCCTAGGCGTGGTTCAGAGTTTAGTGTTGCGTGCATAGGTGGAGGTGGAGGTGGCAGCTGAGGGAATGGCTGGGGGTGTGAAGAGCCAGGCAATGGACCTGATCGTGGTGGAAGATATCGCGGAAGAACAATTGTTCTTCTTGGTACACCTCTCATATCATTACGAGGGTAGTTAGCATGAAGTTCGGGTTGCAAATCGCGCGCAGTAGCACGACTAGAAACAATTTCCATGCTCTGCTCACGTTCATCAGGCGTAGACGTGGAATGGCGTTCGCTGCTTGGTTCATCGTCATCATCAAGAACAATGACCTCACGAAAGGTTTCTTCAAGCTCATTGCTTTGATCATCGGCTTCGTCGCGCCACTCTTTGAGTTTGGCAAGGGAGACACTCTCAACCTTGGATCGAGCCTCCATCCAACCGCCGCTTTTGAGCAGCTTGTCGTAATCTGTATACGTATGGCGAATATGGGCGACAACAGCAAGCTGCACTCTACGAGCCAATGAAAGTTCCTTGGCATTACCTACCCGGTTTGTTCCCTCCTCAAAGGCATGGGTAACAATGGCTTGCAAATCATCGTCAGGGATCTTGGGAAACATTTCGCGAACGGCACCATGGATGTAGCCTTTGGTCTCCTTTTCCGTCGTGGGACGTCCTTGCTTAACTTGCCGTGAAGAGTAGTCCTCGAAGCGCCGGGCAATCCAGTTGGTCCTATCGCCATCCTTGGCTTTCTGGAGACCCTGGCTTTCATCATACGTATAGCCGAACTTGCTACAGGCAAGGTCGATAATCTGTAAAGGAAAATGGTGTCCGACTCGGTGGACATGATGAGATAATTTCTCGGGATCGGAATGCATCTTGTTCTTGGGTTTGGCCTTGGGGGTTGTCAGCTACTCCTAGCGCTGGAGTTTGTTGCAACGCCTACCGAAACAATATGTACGTCGAGGTTGCGCTGGCGACACTGCTCCTTGCACCATTCCGTGAACTCTGGATGTCCAGCAGGAATGAAGCCGAAGCCAGTGGGCGCGTTGGATGCATACGTCAACTACACTTGCGTTAGTAAAATGTCGGTGCATCGATGGCGCATCGCAGACGGACGATCGAGTGCAGTTTCTTCTTTTCCTGCGTTACCGCTTCTAGCACAATCTTGTAAGGCTTCTTCTTTTTGGGGACGGCTCGCGGCTGCTCAAGGGTGCTGCTGCGCTGTGGCGCATATTGCGGCCGCGGATGATGTACTCTGGTCATGACGCTGGTGTGCAAGGCAAATCATAGAGACGCTGCGGTCCGTGGAAGAGTAAAGTGCTCCTGTGGCTAGGGTTTTTCCAGCTACGGAGCGATGCTGCGGGATTAGCGATGAATACGAAAAACGAGGCAGTCACAACGGCGCGCAAAGGTCCAAGACGCGGAATTTGTATCTACAAGCCCAGTGGATGCAAAGGCACAGGCGGGGCGTTGAGTGGTGTGGTGTGAAGAGGGAGGAGAGGATGGAACCAGGTTTGTGCCACGCAGGCGGCTACGGGGCGCCGGTGCCACCTTTCTCCGACGCCCAACCATGGCGCTTTGCAGAGTGAGGCGTGACGTCGTTAGTGCCCCGACCACCATGTCACAACAGCAAGTCATACACGCGTATAGGCACCTGTATCGGCATAGTCTGCGGGCTATTCACTTCTCCAAGCCAGCCCGATACACGCTGCGTGACCGCCTCCGTCTGGCGTTCCGTCGCGGCAGTGCCTCTGACTTTGAGCCCCAGAAAGTGCACAACACGTTGGAATTCCTTCAGTGTGCTACGAGAGAAAACGGCTTGGAGCACAAGATAGTGAAGAACTTATTGTTTGTATGGTGGTTACAGAGTCAAGGAGGCCACGCAAGGCACAAAGCGAAGACTCTGTATGTCCCCGTGCCTCGCTCAGAGCCCAACACAGTGAGGCTGACATGCCAGAACCCGCGATGAACTCGAGATCAAGACGACTGCATACGATGTTTTCAATCACAACATCTGTATGTTGAACGAAAGTATAGGGCTTTGCCTGCCAGCAATGACCCTTCGCGATCCTAGATGAGGCAACAAATGGTACCGCTGCCTCGAAGCCCTCGCAAAGCGCCCGTCTGCCGCGCACTTGCACTAGACCATAATCGCGTGAGCATTGAGGGAGCCTCACATGAAGTCATCAAGGAAGTTCTCGTCGCGGTTCTGATTACTGCTTTCCTCGAGATGGTCCTCAGTCATGACGTCGTCATAGGCGTGGTCTCTCCGCCAAGCGAGCTCCTTGCGCTCTCTGGCAACGCGCGCTTCTTCTTTCCTCTGCATAAGGTTAGTTTTGCTGCAGAAGAGATGATGGTGTTATGAAAACGAGGCCAAGTCAAAGTAAAGATAGTGAGAATGTGGACCGAGGTAATCCCCCAAAAAAGAAATTCAAGTACCTTTGCCTGCACTGCACCCTGCTCCCGCTTCCTCAACTCGGCACGCCTCGCCTCTCGCTCTTCACGCAGATCAGGGAACTTTTCAACCTTTGTCTTGTTCAGGCGGTTGACAATGGCGTTTTCCCTCTGCTCAACATGTATGCGCTTGACCTATCCCAGCAGATTAGTATGCAAACTCCACAAGCACAGAATACTCACCTTGCGCTGATCCTTAAACCCAACCTGGCCCACAGCCATACTGCCATCCTTCTTCAAGTTACTCCACGGCGTATACACAATAGTGATGTTGTCTTTCTTGTTGCCCTCAATACTGTTCGCCTTTGTCAACTGCGCACAGTCGATTAATAACTCCTTGTTCATCTTTTCCCAGTCCTCGCCCTCTGGTAGGCGGACGTAGATATGAGCCGAAGAGAGATTGTCAACGTGGAACCAGACATCTTCATCCCAGCCGTACTTTATCAGCTCTTCGTCTATCGCAGGGTTAGCATGTGATTTCCGGTATAACGGTCAAGCGACAAGCAAGGTAGTATGGTCATGTCAAAAGCTGAGGTAGTCTAGCTTCTTACTTTCGACTTTGTCTTTGCCGACGTAAATAAAGGCCGACGGAGACACGGTGTTCGACGAGAAGTAGTATACCATATTGACAGGTTGTTTGGTTGTGGCTTTGCGATGCGAGATCAAGCTGCAAGTCAGAGCGTTGGGCTTAGTGGTGAATTTGGCAAAGCACGTGTGGGGTCTAGCGGGGTATCGAGGCCATTCAGCTCAGGATCCCGACACTTGTGGCAACCAACATATCACTGTCAACTATCGCAACGGGCAAGTACTCTAGAACGTAAATATCAAAACCTCTTGGTTTTATCACATCATGACTATTTTGAAGCCCAAGTGACACAGCAACCTACTTCGCGCCACGCTTAACCAGCAGCACGCGTTCGCTCTCTTCTTCCTCGCCAGGTACAGGCTGTACGTCAAGGCCGCCAGTACCATATTTCAAGCTGTTTATATGACAGGTTGAGGGATGTGCTTTGAGATTTTAAAGGGTTTGGATGTTGGTTGAGAAGGGACTTTGATAAGAGGGTTGACTGATTCGTGAGAGATGGGAATGGCGGTAGGTTCTGAGAGGCGGTAAAAGATGGAGGTTAGGCTAAGGTGGTATTTCCAGTGACTTTATTGTTCAGCTGCTTGGATGGAGCTTCTCTCTGGTCTTTCAACGGTCCTGGATTGACTTTATAAGTTGTTTTGTGGGACGCGAGTTCTTTTCCGCCGCTGAAAGAACAATTGCAAGCTTCACAAGGGTGGCTTTACTTTTGCGTGGGAGTCTGGTTGGTGTTGTTTGTATGCTGCTTCATTGCTGAAACGACAGTTACGAACGTCGTACTTGAAGCTCTTTCCTTCTATGAGCAACTACTCTTCAGCCTGTGTAGAAACGTCCTTGTTGCGGGAGCCGCCATGGGGAGTTTCTATGCACAGGCGACTCTCTGTCATGCTTTTCGCGCTTTTTCACGCTGACGAACATCCTACTGCAAGTATAGCATGGGAACATGTTCTTGTGTTTGGAAGATTCTCGCTCGTGCTGCTTAAGCGCACCTTTGCTGGAGTAATCGAGTTTGCAAAAGCTGTAGTAAAAGGTCTCTCCAACCATATGATAGTCTCGTTGATGCTGTTTTTTGCTTCAAGACTACCAAATTTTCGATCACAAATTTTAAAGTCTTGATCGCAAATCTAGCACCCGGACCTATTCTTGTGCACTGCTGAGCGTCCGTAGTGCTTTGCTTATGCTTCCTTGCTGGCAAAGTCGCGTTCGCAGAGAGCGCATCAGTTGGTCATGGTATGGAAGATTACAGTTTTCTATTCGTTCTACGGCAGTATGGATAATGGTTCACGACAGTGAACATGGACATTGAAAGCGCTGAGCCAAGTCAGTCAACGGCAAGTAGCACAACATGGCCTTTATGTTGTGCAGCCGAAAGATTTACCTCCAGTCCAATGGTGCAGGGCCACATGGCGAATGATGATGCACCTCAGGTTACACAACAGATCAGACGAGACTTATCGACCTCTCCTGAGGTGCGGGGTAAATTGAGCCCGCTGGATCGACCTTGCAGGCGATAAGTACGCTTCAGCTAAGCTTGGAGAACTGAAATGGACATATTGACCACAATTGGGCAGGTTTTGCCGAAAGGCTGCTGTGGAATGAGGTTCAGTTTGCCTTCTGCCGTAGCTTATATCAAGCGAAGAGGTCATGTCTATCAGCAATAACTCAAAAAGGCCATTCGTTTCCTACAATGATACTTGATTCCTTACCTCAGCTTCCCCGTAATCGTGCACCCTGCATGAAAACTCCGTTGCTTTGCCTCCAAAACATGAAATGCACACATAGACTCATGTCAGAATTCCGAAATGAAACCCCTTTCTCTCACATATACCCTCCTTTCTCGACAAAACCCCAATACTCAGTCAATCAAGTGCCCCATGCCCCTCGGTAGCCCGTCCCTCTCCCTGTCTTTCAACTGCTTCTTCTTTGCTTCCTCCTCTTCCTCTTTCTTCTTTTTCTTCTTCTTCTCCTCTTCTTCCTTGTTCCGCTGCTCGTAATGAAACTCACACATCATATACGGATGCTTGTACGGCTCCATGACCTGTGTGAAACCGCAGTACCCTGAGGGTTTGACGCCAGGAATGTAGTGCCGCTTTACTCCCCTGTCATGGGTCGTGGCTTGGTAGCAGCTCTCGCCCCAGATGTAGTGTGGAGGGATGGTGTTGAGGCAATTGGGCATCGCGCATTCGAGAGGGTAGCGTTTGCACATTGAATCGTTGTTTAGAATGTGTGGCGTGAGATTTTGTGGGGCTTAGTAGATGGTGTTATGAGTAGTATCCCTCGGTGGAGAAAATAAGATCGACGTGCTACTGGTCTTTCTTATATGGAGGGCAGAAAAGGTAAAACGTCAGAGAGGTGTATGTGCTGTTCTGACAATTGATTCATATTGTTGCTTGTTCACATGAATAGAATTTTAGACGTGAAAGTGTAATTGAATGATCACAGTTGGCACAAGCTGTATTGCAAACGCTTCCAAGCTTTGTCCCATGAGTGAAAGTCGTGTCTCTGCCTAATTCTACAAACGACAGTACCATGTAAGTATTCTATGACGGTGGAAAAGGCAGCAGGAGTGTATGAATGAGCAAGGTGAATGAGCAGTTTGAAACAGAAGCATAATCCTCAGACTGGTAAAGGGCAAGACAGAGGCAAAACAGCGCACCATAGAAATGAGTCACATTAATAAACACATATTGAGACAAAAATGATATAATTTGTTTTGTGTGAGCAGCAAAGCCCAAAAATATCCATTAGGGATTAGGGACATTCAATGTCCAGACAGAAAAGAACATGATGACAAAAGATAACTCCAAACTCCATCGCGATGCGTACTGTTTTTGTGGTTTTGACAGATAAGAAAATGGGCAGAGGATGGGGGACTGGCGGCAGTCACTTGTTTTAGACAGTTCTCCTTATTGATCGTTGCGTCGACTCGACATGGCGACATCAATCATTATCTCGTTTAGGCCTCCTCGACAGTCTTGGCAGGCTTCTTCATGTTGTTCTTGTACCAGAGGGTAGGCAGAAGAGCGCTGGATACAGTGAAGAGAATGCTAAGCCAGGTCAGTAATGCCCAGAAATAGCAGTAGTGTCGATGGACTTACCAAAGAGCAATCGTCATGCCCCAGACAGTCTTAGCCTGGAAGCAGTTGCTGCGAGTGACACCAGCCCAGTGGCCCAGGCTTGAGGCAGACTTGTTGAGGTTCTGCACTGCTGCAGTCACGAAAGCATTGGCGTACATGGCATCGATCTCAGCCGAAGTCTTTCCAATGACATAGCAGTTAAGGAAAGACATGGGCTTTCCAAGAGTGACTGCGCAGACGATGAAGGCGATGAGAAGCAGAGAGTCGACACCAGCCATGACAAGAAGGCCGAGGTTGGCTTGGGACCAGTAGTAGCCAATGCTGACCATGATGTATAGGGTAGCTATGCAGGCCTATTTGTGTTAGTACAATGCTGGAAACATAATGTTTTAATACATACCACACTGAGGGTGCCAACAAACTCCTTAGGCGGCTCAACACCAGTGGTAACAATCATCTGGACAAAGTTGGAGCAGATGCCAATGACGAGTACCATACAGATGGACTGGAGGACGCGAGTACCTAGGAGCATAAGACTCAAAGGCTTAGCGTTGTAGGTAGGAACAGGCATATTGGCTGATTGAAGATATAGTTTTCGAAGGAGAGTTGAATGTCAAAGTGAACGAACGAAGTGATTTGAGTAGCGAGGACGTAACAGTGATCTGCACAGCAGGAGAGAGTGTCGTGATAGGAAATTGAGAAAGAATAAGACCCAGATAGGAAATAAGGAAATAGAGGAAAAAAGAGGAAAAGGAAGTGAGTGTTTGTGAGCTGGTTGTTGTGTTTGATGACTGTTATGGTGCTACCTCAAGTACATATTATATATCGAGATGTTTTCTGCTGCCTCAACAAGTCATTGAAAACGGAATAGCTGAAATCGCTGCTATTCTTGCTCATTGCGAATCTGGACCGCCATGGTTTCATGGTATCGCGAGTAGTCGCTGGGCGGGCCAATGAGAAGCCAGAACCGCGATGCTTGGGAAAATGTCCGAGCTGCCGCACTGATGCACGTCGGCGGCTACAGCATAACAAGTCGACACGACAAATCTGGGGAAGCCATACACGCCCACAGATTCAGAGCGGTACCTGAGGCATGTGGAGCCATGGTTTGATGTCTGGATCGGTTGGACGAGAGATGTTGTTGCGGCTCTCGTTGTACTTCCGCGGTCCCACACCAAGCTCCCGCCCAACCTCGCGCGCGGGAGCTATCCTCTGAAAGTGTTGAGGCTCAATCAGAGTCGCGGGAGGTTGAAACATCTTTGCAAAAGGATCGTTCACGCCCTTGGTGAGGGCGTTGTCCAAGAAACGCCTGCGCTGATGAGAGGACGTCGGAACTTGCCACGTCAATGCTTGCCTATGGAGCCAGCATGCGCGCGTATACATTGGTCAGTCGTCTGTGGACTAAGAAGTCTAGACAACTTCCATGTCCAAATGGTAAAATAAGGCGTGTTTGCATAGTTGTGCACATAATGCTTTCATAGTACGCGCCTGTACGCGTCATACAGTGAAGTGGGGCATTCCTTAACAAAGAAGTTCAAGATAAAAGTCCTGCAAGACATCAGAGACAAGAGAGACTATGTGGAAGTTTTGCAACGAAGGAGATGGTATCAATGGTGGTGGCATGACAAGTACGCCTTACGATGGCATGCTCCCCGCTTCCGACCTCGGGTGAGCTAGATGCGGCAGGTCCACGCGACCCAGCTCTTAGATAGTTGGTCGCATACACGCGGCTTCCCGTGATACCTATAGCCGATAAGAAGAATCCACGGGCTTTAAAACCTCACATGTGGCCTTTGATCGTGTGATCTTCTACTCTCCGAGTTAGCAACAATCATGGGTCTTTCAGAGTACTGGCAACATAAAGCCGACTGGTGAGTTGCTCCGAGCTTTACAAAGCCACTCTAATACCCCACACACTGTAAGAGAGTGTTGTCAGCTAAGTTTCCATCAGCAAACGTAAGCAGTCGGAGCGTGCTGCGAAGATTGCATCTCTTCCGGCGCCATATCTATCTCCTTTGTCTTCTCAGGAGCGTACTATCCTCGGCAAGCCTATCCAAGAGCTTGTCCAAGATGTACAAAAGCAAATCACCAGCCCCGTTGATATCCTGAGAGCGTACGGCAAGGTCACCGTCAAGGCACAGGAAAAGACCAACTGCGTGACTGAGATCTTGTTTCCAGAGGCTGAGGAATGGGCGGAGAAAGAGGTCAATCTGAAGGGTCCGCTGGCCGGTATTCCTGTTTCACTAAAAGACTCGATACAAGTCAAGGGTTTTGACACCTCAGTTGGCTATTCAAGAAATACTGGAAAGCCAGCTACTGAAGATGGAATCATGGTCAAGTTGCTCAAAGATGCTGGCGCTGTGCCTTTCGTAAAGACCAACCTGCCTACAACTCTTCTCTCATTCGAATCAACCAACGACGTCTGGGGACGAGCCAAGAACCCACACAACGACAAATACTCACCGGGTGGCTCAACAGGTGGCGAGTCAGCGTTGTTGGCATTCGGTGGTAGCCGCATTGGTATCGGATCCGACGTTGCTGGCTCTGTTCGTGCACCCGCTCATTTCTCCGGATGCTACTCGATACGATGTTCTACCGGACGATGGCCAAAAGTAGGCATGAACACCAGCATGGCCGGGCAGGAAGGAATTCCTAGTGTCTTTAGCCCTATGGCAAGGACGCTGAATGACCTGACATATTTCACACGCAGCTTTATCGAGATGAAGCCCTGGAAATACGACTACACAGTCCACCCAATAGAATGGAGGGAAGAGATCGAGGAGGAATATAAGGAAAAGAAGAAACTACGCATCGGTGTTATGCGAACAGACCATGTTGTAGACCCATCACCCGCATGTACACGCGCTCTAGATGAGACTGCAAGAGCCCTTGCAGCCGAAGGCCATGAAGTCTTTGACGTTGAGCCGCCATCCCCCTACGAAGCCCTACAAATTGCATCCCAACTGCTCCTCAGCGACGGCGGCGGCGTCTTCCTGAGCCATTTCCGAACCGGCGAGTGGAACGACCCCGGTGCCGCACAAATGGTCAAGTACATGCGTCTACCACGTTTCATAAAGTACATCCACTACCTCTACCTCAAATACATCAAGGGCGATTCCATCTGGGCTGGCTTACTCCGAGACTGGCACCCAAAGTCTGCACATGAGCACTGGCAGCTCGTAGGTAGGCGCGAAGCGTTCAAGCAAAACTTCTTCCAATGGTGGGAGGAAAAGGCGAAAATGGATGTCATGCTCACGCCGCCAAACGCGACGCCTGCTGTGCCTCATGGCGGCATGCACGATGCAGTCAGCAGCTGCGGTTACACGTTTTTGTTCAACCTGGTAAGTTTGTGCTACTTCGACCCCCTTTTATTTATATGCTGACAGTTATCAAAGCTCGACTATTCCGTGGGAGTCATCCCTGTAACGCATGTTGATGCCAAGAAGGACGCTCTTCCTCCAAACTTTCAGCTGAAGAAGCTGAATGGTGTTGCACAGGGTGCGTACAAGCACTATGATGCTGAAAAGATGGAGGGTCTGCCTGTGGCTGTGCAGGTTGTGGGACGGAGACTGGAAGAAGAGAAGGTACTTGCGATTATGGAGAGGGTGGAGGATGCATTGGATAAGCATGGTGGTCGTTACGAACTTTTGGAGATAGATTAAAAAGATCGTTACACGGGCGGATGCGTTGGAGAAAAATTATGTCTGCAATCAGCATGTTATTTTGGCAATTTCGGAACATCATCGAATTAAAATACGTAAATACAGATGATCCTTCACGTCTGTCGATTCTCTCAAGGCTGATATGATGTTGCACAAATAGACCACGTTTTGAGAGCGAGCATTGCAAATAGTGGATGCTTACAGAGTCTGTTCCTCGATTAGCAATGTGCATTATGATTAGTATTCAAGGAGAATGGTATAAAGGGCAGAAACCGACAGTGTGGCATTTCGAATGCCTTATATTGCCTTCTCCTTTCTTGTTCTATTCAAGATCAGGCCTAGCTATTGCATTTCCCAATTTGATATGAACCCCAATCTCTTACCTATTTCAGAGTTTATGCCTCACAAGCCTCATGCTGTTCTATTGATCCCACACCAACAGTATACGTACCGCCTCCGCTACCAGAGCGACCCCCCACCACAAGCCTAGCACCGACACAAGCATTCATCCCACAATTCTACGCACACCACAAGAGCTGGGTCTGCACCGCGCGCCGTGTCTTCCTGCCTCGTCGTTCCCCGCTCCCGTCATTGGGCGCGCTTGCGTCTCTCGAATCCCGTCTCAAAGCGATGATAATCTCGAGTGCAAACGCATCTTTGTTCGCTGATTGCGGGAGACATATCCCTTGTGTAGCTTCCTTCTCTTTTTATATTCGTGAACCATAGATGCGGTGCAGACAAGCAATGATCAGCCAAGTCCTTGATCAGGGACAACGCGGTCAAGAGGTTGATTGGTGAAGACGTGGATTCAACAGCAAAAGAACATGTTGTGCATGCAGTAGACGTAGTGACGTTTTCTTTCAGTGGATCCGTACTACCTGCAATGCGGCGACTCGATGTGTGTAGTCCTGTAGTGTCAATGTTTCATTGTGGATGCGAATAAATGCACTACTGGGATTGGATGAATGCCCTTGGATCGGCCCCCCATGTCGCGTTGCTGCTGACACACTGGGAGACTGAGAGCTTCCGATGTGCAGGTGAGAGGGGAGGGCGTGTTCCTGGGTCACGTTCGTTGGGAGCTAAGGCAGGGGTGAGGAGAGCTTGAGCTATGCAGAGAAGGGGAGCTTGAACTACGTAGAGGAAGGCAGCTACATAAAATATTTGCCCTCTCCTTCCTCTCGAGAGGGTCTTGTTGGGCATTCTACGTTGAACCTATTTTTATACTCCGTGTCTATCTCGCACCTGATTTTAGGATCTATCGAAGACGATGACGGACTTTAAGGGATCGTGCCACTGTAAGCAGACGGAGCGGACGGCGACGCTGCAGCCAGACCAGTAGAGCCATGTACTTTGGTGAGCTTGAATTGGAGGTAATCAAGGAGAATTCGAGTACGGATGAGGAGAAATAGTCACTGTAACACTTGTAAGGAGCTCTCCGGCGGAACATACACGCTCAACCAGGTCATTCTCGCCAAGGCGCTTAAGATCACAAAAGGCGATGACTTGGGAAAGTACACATACCAGGGTGCCTCTGGCCAAAGTGTCCACTGCGCACGTTGCTCTCTATCCCAGTCTAGCGGGGTGTGTATGCTGACAATCACCTTTGGAATAGTTTTACTGCAAAAACTGCACCACATACGTATACCACCAGCAAGAGGTCCTGGTCCGGACAACATCGTTCTGAGGACTGGACTGCTGGAGCAAGGAATAAAGGACTTCAAACCTCTTGTGGAGATCTTTGGCAAGGACCTCTTGCCGTGGGAGAAGGAGGTTGCAAACACGATATATTGAATATTGAGATAGGTATCATGATACTGCAGTCTCCTCTTCCCCTCTGGTATCTAATTTCCATTTGACCCACCTCCTAGTCCTCAAGCGGCGGGAATTTTCTCAAAAAGTGACTTGGGCATTCGTAACCGCCTGGGTTGTGGTCCAAGTATAGTTGGTGATACTCCTCAGCGTCCCACCACTTGCCCGCAGGCAGAATCTCTGTTGCTA